AGTCTCCAGGTCGGCAATGCGAGCGTCCAGGTTGGCAATGCGAGCGTCCAGATCAGCATTGCGAGCGTTCAGGTCGGCATTGCGAGCGTCCAGGTTGGCATTGCGAGTGTCCAGGTTGGCATTATGTGACTTAAGCTCTGCGGCTCGAGTTAGCAAATATGTATTTTGTGACTTTACAGTATGAATTTCCAAACCTGAAAATTCCCCTTTCATCCCAATAAGCAGGTCCATAAAAGATCCACCTTTCTCATTACCGACGACTTGCTCATTTTGGATTGTCATTTTCTGAGACGTTGAAGCAAGCTCACGGATCCGATTTTTCCCAGTTTCGATAACGTCGGCGTCTGGAGAGATGGGTATTGTGTCGTACACAGCAATTTGCAGGTTCGGGGCCTATTTAATAAGTAGAGGCTTTAGTTTACTTCTGATAGAAGTTGAGAGATGAAAACTTGAAGATGAAACATAGGAGAGACGAAGAGGGAGACGGAGAACCAGCGGAGAGATATTAGTCATATTACTCATAGTGACAGATATACCTACCATAGGCGCGTTCTGTTTAGAAAAAGTCTCCTTGCCTTGGTTCCGATGCTGCTGGCTCTCTCTCTTATTGGATAACATCTTGTGTTCCTGTAAATATGATGCAACTGGAGTAATAATTTTGACAGTAGTGATTCCCGAGCGGGCTGAGGAGGGACAAAGCAAAGGGAAACAAAGGCACAAATATATGAGAGAAGTAGGAGAGAAGTAGTAGAAGAGAGGGAAAGAGTGTAGGTAAGAAGTGAGTCTAAAAAGGAAGCAGCAAGTACTGAGACTCTACCTGTGCTGCTATATCCTCCCCTAGCAGGCGCGAGTGTATTAGTTATTATTATGTATTAACCATGGTTGTTGATGTTAGACCTAGGTACCACTATAGGTAGTTAACCAATAAACTACTAACCAGTACAGACTGGCGTGGAGATGAATCTGGTTAGTTGTGACTTTAGTATCTGCCATGCCTGGCAGTTAGCAGGACTCGGAAAACGGCGTCAGCTGTTGCCCTTTTTTGGCCGCTGGCTAGCCGTGCCATTGTTAAATGGAGCTTTATCTATCCGACAAATCAGTTAACATTATAATGTGGTTTATATTTCAGACCGCAACTGGTTTCGAATTGAACTATATAAAGGGAACATGTTTACCAGAAACGCGGGAGCAAATTGCGGCATGGCCCTTCACGAGAACTCCCGTGATAGGGATAGTAAGTAGCCCTAGCGGTAATCTCAAAGATTGCCAGAGACGCCTTGAGAGGATTTAACATTTTCTCCAACTCGACGATTTCTTCCTCGGGGATTTGAATCTGCTCGGTCAATTTGTCTTTTTTGTTCTTTGCCCAGGTAAAAAACGATTCTAGAAAAGTAGAAAAGAGCTTGATAGCCCTGTTGCTCTTGCTGAGATATCCGCGCCTCTTTTTGAGAGCTAACTGACCTCCGTCCCTTCTGGTAATGCTATAAAGAGACTAAAATATTATCAGGTAAAAAGAAAATTTCAAGGCCTGCAAATCTGTCCTGCTGTTGCTTTGAAAGATTTTGAGTAACTGATTACCTAATTAATGGATCTATAGGATTAGTTATAATTATGTACGTTTATTTTATCTCTTTAACTAACTTGTTACCCCTCCCTATGACTCAGACGAAATAGACCTAAGTTAGCCCTTTCCTTTGACTTTGCGTCTTCGAAAGACCTCTCCACATCAACTAAAAGCGTTTAGCACATTCAATCTAACCCTCGAACATGGACTCCTCTCGATCAACATCACTGGCTGCGGCCGGCGATACTCACCCGAAAATCGGATGGATAGGTCAGTCAAGCTTCTAGGGCTCATAGCTTACCTTCCACCCCCTTACCAACCACCACAGGTCTCGGATCCATGGGACTCGCTATGGCTTCCAATCTACAAAATCATTTATCACGGATTGGCGCCCCTCCCCTTCGCTTTTACAATCGCACGGAGACTCGGGGCCAACCAATCCTCGATATCGGAGGAATACACTGCGCCAGTATTGAAGACTTAATTATCGATGTCGATATCTGCTTCATCGCGGTAAGCGATGACGCCGCGGTCACTTCCATCATAAACTCTATCTTGGCAGCAGACCCGCTTCATGAGAAGATTATTGCTGATACATCGACCGTTCATCCGGACATATCTTCTTGGGCTCGACGAGAGCTTGCGCTAAAGGGTGCTGAATTTGTAGCGGCACCAGTATTTGGCGCAAGCCCCGTCGCAAGAGAAGGCCGTCTGTTGTTCGTCATCGCTGGTGCAGATGAGGCCGTCAGGGCTATTGAGCCTTTTCTGGAGGGTGTGATGGCGCGAAAGACATTGCACCTAGGAGCGGATGTTACGAAAGCCAGCCTGCTAAAAACTACAGGGTAGTCTTTTCCAGCAGTCTTCAAAGGTTTCGCGCTAATTCGCTCGCCGTAGGAATTTCTTGACTGCTGGTATGATGGAGCTTGTTGCAGAAGCACAGGTCTTTGCGGAGAAGACTGGACTAGGAAGCGACGTACTGGAGTCTTTAATCCAGGAACAGTACGGTTCACTTCCGTTCTCCATGTCGAAGCGAATGACCGAGGGATCTTATCTTCCTAAACTGGGAGAACGGCCATGGTCTGACCTACAGCTTGCGCTTAAGGATGTGGGCTTAGGGGCTAGTTGTGCTGAAAGGGTGGGGGCAAATTTGCCAATCGCCAATCTTGTTCTGAAACACCTTGGAGAGGCTCGTCAATACGGACAAGCAACCCAGCGTGCTTTGGACTCCTCCTCAATGTATGGGGTACTGCGGCAGCATGCAGGACTTGACTTTGAATCCGATCTGGTAAAGGAGAGGGATAGTAGCTCGAATATAAACTAAATAAATATTCCAATATCTTGGTTGATATCATCGATAGACTGCATAGAATGCCAAACAGTTCGTCTTCGCATAACATTTTTAGCTTGCTCCAGCTGTCGTCTTATATGCTCAAGAGTCATCATAGGAAGACATGGTAAGACCGAAACGTGCGAGCAAGAACAGATGTCTGGGGCTGAGCCAACATACTCACATGATTGCTTACAAGCTTATCCATGCATTGTTTTCGAATTGACAACAACTAGGACACATCTTCCTGGAGGATGATTCTATACAGAGAAAATTGAGGACCCGATATACCCCTACAGAGCTGCCACATTCAATGGCTTCTGGCCAACAACCCTCATCAGCTTCACTGGTGGGGAGATGCCCCGCGCACAAAGATGCCAATGCTGTTCAATAAGCCTTTCCGCCTTCTTCGTTGCCGCCTCTTCATCAACAACTTGCCCGGATCGCAGTAGTAGGCCCGCATATAACGTTTGAATGATTTCAGCAAGCCTTTTCTCCGTTTCGAGACGAAGACTACCATCCCAGTCCGAGTCATAAGCTAGTCGCACGACATGCCGGAACCCGACTGCATTACTCTCCTTGAATACCTTTGCTGATGCCTGGAAACATTTCCCCTCAGCCTTGAGTCCGAAGTCAAAACACCGTCGGATCTCCCAAATCACCGGATTGACTTTTGAGACGTATGTTTCTTCGTCAAGTTCCTCCCACTGCAGATAACCTCCCGGTTCTATGGAACGATAAGCCCCCGGAATGCGAAGGGGAACATGGAAACTGCCACGGGAGGTGGAAAGGAAATAAGACCTACTTAAGATATCGTAGATATTGGTGATCGCGGTTTTATATTCAGATTCTGCAAGACCAGCAACCAATAGTCGCACATGGACCAGGTCGTACCGGTTCCAGTGTTCCTTCGGGAACGGCATTGTTATGTCGTGGACAGAAAACTGAATCTTCCCTGGCGAGTCAGGAAATTGTTGGGGTGAAATATCGAACCCATGATAGTAGCGCTGGATTGAGGAAGTTCCATTCAGCAATTGCGAAACGTCTTTCAGCCAGATTCTTGCCAAGATTTAGCAGCGCACTAGGGAAAATAGCAGGCAGTAACAAGCTAACCCAGTTCCAGTCCCTATATCAGCGACAGAGAGAACATCATCTTTGGGAATTGATGGGTGAATCAGAGTATTTCTAGCCACCTTCACCAGCAGGGTATGCTGTGTATCGAGCCTAGATGGCAAAGATTTTTGTGTCAGATGTTAAACATAGTTAGATCTAGCCACTGCTTTGGGTTTCATGCCTTTGTGATTCTTTTCGGTCTCTGCTAAAAATGTATTTGTCGTCTGTGTTCAGCATTGTTAAGTCCTGTGGGGCTCTTCCTGACCCTGAAGAGAGCGAGATATCTTGTTGCCTTTTATAACTTATGCCTTGCCCCTTGATTACCCCCCTCCAATTAACGTCGGAACCAGGCGGGGTAAGTCAACCATCTCGTACTTTAGTAATCCTTGGTGGCGTAGCTGAATTATGTATAATATATTCGAGGCGCTTAATGATCCCCTGCACGGGCTTCTGGAAAATCCGTTCTAGGCCACGCCTCGTCGGCTATGCCGCGTCTGGTCTCCTAACGTGAATTTTTGAGAAAGAGTAGCCACTGATAAAAGATTGAAATCGATCATACCCTGTAGGTTGTTAATCATAATTGACTGATTGGTAGACTGTTCATGATGTGATTCATCAACAACACAAATCAAATCATAAATGATCGATTCACGGTAAGGGATCTTTCAAATAATACGTAGGTAATTTTGATAGAAGGAAATCAAGTTAGGTGGCCAGGCCCGGTAGTGCATGTATTTTAAACGTGAGAAAGCAATTCTTGCCCTCTCATCGTTACGTGGAGATTAGAAGGATCCGGATTTGGACAGCCATGAGTCACAGGTTATCTAAGCCTTCAGAGGCCTCATGATTCGAAAATGGTATGCTCGCAGGAGTTAATATACAGCCCAATGCAAATTGTTGTGCGATTGGCATACCCTGGTATTGGACTGGGTCACTTCTAAGCTCGTCTTAGCTTCGCCCGTGAGGGTTACTAGGCCTCAGCACCACGTTGAGATGGGAGCTCTTCGCTGGGGTATGTTGGAAAATAAATGGCAATATAACGACGTATACTCGTGACGGATACGACTACACCCCCAAGTGCGGACTGCGTTATTACCCTTAGGTCAGGAACCGTCACGTGGGAGAGTTTGGATGATCGAAGCCCTTCCAGGTAATCAGAGCCAAAACAAGAGAAAGAAAGAGTGACAGAAACGAGGAAAGAGTGAGAAGGACAGCAAGGAACGATTGATAAGTTACACAGGAAATGACCAACGAAGGAGTGACAGGGCAAGTCGAAAAAAAGGATGAACGGAGCGACTAGAAACAAAGGAAATAATGAAAGGAATGACGGAGTAAACAGTAGAGAAACAAAAGAGAAGCGAACGAATGAATGAAGGAATGTCATTGGAATGAATAGATGGGAGGAGCGATGCCCCTGTAGTAGAGGGATAGAGGTGCAGGATCATGGAGGCCACAGCTACAAGATAAGAATAGGGGAATGCATAACTTGGAGACATCATTTTAATGGCGACGCTTGTATATTTGCTGTGGATCCTCCATATCTGTAACCTTCTCACCATTATGCACAGTTGACTACATATATGAATGATTGTACTACTATAGAATATCTGGTACCACCTAATACACATATCGGAAATCCACATCATCCTACACATCTCCCTCTTCCATCCTCCCCGTAGCTAAATTCTCCCCATGCGACTTCTTGCCGGGGTCTCTAGGTAATCAGCTCTTGCATTTCGTAGTCTATACACAAGGCGAAGTGCCGTGGAAACAATTGTCGCAGTCATATTGACTATCCCCGAAGGCATTTTCAGTAATGCGCTTTGCTTAGATGTATATCCAAAGTCTTTGATCAGTACAGATAAGAAGGTGGCAATAACACCACTGGGGATGGTGATTAAAATAGGTAATAAGATGAGTAACCATGTCTGCAAATCTCTGACTGCTTCAAGCACCGATCCCCAGCGAAATACTTTGTTGCCAACTCCAGCTTTGTCCTCTAAGAGCCGCTGTGCAATTCGGTCGCGGTCTCCTTGGCTAAGAAACTTGGCCTTTTCGACATTTTCGGGGAGAAGAAGCAAGACTAGTATGGCAGCGACTATGTTGACTACACCTACCACGACGAACATGATACGCCATCCGTGGAAGGATATGTCCGGGAATGTGTGCTGCGCAGCGGATGAGATCAACCCCCAACGATCTGGCCGACGCCTAACCCGCAATCCGGAAGCCATATCGCGGAGTGGACTCGGCGCGGGTGTACCACATACTCGTATACATAGTAAGGGCAGGCACGGATCTCCTAGGGAGTTACATACTTCAATCAGCAGAGGAACATACCAATGACAGCCTCCAGCGTTCCAAGTAAAGCGCGTAAAGCTATCAACCCTGCAAAATTCCGTGCAGCCGCCAAACAGCACAGAATCACGCCCCAGAGGAAGACATTGAGTCCCAGGACCTTGGCGATGGGGAATTTCTAAAGATGGATGCCTGCACTTCTCAGCGCCTATCGCAGTATTGAACAGTTTGTGAATACGGCACACACCCTGGGGTATTTCAGCAATAGCATAGGCCAGGAAGAACGCTGTTGCCAACCACGAGAAATCATTTCCACACATGTTTAGATCATTCTGAAGACCCATAACATTCGCATACTATGAGGCAAGTCAGGCCAGTTTGCCAGTATTTCGCCAATGGATATCACCTCCGTACATTCAGTGAAATCTTGTCCAGAAACTGCAGGAAGTACTTTAGAAACATAATGGGCAGGATCCGCCAATCAACTTTCCGAAGCAATTTCCGGTCCTCGTGCAGATCAGTAAAGGCGTAGTCTTCGCCGGATAATTTGTCCTTCATGCCGATGTTTGTTTCGTTAGTCGGTGGCATTTTCGCTGCGTATGTATTCGGAGAAAATTTACATCCAGGGTGCAATGATCTTAAAGCAGTTGAAGCTGGAATGCATCGGGGCTGTCCGCTCCAATCCAATCCTTTAAGCTCGGTATATTTCCATAGAGTGATCTAATGGTGAATGGAGACCGTCATGCACCCGTCGCATAGATAGGTATACCGGCTTTGATTGATAGCCTCGGCCGATGTTGTCTTTGGCTTGAATGATATCAGGCGGAACTTCACCAGCTGAGCAAATATATAATAATGCCTTTCAATGGTACGAGCTCTCTTTATTCCACTCAGATTAGCAAGAACAAGAACAAGAACGACAGTGCCTTCTCGCACTGGCTTCTCTCTGAATGCGGCCATTATAGGCGCTGGTCTTGACGGCCTTGCAGCCGCTGTGGCCCTCCAGCGACCTCGAGCAATGGGGTGTGGATATTAAGGCCGCGAAGCCGGTACGATCACCTGGAATACATCCATGTTAAGAGGTACCAGGTAACTTTGAAGAAATTGGTTGTGCACGGCTGGTCCACCGGAGAGGTAAAGAGCGAGTATGTAATAGGCGATTATAAGGTGAAATTCGGAACTGTAGGGTTTCCTTCAATCGCCGGAGTGGGTACTTTGCTCATGGATAAAGCCGGACTACAACAACTTCAAACGGATTTACATTCACAAAACTACTGAAATTAGTCTTCGAAGGGCCTGCCATCGATGTAGAGGCAGGTGTTACCCAATCCGAAAACGTTCAGCGACAGCCGATCTGATCGTCGCTGCTGATGGCATTCGTGTACGTCTAGATCCCTAGTATGCTAGTTCTTGTTCGCAAGGTACTAACTAGACAAGTCTTCCTCCCGCGGCCTCGTTAGAATAACCCTCAATTTCTCAATGTCCACCTCATGCTGCTACCGTTGCATCATCGGTGCAGATAAACTGCGGTTTCGGGCTCGATGGTTATATTTCCAATGAATCAATCGAGTACTGGGGAGGGTTTGGCATTGACAAGATTGCCATGTCGCGGTGCAGCAATGATGATGTCGTAAGCTGCTACTGCTTCTACCCGGCAGCCTATAACGAGCTCCGTGAAGACGGGTGGAATATCTCGACTACACCACAACAGTTGGTAGATACGTTCCCTGACCTGGATCCAAGGATGAAGATGTTAATGCTAAATGCGGAGGATATCAAAATGTGGCATTGTACGTGCTTTGCCCTCATTGCTGCTCCTTCGGATTCCTTAACGACCGTCGCACTGATGAGACAGTGTATCGACGCCAACCATATCCCTACCGGGTAAAAGGTAAGTTTTGTCTCCTTGGTGATGCTGGTAGGTCGACTTCCGACCCTTGTTATGAATTCAATGATATTAAGTGAATAGCCCATCCAATGATGCCGGACCAATCTCAAGGATCATGTATGGCTTCCGAAGATGCCGGAGCTTTAGGCCTGATTTTCAATCGTACTTTCCGTGAAAAGTACAGTATCACAAAAGGATTGGGTGTCTACCAAGCATTGCGCAAGCCGCGAGCGACCCACGTGCAAGAGGCCGGTTTCCGCGCTTGAGAGGATCTCAGCGAACGCATTGGGTGGAGCTCATCGGCCGATCGACCTGGGAAGTTGACAATTGGGGAAATCTGTGGATACGATATGCAGAAACACTTGGACGAGTTGCTTGCTTCCAATAGAAGGTAAGGCGCGTCAAATGCAGTGTCCTTAAGAACTCGCTAATCGCAATATACCTTATTGGATCGCATCGCATGTCACTTATACAAGAGTTCATACAAACGCCATCCCGGGAAACAAGTTATAAATCTTACCCTTGCCCAATTTCCGTCACTCCCATCTGACCAGACCGTCTCCAACAATCGCCTTGCGCGCGAAATATGTCCAAACCCCAAGGTATTCTCCATCACCATTAATTTTTCCTTGACCAACATTCTTCTCTCGACATCTGTGCTACTAGCCTCAGCAATGACCAAAGGGCAAAGTAAGCATCCCTCTAGAGGACTACCATAGGGAATAGTCATCGCCGCGTTAAGGATTGGTGTAACAGCAGTTCCCACCGACTTGTAGTTCAAATCGAACCATTGACAATATAGTGGAGATACAGTCGAACTGCCACTTTAAATGCCGTCATAACTTGACTTGTCTGACAGTCTATAATCGTGGCTGTGTTGTACTCCGCTATCCATGAATCCAATTCAGATCGAACATGGGATGCTGCAGTCCGGAAACCCAGCTCCGAGAGTTCATCAACGTGACGGCTACGATGCGCCGCAAGTAGATTGCCCATGCCTAGAATCTCGAGCAATACCGGGGTCATTCCAGAGATAGTGTCTACGGGAGCAGTGGAGAAATTGCCAGTGGATTTATCCGCGGTGAGATCAGTCAGTTTAGTGTCTTCGTGAAGAAGAGGTGGTTTGCAGCGTGATATGGTAGATATTGAATCCAGGTATCGGAAAGACTGGAGACAGAACTTCCCCTCCGGGGTAGACCCAAGTGACGTGGTCTCCAGCAGATGCTAGGAACGCGCCGGCGGCTTTTAAATGCCATTTCCACACATGAGAGCTGCAGTCACATAACTCCGTTAAACAGAGAAGTAGAACGGTCGTACAGGCTTCCAGCGTGGATTGCCCCTGCTGTAGATAGGAGCTTCTACAGCTGTCAGCGGCCATCATCCGAGCTAGCTTCAAACCGAAACGTACAATTTTTGCGCATCGAGCGGATACACGACCAGTGGAATTCATAGCCGTCAGTCGTGATAGTTGAAGGACATAGGGGGGAGAGAAGAAGCGACGGAGAGAAATGAACTCTCATCGGCATTTTATCCGACACGACGGATGATCGAACCTGATAAAGCTACCTTATTTGGATTCATACGGTCGATGATTCGTGGATAAGATAGCCTATGGACATTTCTCTTAATAATGGATACCTATCTTCCTACCCCACATCGGGTAATCATCTGGGGTCAATAAGTGACCGTGCACTTCTCCGCATCTTCTCTATTCCTTGTCCATCGGCCCGGCATATTTTCTCTCCCCCACTACACTATCCTCGGCTTTTATGTAGTATATGTTGAGTCTCTTTCAGTTGTCTTTTCCAAATTTCTGATCTTGAATAGACGATCACATACCTTTCAGTTATGTCGAACTGGGGAAAGAAATCCAAGTTGGCTTTACTCTAACCAACGACATCAGTCTATGTTGACAAGAGTGGCAATGTAGATAAGCAGTCTCATTCGGTGGCTGTGCTGCGTTTTCATAGACCGTGATATAGCTGTACCTGATCGTATATATATATACATGTTTACCCAGCTTGGTGGACTGATGGTGGTGGTTCTAGAACTTGGGTTTGACAAAATAGTGATATATGTCCCGACAGCAGGGTCTAGATCATAAACTACACTACTAACGCCATTGACCGTTAAGGTGATGAGCAACGGGGTGAGATTTTTCGTCCTGATTAATACTCAGAATATATAATTTGATAGCCCTCATACCGTTTGTTGAACATGGTTTGTTCTTCGTATTCACTTAAAAGAGCTGTGTTATATTATCAAAGTATCTACAAATTCTCAACAACTGGCCGGCTGGCCCAATGGTAAGGCGCTTGACTACGGATCAAGAGATTGCAGGTTCGAATCCTGCGTCGGTCATTCTTTTTGCAATTTTTTTCTTTCTTTTTAAACTCTCCCTCCCTACCTGAACTCCTTAATAACCCCTTTTTAGGGTCCTTCCCGGAAAAGCTTCCCCTCGTCTCTTCCTTTACCTGTCCTGTCTATATCATGAATAGGGATCAAAGCAGAGTAATCACTCTCAAGAGCGAATGACTTATTGATTGTTCTCTACCCCAATTTGGGTTCGCTGCCATGGCGTAGGCATTTCCCCGAAAGTATCCTGAATTTATAGCCAATGGAAGTACGACGCATCTTCACCCGAAGATCCTTTGATATCCGAATAATGTTCACGGGTATTTTAGGTCTCGTCGTCGAGGTCGCATGTAGCAATGACCACAACGAATAGTCTAGAACAAGGCCATCTTCTCCCCCTCATCACTTGACGTCTTGTACGCCCTGTAATAAAAAGGATCCATACCCAAAGATCCATGACAAGACCGTTGTATCAGCATCGATGACCATGGATGAATTGCCTTTCGGTGTAGCTTTGGCGGGTTGTGGCGGCATTGTCGGTTCACGTTGGGTTTATTCTTTCTCTAGCCAGTCAAAGGTATCGAGAGATGTATCATCCGGCGCAAGCATGTTGTAGTGAGTTAGGTAACTTCAATTGGGGGAGGGGGAAAGGAATACGAGGATTTACATTGAATGAGGCGAAAGGTCATTAGGTAAATGTTCGTGAATCGTTATATGATTGTGTGTGTGATATGGTATGATATGATATTCTTTCTCATGTAAGGTTTTCCCCGCACAAACATCCCCCCGCAACCTAAATGGTGGAAGGTTACATAGACAACAACCGATGAGTCCGAACTTGATCTCCGCCTGCTACAGAATGTAATACCTATTATTTTTATTCTTATTGGGGAGAACCCAATAGGGGGACGTAAGACCCCACCTACTTACAGCTAAGCCTAGCCAAGAGAGTTTCTTTTCCCTTTTTCTCTGTTTCTTTCTTTCTTTCTGTACATTATATTATATTATGAAACATTTTTTCTCCGAATGGGGGCAGAAAAAGGTCGGCGAGGCCGGCATAACAAAGAAAGAGGGAGTGTGTGGTGGAATAAAATAACACATGGTGTGGCCACTTCTGCCGAGGTTTAACCAACAAAGGAGATCAATCACATAACGTGATGTATAATTAGACATATCATCCCTTATATTATCTCTCCAGTCCGATATCGATATTGTCTCGCGTGGTTTAATTTCCTTTACCTAATTAGCGGAAGTTTTTGGGTCTGTCGTGGTCGTGGTTGTGTTCAGTTACCTAATACCGAACACCTCAAGTCTGGGGAAATGATTAGATTAGATTTCTAAACCCCATTTCTGTCGATGAAGAGAAACCGAAGGGGCATGGATGGAGACCCGCCCCCCTCCCCTCCCCCAGCAGTCTTATCTGCTCACTTTATCCGAACCTCTTTTGGTGTTTGATACTTTGACGATAGTCATTCTCCTTCTCTCTCTCTCTCTCTCTCTCTCTCTCTGTCTCTCTCTCTCTCTCTCTGTCTCTCTCTCTCTCTCTCTCTCTCTCTCTGTCTCTCTCTGTTCTTGGCTTCTTTCGTATCCCTTTTTTTTCTTTGCCAAGAGGGTGCCGAGAGAATGAGGATGCCTGGGCGAACCGATTCTTTTCGGGAATCCGACGGGTGGGGGTCGGACGTCGACCCAAGTTGATGAGAGATAAAAGAGGGAGGCAATGGTGTAATCCGAGTCTCTCCCAATCACCGTAAAGGTCCTAAAACTAGCTCACCTGCCATACGGAGTTTAGCATATGGTTCGTTCCTGTACTATGCTCAGCCATGGATGATTTCTCTATATTTCCTTGGTTCTGATTGAACGGAAAATGTGGAAAATGGAAATATTAACTTCGTGGAAGGTAACATCGCGTAGTGAGTTTAAGCCTGATTTCCGGGGTAAAACACAAAAAGACAAGAGGTACGCTAGTTAGTGGCTAGTAGGCTATAACTAGTAGTAGGTTGGATGTACAAACAGCTGACTCAGCCGCATGGCATGGCTTCATCTTCCTTTGGTGGTTGGACTGCACAAGTGCTGACCACCATGTGTTCCACCCAATCAGATCCTGCCCCCATGGTACAACGCTTATCAAAAAGATAGTCATCGAGAGATAGGAGCTCCGTCCCCTGGAATTATTGGTTCTTGCTAGATCCGCCAAGGAGCTGAGGTTGCACTTCAACCTGCCAGCCAAGGTTTCCGCCAAGCCACGGTTCCCTCCCGCGACTGGTGAATTCTAGATATCCCCGTTCGGGAGAGAGAGACAGAGAGAGAGGAAGGAAGGGTGAAAAAGCCGCTCGGTCAATACTTGTCGTTCTATTTGCTATCCGCTTATCTTCGCGTAACCCTTTTTTTTTTTTTTTTTTTTTTTTCTATCCTCCAAATGAATCAATCGGTCGGGTGGTTCCGAACGCAAGCGCAGAAGCCAAGAAGGGCTATCTGGTTTCTCGTCCAGTCACGAATGCCCTTCATTCATCTGGAGAATAAGGCCACGGATAGGTTTCCGGTTATCAACGGGTGGGCTCATGTTGGGGTCATGACCGGGTTGAGATAATCCTCCGCGACTTGGTTCTGGATCGAACGTTGAGTTGAAAGGGTTCTCGCGAAACCGCCAATCAACCCTCCGCCAGGCGTAATCTAAATCAGACGTGGCGATTGGACGGGCGCCGGTCATAGCACGCGATGACCTGGTTAAGGTAGCTTTGGGGTTGCTGTGCTGCTTCTTGCTCGTCCTCCCCTCTCTCACCCCCCATCCCGTCCCACGGCGATGTATTAAAAGCCCCCATCTGCCTCCCATTTCCCGTCTCCCCCTTTTCTTTTCTTTTTTCCCCTTGACACAAGTGTTCATCCCGTCTGCGCGCATCACTCCTCTTCGTCATGAATTCCTCCGACCCTGCGGAGACGCTCGAGGTCAGCAAAGCGACCGTCGCCGCCCACGATGCCCCTTTGAGTGAAAAGAAGGCCCTGTCCATCGATAAGGATTTGGCCATCTCGCCAAGTATCGAGGAAGTGCCGGCGACCAAGGTCGCGGGTGCGTCCATGGATGATACTGATCTGCAAAAGGCCTACCCGACCAACGAGGAACTGAGAACTCTGCGTCGAGTGTGTGGAGACATCCCATGGACCTCGTATACGGTGGCGTTTGTCGAACTGTGCGAGCGATTCTCCTACTATGGAACGACGGCCGTTTGTGTGTTTTTTTCGGCGCCTGCAGTCCAAGACTCCTTACTGACATGCACTAGTCGTCAACTTTATCCAGCGTCCGATGCCGGTCGGTTCCTCCACCGGTGCGACGTTTGATAACTCCCGGGTACCAGGAGCGCTGAACATGGGCCAACAGGCCTCCACTGGGTTGACCTTGTGTAAGTCACCTGTCCGTTGTCGATTGAAGAAATGGATGCTGAACGTCTAGTCAATTCGTTTTGGTCCTATATCATGCCAATGTTCGGTGCATTTCTGGCCGACCAATACTGGGGTCGGTTCCGTACCGTGATGTACTCCATCGCCGCCGCCTTGCTCGGACATTTGATCCTCGTCATCTCCGCTATTCCCGGTGTAATCTCCCACCCCAATGGTGCCATTGCCTGCTTCTCGATCGGTCTCATCATCATGGGTGTGGGAACCGGTGGTTTCAAGTAGGGCCCCCCCCAAATCCCCCTTCCACCTTGTTCCTTCCCTTCAATTGGCTGCTAGATGCTTATGCACATTAGATCGAACATTTCCCCCTTGATCGCAGAACAATATCGCGAGGAAAACCCCTACATCAAAACTCTCTCCTCGGGAGAACGAGTGATTGTGGATCCCGCAATCACCGTGCAACGCATCTATCTGTACTACTATTTGACCGTCAATATTGGTTCCATCACGGGTCAGGTGAGCATGGTCTACGCGGAGCGATACGTCGGGTTCTGGCTGTCATTCTTCCTGCCGACGTGCTTGTTCTTATGGTGCCCGACGGTCTTGTTCCTCTGCCGGAATAAATACTACCGGGTGAAACCGAACGGGTCCGTGTACGGGCAGGCATTCCGACTCTGGAAACTGGCAATGAAGGGGCGGTGGTCTTTGAATCCGGCTCTGCTGTAGGTGATCCCCCGACGGTCTCCCATCTCGCCGAATGGATACTGACGAAAACAGGTTCAAACGAAATGACAAGCCGTTCTGGGATTCGGTCAAGCCAAGTGCTTTGGGCCCTAACCGACCTCAGTGGATGACCTTCGATGACGAATGGGTCGACGAAGTTGCTCGTGGCCTGAAGGCATGCAAGGTGTTTTTGTGGTATCCTCTATTCTGTATGTCTTTTCTTTGCCATCCCGGGGTTCTGTCCCTATGCTCATCTCGCTTTTTTTAGGGCTCGCCTACAACCAGATGTTGAACAACCTGACATCCCAAGCGGCCACCATGCATCTCGGTGGCGTTCCCAACGATATCATCAACAATCTCAACCCTCTCTCCTTGATTATCTGCATTCCCATCTTTGACCGCATCATTTACCCCGGGCTGCGCAAGATGGGATTCAACTTCACCCCCATCAAGAGAATTACGATGGGTTTTGCAGTCGCCGGCTGCTCCATGATCGGCGCCACGGTGATCCAACACTACATCTACGTGAAAGGCCCCTGCGGTAAGGAGGCTAACAAGTGCTTGGACGAGTATGGCAAATATTCGCCCATCTCCGTCTGGACCCAGGCAGTGGTCTACATCCTGGGTGGTATATCGGAGATCTTCGCCTCCATCACCTCCCTCGAGTATGCGTTTACCAAGGCCCCCAAGAACATGCGCTCGATCGTGCAGGCCGTCGCGCTCTTTATGAACGCCTTCTCCTCGGCCATCGGTCAGGCCTTCGTCGGCCTGTCCAAGGATCCCCTCCTGGTGTACAACTACATGGTGGTGACGATCCTGGCCTTTGTCGGTGCCATTGGATTCTGGTTGACCAACTACAAGCTGGATAGGAGGGAAGACGAGCTCAACAACTTGCCACAGAGCAAATATGCGGAATCGAGCGGCGTCAGTCTGGATGAGGAGAATGCACGGCGGTAAATGAACGGACCCGTTTGTGTTTCTGGTGTGCCCATATACCCTGTTACGTGGAGATGTAATGTGATGCTAGTTTATGTAACTTACTCAAATGCTTTCGGTGCCTTGACGCCTCTCAGCTATGACTCGATATTCTACTATAAGCCCTGCCTTGAGAAGGTCCTAGGAGGGATTTCTGACCTGGACATGGTCTCTTTCATCCGCACGGTGATAATTGAGCTATAACCCACAGGACGTGCTCCGGTTGTCAAGTTATGAAGTTGTAGTTAATATAGTATCGACAACGGCTCCTAAGAACCCCGCCCAAGAAAACAAAACCCATCCGTAGTGTATGTACCATGCGACCTATCTCTTCAGTAACCGATACAGCAGCTCGAGTTTTGTACGCTCTTTCTTTCTTTGCCTTGAACATAATCTCCTAGAGGCAAGATCCAAAAACAATCTAGTGGAAGAGGCTTGAAAGATCCCGAAGTCTATTGTAGGGTATATCGAACTTATGAACTATAATCAACCCATGAACTAATTATATATTCAATTTCCTAGAAAGGTAATTTTAATGTGCAATATTAAATCCCCTTGAGCACGTATCTGATGTGCAAAAATATCCTTCTTATAGTGATGAGCTCATCTTAACAGTCGAGCACGTAATTTCAATTTGTACCCGCAGTGGAGAAGAAACTTTTGACATCTTTGGGGAAAAAATGAGAATTCTTCGAGAATTCTTTCAACCGTCATTATTGAAAGCACTTCAATTCAATCGCCAACGTTCTGGTTTCGGGATGTTTTTGTCGTGTCTTTCCACCTCCAGGTAGTACTTTGAGGGGAGAGACGTGACTTGCAACAGCCCTAATCGGGGCGGATTCAAATTGCCAGGAATCGGCGGAAAAGCGACGATCAACATCAGTTCTGCTCAATTATTGGATGATCGTGATGCCATAACCGCTAAAATCGGAACCTCACTGCACCACATGGAGATAATGCTTGATGCTTAGTGGGGATTAGCCTTGACCAACAATGTACTACTCTTCAGATAACCGATAGATGCATCTATTATTGGTGGACATACCTATCCCTTGCGTCAAACTCATCCCCCCCCAACATATTCGTTTCAAGCCAATCTTCGCATACTGTGTAGCTCGGCTCGGTAAACCGTTGAATGGCATCATCCCGTCGCCCGTAATCGCAATCGCAATCGTGAATAGAAAAGTGCTTCCCCACATCTGAGTAGCTGGCTATATGTACGAAGCTCAGCTGCAGGTCTTTAACAGCTTCCCATACCTGCTCCGACCCCAGTCGTACCCAAACCATGAAGCTCTCGAGCATTGTGGCCCTGTCTGGCCTTCTGGCGGTTTCAGAGGCTGGTCCGCAGCAACATGCACTGCAGAGACATGTCTCCAAGAAGCCTAATTTCCTTTTCATTATGACTGACGACCAAGATCTCCAATTGAACTCTCCCGCGTACACCCCGCATATCCAGAATCGGATCAAGGAGAAGGGCATTGACTTTGTAAACCACTTCGTCACCACTGCGCTTTGCTGTCCTTCGCGAGTCAGCTTGTGGACAGGACGTCAGGCACATAATACTAATGTTACGGATGTGAGCCCACCTTGGGGTATGTGGGTTATTATTTTATGCTTACACGAAATAAAAATACGATGGCATCGCTTGCTCTGTATACTGACCATGGACAGGCGGATATCCCAAGTTCATCTCCCAAGGCTTCAATGATAACTGGTTCCCCGTGTGGTTCCAGAATGCCGGCTACAATACCTACTACACAGGAAAGCTTATGAATGCACACAGTCTCAGTACCTACAATAAGCCGTTCCCGAAGGGCTTCAATGGCTCGGATTTCCTTCTCGACCCTCACACATACTCTTACTATAACTCTACCTACCAGCGCAATCACGAAGCCCCCCAGAACTACGCCGGCCATCACACGACGGATGTTATCACCAAGAAGGCTCTTGATTTCCTCAATGATGCTCTGGAGAGTGATCGGCCGTTCTTCGTGGCTGTTTCCCCGGTTGCACCCCACTCCAATATTGATCCCAACACACTGGGCGGCTCGAGCCCTACTATCATGACGGAACCGATTCCTGCGCCTCGCCACCAACATCTATTTCAAGATGTGAAGCTGCCTCGGACACCTAACTTCAACCCGCTCAATGTAAGTATGTGCTTCGCGGGCAGTGGGAAGGAACGTACTGACAATTCCAGCGTACCGGGGTTAGCTGGGTGTCCAATCTCGCGCTGCAGAACCAAACAGTCATTGATTATGAAGATCATTTCTATCGTCAACGCCTGCGCGCTCTACAAGGTGTTGATGAATTGGTCGATAGGCTGATCTCTCGTCTCGAGGAAAGCGGCGAGATCGAGAATACCTACATCATCTACACCTCGGATAACGGATTCCACATCGGTCAGCACCGCATGCCTCCGGGTAAAACAACTGGCTTCGAAGAAGACATCCGGGTCCCGTTCTTTATTCGAGGCCCCGGTATTCCCGAGGGAAAGACCGTTAACAGTGTCTCGACACACATCGACCTAGCTCCAACGTTCTTTGAATTGGCTGGTTTACCGCTGCGGGCCGACTTCGATGGCACGCCCCTGCCTATCAAACGACAGTCCGCTGCGATTTCCCATGAGCATGTTACCGTGGAGTTCTGGGGTTCCGCAGTTCTCGAAGGAGAATATTCTACGATCGGTAAGGCTGTCATGCTCATGAGCTAGTCGTGGTCTGTGCTCATCCAATCGTATATAGGCCCTGACGGTGACACCCATTTCTCGAACAACACCTACAAGTCGGCCCGTATTCTCGGCGATGGATATAACCTTTATTACTCCGTGTGGTGTCATGGCGAGCATGAGCTTTACGATCTCACAGTACGTCATTGCGACCTAACTTTGCTAGAGAACTGTGCTGATAAAATCTAGTCTGACCCATATCAACTCCACAACATTTACACACCCAAGAACACCACATTCCAACTCCTCGGTCGGCCCTTGCAGGCCGTTATCACCCGGCTCGACGCTCTGCTTCTCGTCCTGAAATCCTGCCAGGGTCCCACCTGCATTGAGCCGTGGAAGGCGATTCATCCTGATGGGTCCGTGCAGAGCCTGAAAGATGCGCTTGATCCGCAGTACGATGCTTTCTACCAGAAGCAACCGAAGGTATCGTATGATCAATGTCTGGATGGGTATCTTATCTCCAACGAGGGCCCGCAGGTTGGGCTACAGTATCGGGATGGACTGAGCTGGTCGGCATGGGCTTAACGCTAATGATCGTGATGATGCGAAGGTTATTTTATAATGTATAAATAGTCTTGTACATATATAATAGGGCTTGTGATACTACGGACTGTTTAATCTGAGATGGCAAGTGGACTGTACAATGAGATCAGATGTCAGTCCTGATAGAAACAAACACTTATTACAAATAACTTTGTAACCAAACACTCCTAATCAAGTCATATCATGCGCTATGCCGCCCAAGAGTCAGTCCAATAAAGGTAGAGGCCTATGCAGAGCCATCCTTCGTTGGCTGTGATCTGGAATTCTTTCTCAGCAGTAGCCTAGTGATAATATTAGTGACTTCAGATCACAAATAGCCCACACATATTCAGCATCGTGAGCGCAAGAAGATGGTTGATAAAAGAATCTGTGGTCGTGGCAGCACGATGATATTAGGTTAAATAAAGTGAATTCTGTAAAATATTAACAACCCGGAGCACGGGGCTACATTATTATATGCACCCCATATATACTAGACTATATACATTACGTATCAACGTCAAAATTGTCTCGAAAAATATATAGCCATCCATTAGATATGGAATGAAGCCACATTCTTCGAGATAAGTTCATACGTATCCGATCGGAAATCGTCGTTGAGCAGCTTCCCCGAGTGCGCAAGGAAATTCATCAGTTGCTTCTTCTCCTTCCATTGAGGCCACTCCATATATTTGCCTCTCCTGGAGTTTGGATCTTGATCATACACGAAACTGAAGTAGTAGGTGCAGGTGGACCTAGAGGCGTAATTTGGCAGAATGCCGTAGAAGACTTGGAGGATGTCACTGCCGTGGAAGGTTCCCAGGATAGGGGTACCGTAGCCGTACGATGAGAGATATGACCAGCTAGGAACGTCCGGCTTGACTTCGCTTGCCCACTGCAAGAAAACGCGTCGAGTCAGGGTGAACGTTAGATCGCCGAGGATTGCGGCGAGCCGTTTGAACTGGGGGTACCAGTTGTTGAAGAGCCCCGTTCGGAAGGGGGAGCCGTCTTCAGTGATGGTTTGGTATGTACCTACGAGCTCTCGGAGTTGATCTTGTGAGGCGCCGTGGAAGAAATACTTGGATAGGTACTCTACGACGTCGTCGGTAGTCGTGATGTTGGACTGGAATAGGGCGAAAATTGTCCCCTCGTCTTCCTGGTCGCCGATAATGAACGGTACCGAGGCGTATTTCCCGGCTTTGCTGAGTACATCTGGGCTGTCGGTGAGGACTTTCCCGTCAGGACGAGGGAGATATGAGAGAGATACAGAGTGGTAGCTCAGTATTCCGGGGACAGAGTTAGCAGCGTTGAGGTAGGTCGTGTAGTCGAGCTCTCGCAGGCACTGCAGGGTGTTTGAAGCTTTGGAACAGCCGGCACTAGCAACGACAGCGTCATAGACGGCCTGCCCTTTAGCCCCATCGACTGGTTCCGCGGGTACTACTGATCCAGAGTTCATAATTGCACCATGAAATAGTGGCTTGCCTTTGTATGTGTGATCCCCCTCATACAACATCATCTGGTCAAAGACGGAGATGGATCCGGCCGACTCACCCCAGATAGTGACCTTCTCTGGATCACCACCGAAGGCCTCGATGTTATCGGCGATCCACTCCAATGCTAGGCGCTGGTCAAGTAGACCCAGATTCGCAGCCCCGTCTTCAAGTATCTCCTTTCCCGGCAAGAAGCCGAACCCGCCGACACGGTAATTAATGGCTACAAAGACAATAGGCATGTCCAAGTTCATAGAGCTGGAGACTAAGGGTGTACCATCATACATGGCTGATGATCCGAGCTCAAACCCACCCCCAAATATCCACACCAGAACGGGTAGCTTGCTTGCTGAGGTTGTCCCTGCCGGTCGACGAATGTTGAGACTCAAACAGTCTTCTCCGGCATTGGTGATCTTTTGGAACAGAGGGATATTAATCAACTGGCCCACCACTGACCCTGGAAACTCGGGGTTATCAGTGGAGAAAAAGAATTGCGGACAGGCCTTAGCGGCTCCAGTAGCCTTGAATGTCCCCAGAGGTGATTCTAACGCCTTCGGAGGCTTGAGACGCAAGGGGCCGGTAGGCTGCTGGGCGAAAGGGATGCCATTGAAGCTCTCAACGTTCCCAGAGTTTCCCACTATTGTGGCTAAGGGAGAAGAGATGGTCACCGTGGGGGGTTCCCTCTTGGCAGGAGCTGCCAGGGCGGAAGGGAGAGAGAGGAGAAACAGTAAGGAGGGCTTGAAGATCATCGTGCGGGCCTTGATCTACAGTATATGACGTTGGGATAAAACGGTGTATATATACATCTCTATCTAGTATCCTACTCTAATATTGGAATGCCCAATATTTGTTTACGGCTCTCTCTATTCCTCCAGGAATGATAATAACTCCTTGGCATTCCTTGGCAAATATGCTCCCAATATCGTATCCAGGTCGTGGGATACGACGCTAGAACCCCGCGTAAATCACCAAGATTTGCGGAGAGACAGACGGAGATGCCCCCATAATATCTAGCCTGGCTTGGTCAGAAGGGTCATACGGTTAGGTAACAAGGATTGATGGAGACGATGGAAGTATAATTCATTGTCGGATTTCAAAGAATTCCAAGTCGATCTCCATGTGAACCGAGGCACACTGACCGAGAGGTGCTAAGGCAGTCAATTGTGAAGTCAGAAGATCATTGTTAGCGCGCACTGACTGATGATAAACGTTTAATATACGTTGCAGAATATCAACAAGTGGGTCCATACATGGGAACGCGGGGGTGCGGGGGCGGGGGGGGGGGGCGGGGGCACGTTAGGGCTGCGGCAACTTGGCGTAACAACCTCCCCTCCCCCCGCTTAAGATGATGGATTCAGGAACTCGGACTTTCGTGAACTCAGTGGAGCCAAGCAGGTCTCATTTATGGTCGAACATTTTGCGTTTACCTAGTCTGTTGTGTTCTGGGTCCTAATTGATCAATCAGGATAGTTACTATATTTACTGAATAACCGGCTACGCATGCCTAGTATTATGAGGTGCTTGTGAAACTGATTCATCAACTAAATCACTGGAGACTCCAGCAATCCCCCATACTGCTGTTAGGCAACAATGTGTACTCATAGCGATAGCAAAGACTACGACTCGTGTATAGGATAAAACTAGAATCTGCCCAATATTGAGTAGTTCCCCCTGAGCCATATCCCCACGCTCAGTGTAACGCCCCCCACATTTGGTCTTTCCCATAATTGGTCGAGTCTTTTATGATATTTATCAGATTCTGGTTTTACAACTTATCTTGTTCATTCAGACCAGGCTGTGACTGGCTATGCGGCCGATTCTGTTGATATTGGATAATCCTTCAGCTTAACGAACAGTCGTCTACCTCATGCGAGATAAATGGCCTCGGCTCATGCGTGAGCCTCATGTGAGAGATACTTGAAGATTCTAGTGGTGCGGGGCAAAGAGGCACACAAGGGGCCTCAAGGACCCGCGCCTCTAGTGGTGTCGTAGCGTTTGAAGCGGGCATGAAGAAATCTAGGTTCTCCAGCTCTGGCCACCACTCGAACCTTTATCTATCTGATACTGTCCATATGATAGTAGTTGACCTTTAGTTATACGGTATATAACTTGCTAAAGGTCACTTTCCTTACAATAACAGTATGTAGCACGTTCACTAGTGTTGCTTCTTTCGAGCAAAGGATAAGATTATCCCTAGAAGTAGATACGTAGGGCTAGGCATAGATACCAGTGAGAAAGTATATCGAGTACCTGTTTACATCGTATAAACTCATTGCATAGATAACTCAGTTTATCCCAAAATTCTGATTCAACCTACGAATGGTTGGGCACTGAGCATAGCATTACCTTGACACTCCATGGGCAAACTTCCTTGCTAATCCAATAAATCTCCAAAGAAACAACTTTACTTGCTCTAGAGTCTCTCCAGATGTGCGAGAGTCGCTATATCTCTGCATGTAAGTGCGAAACAATTCTGCTTTCCAACAATCAGCTCCCCGCTGCAATTCCTCCCAGCCTGATTTCTTTGCCATGCTCCAATATCATATATTATGGATTCGCACTTGACCATTGGACTATTCTGCCCTAGGCGACGGCTTTGCTTTACTACCTTCATGGAAATGAGTGGATAGCAAGGTCTTGCAACATCTGGGAATTTATATGGACCGCCCTCACAACAGGACACTGTGGATCTGACTTAACACCACGCCTGCGTGTTCGATTTCAATTCCTATACCTAGCGTACAAATCCGATACTGTTTGTGAGAAGTCATCAGCGTGCATCTCTTTTTTATTGTACTTTACTAAGATCTTCAAACTTGGATTTTCACGCGCTTGAAATTTTGGGCATCTTATATAGAGCCGCAGGGTAGGAAGACTTTGGAGACCAACTTCGAGAAGGACCTGTAAGAATGCGAGTGATATGGATATCGATCGCATGTTGAACAGTTGAACATTCCATACGAAGGCAAAAATTACCCCTTGCGGCGGGTCGATGTGTCCAGTCCAATTTATTTCGACGTACGTTATTGAATAATATTGCCACCACTAATATGATATAGCAATAAGTTCAATATATGGCCGTTCTGAGAAGTTATATACATTGCCACATCTAGCATGCGGTATAGCCAGGGAGGGGGTATATTCGGGAATATACATACATGCTAAAGCAGTAATCGACGGAGGGGTACGGGTCTCAAAAGAAGGATAATCACGATCTAAAACCTCCGAGCCCACCGAAACCTCATCAAAATCATCTGTCTCCCGGACAGGGGACGGCGAATTCGCGGGCCAACTCAATTTGTGGCTTTTCTTCCTGGCTGAAAATCATGTCAATGATTGGAGGTCGGCCGCATCTTGGCTCCAGCGAGCTGCATGACTATTAACAAATAGCCTCCTTGTCTTGCCTGCAGAATTGCTGCCGGGAATTAGGTCTAGTGATCACCTCTCAGCATTGGCTGACTCTCTCCGCACCTTTAATCCAGCTTCAGCTCGGTCGGATGGTAAGTATTTCGACGAGAAGAACACGTCCGCTGCGACCGTATCGAAACATTATATAAAAGCGTTCATCCTCGCTGTACAGGGAAATGATTATCCAAAAACCTTCAACCGAAGCGGAATAAGATGGTCTCTTTCAATTCTTGTCTCAGGGCCTTGGCCCTGGGGTCCACTGTTTTCGCCGTCCAGCCTATCCTCAGGCAGGAGGCAAGTCTGGATACCTGGTTGAGCACAGAGGCAGATGTATCGCGACAGGCAATTTTGAATAACATCGGCGCAGATGGCGAGTGGGCGAAGGGCGCAAGCTCGGGCGTAGTGATCGCGAGTCCGAGCAAAAGTGATCCAGATTGTACGACGCCTTTCCTATGATGGGCCTGTTCTTTTTTTTTTCTTTTCTTTTCTTTTTTTTTTTTTTTCTGGCTCACTCACTATCCTTAGACTTCTATACCTGGACTCGCGACTCGGGACTCGTCATGAAGACGCTCGTGGACCTTTTCAGAGGCGGAGATGCAAACCTTCTCCCTACAATCGAAGAGTACATTAGCTCTCAGGCTCGGATCCAAGGTGTCTCGAATCCTTCTGGCGGCCTCTCTAGCGGAGGTCTGGGCGAGCCCAAGCTGAATGCCGATGAGTCGGCCTTCACAGGAGCATGGGGTCGGCCTCAGCGCGATGGGCCAGCATTGCGAGCGACTGCTATGATTGCGTTTGGCGAATGGCTAATTGTAAGTCCATCGTCGTCACTCCTTATTATGATCGGAGCATTTCGCTAATTATTATTCAGGAAAATGGACACACCGACATAGCTACGGATTCGGTCTGGCCTGTTGTCCGGAATGACCTGTCTTACGTGGCTCAATATTGGAACCAGTCTGGGTTTGGTATGTTTCTGTACAGACCATTGGAGCTATCAGTCAGTAGTTAACATTCGATAGATCTCTGGGAAGAAGTCCAAGGCTCATCATTTTTTACCGTCGCAGTCTCTCATCGCGCTCTAGTGGAAGGCAGTACTTTTGCAAAGAGCGTAGGGTCATCGTGTCCTTACTGCGACTCGCAAGCACCCCAGGTTCGGTGCTATCTACAATCCTTCTGGTCTGGTAGCTACATCCTGGCTAATTTTGGTGGTGGGCGATCGGGAAAAGACATCAACACAGTTCTAGGCAGTATCCACACGTTTGATCCCAAGGCTGGGTGTGATGATACTACCTTCCAGCCTTGCTCGGCCAGAGCCTTAGCCAATCATAAGATGGTAACGGACTCATTCCGATCGATCTATGCCATCAACTCCGGTCGCGCTCAGAACCAAGCGGTTGCTGTTGGTCGCTACCCGGAGGATAGCTATTACAATGGCAATCCCTGGTTCCTGACGACCCTTGCTGCTGCGGAACAGTTGTATGACGCCTTGTACCAGTGGGATAAACTCGGGTCGTTGACCATCACGGACGTTTCGTTGTCGTTCTTCAAAGCTCTATACAATCCCGCCGCGACAGGAACATACGCATCGTCCACCACGGTGTACAAAGACATCGTCGCAGTCGTTAAAACGTACGCCGACGGATATATGCAGATCGTTGTATGCCCCTCCCTTACTCACCAATGCAACATGTGTAGTGCATTATCCCTAACAGACATAGCAAAAATATGCCGCACCGAACGGCTCAATGGCGGAACAATATACTAAAGCGGACGGAACACAGACCTCCGCTCGAGACCTGACTTGGTCATACGCTGCACTTTTAACCGCCCATAACCGGAGAAATGCTGTCGTCCCTGCGCCTTGGGGTCAGTCCGCTGCCACAAGCATTCCATCGGCTTGCTCCCCGACCTCGGCCTCTGGGACCTACAGCAGCGTCGTCATCACATCATGGCCGACTATTAGTGGGTATCCTGGTGCCCCAGACACTCCCTGTCAGAAGCCAACGACTGTATCGGTCACCTTTGAAGTGAAGGCGACGACGGTCTACGGTGAGAATGTCAAGATCGTCGGATCAGTCTCCCAGCTTGGGAGCTGGAATCCCAATAATGCAATCGCACTCAGCGCAGACCGATACACGACCAATAATCCGTTGTGGACGGGAACTGTTAACTTACCTGCAGGGCAGTCATTCGAGTATAAGTTTATTCGCGTTCAGAATGGGGCAGTTACGTGGGAGAGTGATCCGAATAGGAAGTACACCGTTCCTTCGGCCTGCGGAGTGAAAAGTGCTGTGGAGAGCGACGTTTGGCGGTGATGATGATAATAATGATAATACATAGGATCTTATCAAGGAGACTGGCATGATGAGCGTTTGTGACGAGGCACTTCACCACAGGTAAAATCGGTTGTATCCTCCGTTGAGTTCCTAAGTCAGTGATATCAAGGACCACCTACTTGCCATTTGATGGAGGTGAGATGTTCTTCATATTAGGCAAGCTATACTGCATTTTTACCACGTTCTGTGAGCTACATAGCCCTGTTCTCAACAATGTATGCTGGTGTCGAAGGGGTGGTGTCTTGGATCTATACTGTGATAACTTTGGCTGGCTACGCCGATAGGTAGTCTTTATCATCTCCTCTTTCTACTCAGTGCTTCGTTCAACTAATAGCTCATAAACCATTTACTATACAACTAACTGTGAACCGCGTAGATAGAGGATACTGGTCCTGTTGAGAAATTCTTACTCTAGTTTCTTCCTTTGCCTTCGTTCTGTACACACCTCGCTGAAAACTGAGCAAGAGTAATCAGGGTCACACACGGCCATTTAATTGTTTTGTTATCTATTAGCTTCTCCTCTTGGTTCCTTTGATATCTTTTCCATTTCCCCTTGCCTTTCCATCCAACAAGTAGTTTACGTATTTAGAAATCTTGTGTGTTAAGAGACACTTTAGACGCCTAAATCCTTCCCGAGGCGGATAGAATTATGTGGCGACTTCGCGTACAAAAGAAAAGGTGTCGGTATATTCAATAACTGATCAATTCAAACAGGGTCCGCTCCGTAGTCCGCTCACCGGATGAAGCTGGAGCAAGGGTTGTATTATGGAAAGGTATCGCGTCGGTCCCCATGCGCTGTGGATCATACTGTGAGCCACCGCTTGCCGGACGCAGATCAGTTGTAGGTGGTGAGCCATTCTCGAATCTTGCTTCAAAAGAGGACGACAACTGTGGATCTATCGGCGGAGGACTAGCCGTACCAACTGAGTGATCCTCGGATATTTTTCTGACTCTCTGCGCAAGATATTGCTTGATCGGCTCATCATCGCACTGCGCATGCTTCAGTATCTCGCTGTGGAGATCAAGGATCTCGTAACGCAGGTGTTCAATCTGGCCTCGTAATTCGTTGTTCCGCCATGCTTGCGCGTCGGCAAGGGACTCGATCTCTTCTACCACAAGCTTCTTTCGCTGGCGACACCGTTTGGCTGCCTCTCGATTACGCTGGAGGACTTTGTCTCGTCTTGTCTTCCAATCTTTGTTTGCTCTATTAGGGTTCACAAAGACGTGGGGAATATCCTTTGTGTAGCCCTCTGCTGGGTATCCCATGCCTTGCGTACTTCCTTCGAGCTCGCGGTTTTGAAGATTGATGGGCTGGATCGCCGGCTGAATAGGTAAAGCAGTCTCTGTCAGAGACATCGCGCTTACATGAGGCTGTAAACGTGGAAGGCTTGATTGGTTCGTATGACACATGGCAAAGGGGGCGACGTTTCCAAATTTAGCCCATGGCTCGTATGGAACGATGTTCTCCAAGTCTAGTTGTTGCGACTCTCTTCTAGGAGGCTTAAGAAACGGTGAATGCTGAGGGAAGGTTGGAGCCAAGTTCCACAGGAGCTGCGGCTGTACAGCGGTAATCGAACTCATATTGATCGGGCGAAGTGATCAAATGCTACCTGCGTTTAGTTGAAGAAGGGCTTTCAGCCTTTTGAAAAGGATGAAATGCATGACAGGAGAAGTAAAGGGATCGTTGGGTCGATTGGGGTGCTTCTCATCCCATATAAACCTATGTTGTCAGGACAAACTTGTATTCATTCCCACATCGTTAGGCAAGTATCGTGTCGCACCACCTTTCCTTGCTCGGATGTCACGGCCCAGCGAATAGGACGGGGTCGGGATTTGATCCCAATGTAATAATGACCAAGAAGGGTGCAAATATCCCCGGTTTAGCTTTCACATTCGTGTTATTTGTTTCGGAGGGGGTTATTTGAGAGCTACAATCCCTAACTCGCGGCTTTTGCTCACCCAAGTAAAAAAAGTCTCTCTCAAAATGTACATGTCCTCACATCCTTGCTACAGTCGAGGAGCCATGGTTCGGCCAGGAATGTAGCTTATACCACTGGGTCAGCGCTGGGTTCACCCTGTTGTGGGCCTGAACCTAGAGTTTATATCGCAGTGACCTATTTCCTCTTAGATGATATTCCATAGGACCATGAGGGGGGTCGTCCTTTGGACCAGAACGGAACTTTCACACAGGTCTTGAAGTCGACATTGCTTGTGTCTGCTCCAGTAACCCTGGTACACGACATCCTTATTCGACTTGAGTTTTGTTATGAGGTAAGTGGCTATGAATAGCTCACAAATCGAAACATGGGGGGAGAAAGGCCGTTCTTCGATTATAAAATAATCAGCATTTTGTAGCGGGATACGCCATAGACAGACATGGGACTTCGTTAGGACAGGTGGGACCAGAGGCCCTAGCTTCTTCGATTGAGTCTAGTGTCTGTTACTTCCGAAGATCCAGCGGGTTTATACTGATCACAATATATTCTTGAAAATATGAAGGTTATCTTATTTCTCTGAACTATCTAGGCATTATGTTTGCTTGAAAATACCGTACCCAGGTGACCTCCCTATTCACTATTTTCTTTGTTTCTTTGTTTCTTTGTCTATGATATTCACTACCATCATACCACCCTTGAAATATTCTGCAGAAAGCAGCAATATAGTGAATGGTTGAGGCCGCCATATCCAACATACATTAGGGCATCTCTTTCTCATGTGGCGCGCCGTTGGCCGAGTTTTGCCATGGTTGTAGCCGTTTTTATTCTGAGGCAAATCATGAAAATAAATCTCCTAATCGGCTGTCATATGTTAAAAGGCCAGAAAGGTTGGGTATAAGGTTCCAAGATGTTGGAATCTTTTCATATCATTCATCTGTATCGCATATATACAGTCACATGACAAAAGCCTACGTAATTCCGCGTCACGCGACGCGCTACCCAATATTATACTTCATCTTTGCAACCATCTGGATCATGCCTCGCACACCTTTACGATCTACTAGTTCTAACAGGGCTAGTAGACATGAACTGGAACCATTTTAACGTGGGATTATAGTTGGTTGATGTTGTGATCTCAGGGGAAAGATGGGCAGAATGATGCTGTATCAGCTACACATACGTAGCCTACTGAGGACCGGATGCCATTCCGATAGATCTCAATTCTATGGACGACTATATCAACTATCTTCACTGCTTCTTCATATCTTTTTTCTAATGGGTAAAGCCTTCAGGGGCTGAAGGAGTGGGTGATCCGGCCAAGCCGCTAGGCGATCACGTGTCTCCTATAGATTCATATCAGTTGATTTCTTGCAGGCCAGAAAAAGGCCGATATTCAACGCGCAATGAATTTGCCATATATAATAATTTAAACCTGTGATTCCATTAGCCAGCCACCTAACCACTAGGCTAAAAGCTCAGCAATTGACTACTTGTCAAGTAGTCAACCTGTTAGGTGGTATATATATAAGGTGGTCCTATCTCATACTAGGAACCACAAACCACTATTGAAATATATCAGATCTGTACTACTGGAACTAGCTCTCCTTGCTCCGGACAGCCAGAGATTCTTTCTGATACTGATAAGCGATATATTCTTATAAAAATAGAAGATATCTGTAAATTACTTAATAAGCCTGTTTCTGCACGCACTGTTGCGCGTATATTAAAAGAATCTGGATATGGTCACTGGAGAGCGCAAAAAGGACCTTAATTAACTGAGGAAATAGCTAAACTACATTATCAATAGACATATACACGCAAGAAGTGGATATATAAGCAGGGGAGCAAGATTATTTAGAGTGATGAATATTCTATTAAGCTTGGTAAAGGAAAGAAAAATCAATGGGTATGGCAGCTTAACTATCTTGATAAAAAATAGAAAAAAAAAGTATATTGTTTTATATATAGAAGGTAGAGGAATCTCTATTATGATTTAGGCAGCAATCTGGGGTGGTGGTTATACAGAAATCTACTGAATAAGTAGGGATAAGGAATCTGCTCAAGAAGAGTATTCTTTATACTTCTATTTAGAAATTATTGAAGATTATCTATCTGCTATATAGGAACCTGATATAGAGTTTATGCAAGATAATGCTTCTATTTATATAGCCAATATTATTAAGAATTGGTTTAATAAGAATAGTATTTCTCTTATTGACTGGCCCCCATACTTACCCGATTTGAACTCTATTAAGTATGGCTGGGCTAAGCTAAAAGAGCGTATCTATATTCTTTATCTAGATCTTAAGTTATTTAATAAAACCAAAAGCTAATTGAAAGAGTAATTTTATAAGGCAATTAAGGATATATAGAAGAGCTTAAAAGAGGATTATTTTAATTCCTTAATAAGGTCTATAGAAATCCGTGTGAATGCAGTTTTAGAGGCAAAGGGATGGTATACATGCTATTAGTATAAAATAAAATATATACCATTCTTTATATACAATATAGCTATCATATATTTGAATATCTTATAAAAATAATAATATCTGGTTGTTTTATGTGAGATTATGATGTTCCGATTATTATATATATTTTGGTGGTTGCGGGAAATTACGTAGACTTTTTGTCCAAGAACTATATGTGTGTGTATACATAGTTCTCGCGTGTTCACATTATGGAATATACAAGAAATGGTATTTCGACATTCGTAAGACGTGGCTATAAACATGTTTAAACAAACAAACAGAAACCTCTCAATCTTCTTAACTCGAATGGAAAAGGGGGGATTCATATATCCAAGCTACAGCAATTTCTTCTCACCCAAAAACTCCATGTCCTCGTCGATCCGGCCTTTCTTCGCAAACTTGATGTCATCGAGATAATTATCCCTTGGCAGCCATGGTCCCCTGTCAGCCGCCTTGGGTAGGTGCCGCTCTGCCTTAGTCACGTAGGTAGAATTGAGATTCAGCAGTCGACGTGGTTGCATCTCTTTTGCAGTGGCGGGACTCAACCGTGGCACGACGGCTTTGGCGCCCCGTTGATCCAATTCCTTGAGAAGTCGGCAGAGGAACTGCGCGGTGGCGTCAGCGCCCAATGTCCAAGATGCGTTGGTGTAGCCGATGACAAAAGCAGCATTGGGAAGGTCTTGCAACATGACTCCGTGCCAGATGTACTTCTCGGGAATATATTGAGGGATGCCGTCAACCGTGAGCGAGGCTCCGCCCGCAAGTTGTAGCTTCAGGCCAGTGGCTGTGATGATCAGATCGGCGTCCAGCTTCTCTCCCGAGTCGAGGGCTATGCCAGAGGCTGTGACCTCGCGGATGGTGTCGGTCTTCACATCTGCACGACCGGTGTGCAAGCTCTTAAAGAAGTCACCATCGGGGCATACGCAAAGACGCTGATCCCAAGGATTGTATCGCGGACGAAAATGAGGGTCGAAAGGAATATGTGACGGCAGCTGGCGGGAGACGGACAAACGGAGAATGAATCGGGAGACTGTTGGGAAGGCCTGGCAGAAGAGGAAGAACAGGCGCGAAGAGAGTAGCCATCTCAAACGCTGGATTTTGCGATCGACGGCTGCGGGGAGAATATAGCTCAACCATGAACGGTTTTGATTCGGGAGAGAAAGGATATAAGTCGGACTGCGCTGAAGCATGGTAACATGCTGAGCCTTCTCGGCTAGGTTGGGAAGGAGTGTTATAGCAGTCGCACCACTACCGATGATGACAACTTTCTTGCCGCTATAGTCTAAGTCCTCGGGCCAGAACTGTGGGTGGATGACCTCTCCCTGAAACTTGTCCAGCCCCGGGATTTCACTCTGTAGAGGCGTGTGGTAGTCGTAATACCCGGTACCAAATACTATAAACCGAGCCGAGAATGGCTTGGTTCGGCCTTCATGCTCGACGCTCAGAGACCAGGTGTTCTCCGTCGACGACCAGTCCGCGCCGAGAAGACGATGTTCGAAGAGAATATGCTTCTTTACACCATGCTCCTCAGCCGCATTGTTCATGTACTTGACAATGGAGGGCCCGTCGGCGATGGGGTTTCCCTGGTCCCATGGCTTCCAAGAAAAGCCAAATGTAAAGAGATCCGAATCAGAGCGAATCCCGGGATACTTGAAGAGATCCCAGGTGCCCCCTAGGTTACTGCGGGCTTCGAGAATGACATAGCGAAGCTTAGGGTTCTGAGACTTCAGACGATAGGCAGCGTTGATGCCGGAGATGCCGGCACCAATAATGATGACATCCAGAGGTTGTTCCATACTCACAGAATGCTTTAAGGTGGCAGAGATATCCACACGATCTTTGTTGGTAGTCTTTTATATGTAATGGAATGGATATCTACCACTTCACATGCCTCGGTTGGCCCCATTTCCGGAACGAGAAATCGTCGCGAGCTCTAGAAAATGAGGAGAGCGACGAAGAGCGGGGGATTAGAATATAAAATAGGTTTCGGCAGAGAAATTATGGACCCGGCAGTCTGGGGAAAAGGCCGAGGATCAAAAGGCCGTGCCGAAGATCGCCAATGGAGACAATCCATGCCTAATCGGGTAATGGTTGCGATGTCTCACATGAAGAGGTTACTTGCTCTCTCTCTTTCTAAGGGAGAGAAAGGGGCTCCTAGCTTGTATTAGAGAATAAATATACAGAACCCTTCGACAAGGTACATGGGTCCATGACCATGTAATGCCGTCGTATGACATTGCAACAATCAGTAACCATGCTCAACACCGCAATTCCTCTCTCCCTCGCGGAGAAGTTCGACTTTTTTCCCGCTCTTGTGTCACTCTGCCTCACGGTCGTGTGGTCAATGTTCACGGGGATTTGGCGCTCGTCGTCCTATCCTAAAAGCTGGTTTTTACATGTGGGATATGCCGCATTCCGGAAGGCAACCACTCGACTATCGATTGCACAGATGCAGTATGCAACCTCGCTTCGAATCCCGTACCTCGAGCGTGAACCTCACTAACCGTACAGGTATGTGATGCCTCCAACGAATAAGATCTACGATCAGTACGTGCGCAAGGCCAAGAAAGTAGCGGACACCGTAGACTTAGGACACGGAGCGTTAGGGCATTGGATTGGAGACCGCAATGCTGATAATATCTTAATTTGGTATCACGGCATGTGTTACACGCATCATTTGTCTTACTTATCCTTTCATGCATGCTAATCGCCCCCTAGGCGGCGGATTTGCCCTCCCTGCGAACTTGGGTTATTTCAATTTCTTCGCTCGCCTGATCGCTGACAGTGCGCGTGCCAATAAATCGCTGGCAGTTTTCAGTCTAACGTACACATTGGCGCCGCACGCAACTTATCCCACACAGATTCGGCAAGCTGTGGAAGCCCTGCGATACGTAGTCGACCAGACCAATCGCTCCCCGGGACATATCCTCCTGGGCGGTGATTCGGCAGGAGGGAACATGGTCGGCGGTGTGTTGTCTCACTTGGCTCATCCTCACCCTGCTATTGTCCCAGTGAACCTATCCGAGCATCTACGCGGCGCGGTCATGATCGCTCCCTGGACGTCGATGGAGACGGATTATTCGGGACAAGACATCGATTCTCGGGGGGATCTAATCACGCCCGCGGTAGCTGGCCCATGGGCCAGCGCCTACCTGGGAACTGCCAAGCGTGATTACTATACCGATTTATCCAGTGCGCCGACAGAGTGGTATACGACGTTTCCGGTGAAGAAGGTCTTAGTTTGTGCCGGCGGTAGTGAAATCCTTTTCCCGATTATTCAGGACTTCGTAACGAAATTCAAGGTAAGCTCCCAAATTGTGTTAGCAATGTGATCCCTTTTCATCTAATGCGAGTAGGAGGGCTTCCCAGATGTGGAGTTTTGTGTTGGCCATCGGGAGGGTCATGTCGCACCAATTTACAACTTGTACATTGGGGACCAGACTGAGACAGAACAGGGGAAACGAGTCAAGAGTTGGTTGCGAGAGACCTTATAGAAACGAGTCAAGCGCTTTTTTGATATATGTTTATCTATCTAGCTAGCAAGCTAGCTATATACTCCTAAGAAATAGACATTGTTTGGAGATCACCTATATTCAAATTCTATCCCTATCTCTACAGACGAATATAATGTTTCCCACCTTTCCTCCCCTTCTTAAAGAGACCTCTTAAGCAAACAATCTTATTCCAAGCCCAATGGATACTTGTTCCCACCTACGCTCCGAGTATTATAGTCTGAATAAGGGATGCGTATGCTTTAAATATCTCTTTTGTATTTGGTGTACGTAAGGCATTGGATATAATAACAAAAATCATATATTATCTTGCACAGAAAAGGAAACAAGAAATAATAGAATAACTACAAGCCCTTAGCTTCCTGTACATCTCTCAAAACTCTCAGATCCCTCGAAGCTCTTCCACGGGCAGCTTCCTGCAACCAGGACGGCAGGGCCCTGACGAGGCTAATCGGGCTGAGATAGTTTGGTAGGATGACCTGTCCGCTACTCTGGGTAAGTATCTGTTTGATCACAGCAGCTGACACCAATTCCGGTGTGAGGACGGGTTGTTTGAAATGGTCGCCCACGTCGGTTAATGGTTGGATCATGGGGGTTTTGACCCAGAGAGGATGAATGACACTGCCACCATTAGCACCCCATATATACACTCTGCAAACAACCACCGAAACCTGGAGAACATACCTAGTTCGAACTTTCGGAGCTTTGTACCAGAGTCGTAGTTCCTGGCCCAATCCCTCGTGGAACGCCAATGCACTCGCCTTAGAACAGCAATAGTCCACCAACTCACCTAGTGCCGCAAAACTGGCCATGCTCGCAATGGTAATGACATGCCCATGATTCTGCTTGATCATGCTAGGCAAAAATTCGCGCACCATTAGAAAATGCGACACCGTGTTGACCTCAAAGGTTTGCCGGATCTTAGCCTCCGGCTCATCGAGGATGCAACCATCGTGTCCGACACCAGCATTATTGACCAGCACCGTGGGATCACCGTGCGCTGCGCGGATCTTCTCTGCTACATTGCGAATATTTTCGGAGGTGGTGATGTCGGCTTTGTAAAAAGCGACGTTGGATGCTACGGGTCATTAGTTGGGATAGTTTCTGGGTGCAGGAAGGGGACTTACGCAGTTGGAATGATGGCTCTTGAATATCAAGTATCACCACCCGGACTCCGGCTTTTGCAAGGTCCTCCATGATCTGCTTGCCGATACCACTGCATCCACCAGTTAATAAAACTAGCTCGCCCTCGTTTTTCCAGGGTTTAGCGCGTTGCCAATTATTTGCCGCCCAATACCCCAGTGCGCGGTTAGCCTTGCGGATAATGCCCAAAGCTAGGAGGGCCGTCAAAGCTTTTGGTACCAATGGATGAAGGAATACATCTTGTGCCTGAGGAGGGAGGTGTTCGAGGGCCGTCTGGCTCCAATGGCGAAGAAGTTGGAGAGATTGATCGAGAGACATGGCGGTTATAGTAGTATGTATAGATTGTTTATGGAACTACTAATTAAGAATCGATGGCGGGAGCTGATATAATAGATTGAACTATATATCTTCGCCCTATACAGGTCCAGATATAAGGAATATAAGTAGCATACAGAAGCCCGGTATCAATGACCGAGGTTCTCACATGGTGTAACAAGATGCTTCTTTGGGGAGAGTGGTGATGATTGCCACATCCGGCAAGGGTTGCGAACGCCGATCCTTGCAAAAGTGGAGCTCATAAGGAATGAAATGTGCATATTATATGCACTAAAATCCCCGAAGAATGACCCAAATTTCCTGACTAGACGGTTCGCGAAGATTACTCTAAGTATTATCGTTGGGGTTCACATAACTTATGGCGATCATATGAGATTGGCGTTGATCGATCATCTGGATAATAGAATCTCTCTCTCTCTCTCTCTCTTTTCACTCTAAATTATATCATATTATATGTTTTAAGTTTTCCCTGGCTAGAATCAGGCTGTATCGGAACCTTGGTAGCCCTAGAAGTACAGGCATCTATCTATATTTATAGGATCCCAAATCTTTAGAATAGCAATTTTAGGACCAGACAGAGACAGGGAGTCTCAGAATTAGGGCTTCCGAATCCCCACAATTCAGGATATAAGTCTGTTTCAATATCTAGCCTGAAAGGCTTCTGGTCCGTGGGTCATCCTGCTAGTCGAGTCATTAATCTAGAGTAATTCTTAGTATCATATGTCCCCCTCCAACCGAGGTCAACAAGTCGATCTGTGGGGTTAATTTAATCTTGAAGCTTTACCCCAACATGAAGTGGATAAAAGAATATATTTTCTCCCCTGTACCCCAGATTGTTGGGCCCCTGAGCTTTCATACCTTTCCATTATCTGGTGCAACCAACCATGGACTCGCGGCTGGCCTTCGTCAGTCTCTCACTCCTCGAAGGTTTCCTGCTACAGCGTACTATCCTCATAGATCTCACCTTCCGCACGGTCACTTTGGGCTCGGTAGGAGTCAATCTGGCGCTCGTAGCCATCTGGAGCATCTTGATCTATCCGTATTTTGTCACACCATTGCGCCATCTACCAACAGTTTCGGTATTTCCCATCATCATGTCCTGAGAGACTTAGCTGACAAGAATATTAGGGCAACCTCAACAATGCCCGGATCATCTTCGACGATCCTCGCGGTCGCTTGCCGCTGGAGTGGATGAAGACCATCCCTAATGAAGGCCTCATCCATTTCCGCGATATTCTCAACCGAAGCTACCTACTGGCTACCAACCACCAGGCCTTGCTCGACATCATGAGCACCAATACCTATGACTTTGAAAAACCATGGCGGGCACGCGACTTTCTCGCCCGGATCATAGGGTTTGGATTAATTCTATCGGAGGGCAGTGCACACAAGAAACAGCGCCGGGCTCTGACCCCATCTTTCAATGTCAAAAACATCAGAGCTTTGTATTCATTGATGTGGGAGAAGACCGGGCTCTTGATGAGCGAGCTGGAGAAAGAAATGACCCAAAATCCGATGGATGCTACGAATCCAGTAAGCGGAGAGGGGAAGGTTGAGATGAGCGTCTGGGCAAGGTATTCCCTATCTTACGACTAGGTCTTGAGAGGAACACACCACTGACAGATATCAGTCGCCTCACCCTCGATATCATCGGACCAGCCGCTATGGGTCGCGACTTCCGCTCCCTGCACAACCCTGAGAACAAAGTGGCCGACAGCTTTTTGGCTATCCTAGAACCAACTAAAGAAAAGATGGCCTTCTTGGCCTTTAACTTCGCTCTACCACAATGGTTCGCACGTCGCATCCCCTGGCGTCTGAACAAGGTAGTTGACAATGAGACTGGGTACCTGCGTGATCTCTGCAGAGATATCGTCCATGAGAAGCGGACGTCCATCAGGGAAACCAAGGCAACGGCCAAGGAGCTTGAGGCCGACATTCTTGGTACCATGATGCTGGGCGGCGACTTTACGGACGATGAGTTGATTGACCAAATGTTGACTTTCTTAGCCGCCGGTGTATGTCTTTTTGTTCTTCTTCGTTCTAACATTTGTGACTAAATCCTAGGTGAAACTAACATGCTCTCTAGCACGAAACAACTGCAAGCGCTTTCACCTGGGCCTGTTACCTTCTCACCCTCCACCCCGATATCCAGGAACGTCTCCGTGCAGAGATTCGTGAGTGTATCCCTTCTGGGAGCCACCCCATCATATGGAGCGACCTCGAGACTCTCCCCCTTCTCAATGGTGTGTGTCAGGAAGTCCTCCGTCTGTACCCCACAGTCCCTATCACCTTACGTGAAGCCGTTCGTGACAGCGTGGTGGCCGGCAAACATATCCCCAAAGGGACTCGGATCCTTCTGTGCCCATACGCCATCAACCGCAGCCCAGAGTTCTGGGGTAAAGATGGTGAAGAATTCAAGCCGGAACGATGGATTGACACAGACAAGAATGGCCACCCTGTTGTCAACAACAACGGCGGCGCATCTACCAACTTCGCCCAGATCACTTTTCTTCACGGGCAGCGTTCATGCATCGGAAAGGATTTTGCCCGGGCCGAGTTACGCTGTGCTGTCGCTGGGGTCGTTGGCCGCTTTCGCTTTGAGATGCAGGACCCCAAGCAGAAGATCCATATCGCGGGTGCCGTGACAACTAAACCGGTGGAGGGGATGCATCTAAGGATGCGTAGGGTGGATGACTGGTAATTGGCTTTTCGTTTAACGTGTATATGATATGCTATGATATATGATTCTTTTTTAATGCTTTTATATAACAGCTATTATGAGTGCTAAACATGTCTATGCCATCATTCCTTTTTTAAGGGGTGGGTTGTGGTTATGGATATGCCCATGCCCTACGTGTTCACTAATGCGATGCTTTCCTTCCATCTGCTCAGGCAATTCCTCCTCGAAGGACGGCCACTCCTCCCATCCATCCTCCCAGGTCTGCATCATGTTCTCCTGGATTTCGGTCTTTGATAGTTTCTTCGTCTTCATAATTCTCCCCCACTTTTCCATTTCCCCATCGCTTAACAAACATTCATTTAGTAAATCTGTAATGGCAGCCGTATCAATCCCTTCACCAATGAATACGATCTCCTGTCGTCGATCGCCCCATGGCTCCTGAAAGTCGTCTTCAATGGACTTCCTCACATCTGCATCTTCCGGCCATGCCTCTTCTGGTACTTCGGCGAACCAAGGCCCACCACATCCAACGGTGAGCATGCCACCAGCTTGACTCCATTCACCAAATTGGTAAGGGCGAGTGGCAAGCCAGAAGAAGCCTTTGGAACGCAAAATGGGACGGAGGACAGGGTGAGAACGCTTGTTTGACAGGATTACCTCAGGGTCGGGCTGGGGGAAATCTTCCATTTCTTCGTCCTCCTCTTCCTCATCACTATTTTCTTCTCCTTCGCTTGCACACTCTTGCTCGTCCTCATCTTCGGCTTCTGCCTCGGAATTTTGAAGAAGAATGAATTTGTCGTGAATTAAACTGAAAAGTCGCCGCGGATGGAAGGGACGACGGGCTTTGTACACGAAATTGTTGATACCATACCTTCACCATTATTAGCCTCAACATGTATGTTTTTTTTTGAGATTGAGGGAGAGAGTTTCATACTCAACAGTCTCGGGAACAGGAGCCAACCTGTCCCCGTTGCCGGTCTCCCTCTTTGTCATCTCGTGCAAGCTTCTCAACCATCCAGCTCCCGATGCCGCCTTGAGGAAATTGAATCTCCCCGTGTCCAATATTTCGTTGACGTCAACCCTGGAATAGCTTGTCTCAAGCACCTTGGCATCTGGATTGAGGAGCTTTAGAATAGATCTAAGCCTCTCCCGGGTCTTCTCGGCAATAGTCTCAATCTTGTTAATGATGATCACATCCGCAAATTCAATCTGATCCACCATGAGGTCGGAGATGGTTCTTTCATCTTCCGGAACGACCTCTCCACCGTAGCGATCAGAAAGGAACTCCGCTGTGTCGAAGTTAGGAAGGAGATTGAAGGCGTCGATAACAGTAACTGTTGTGTCGAGTCTGGCCAATTTGTGGAGACCCCCTAGTTCCACACTATCTTGTCATTAGTATGATTGTCTCCAGATGTGCATAGGAGAGTGAAGGAGGCATACATCTGGCTGAGGATTTTCTTCCCCTCTTCGTCGGCGACGTCAGCCTCCTGCATGGCAGCGCTGAATTCCGCTGTGAAGGTCTCCGCTACCTGCATTGGTTCGCTAATCCCCGTGCTCTCAATCACGACATATTGTACGTCGTCCTGCCTTGTAAGTTGGGCTAGTTCCTCCAGCAGATCTCCACGTAGTGTGCAGCAGATACATCCGTTCTGGAGTTGAATGAGGTTCTCCTTTGTTTGGGACACGCGGTGGTTCTTGATCAAAGTTGCATCAATGTTTAGACTACTTGCTTGTTAAGATAATTTTACTGTGTTCATCTTGGCGATGATCCCTGTGAGAGAGTGTTGCCGGCACATACCTGCTCATATCATTGACTATGACTGCAATCTTGAATCCATGATCCGATTGTAGAATGTGTTCCAGGAGTGTTGTCTTTCCACTACCCTGTTTTTATCTCGTTAATAGGATCTTCCTCCTAGCATGTGAGGGAAAGTGGACTGTTTTGCGTACCAGGAATCCCGACAGAAGAGTGACTGGAAGTTGTCGGCTTCCCTTAGCTCCAAGGATGTTGTTGGATACGGGAATGGCGAGGGTTTCTGGGCCCGAATTGATCGTCATCCTAGTAGGCGATCGGGTACTAGTAATCGTATAGTGTAGGAGAGACGATATAAAAGTGCTAAGGACTGATTCAGGGGCGTCGCCTGCTAAACCAAACATTAAAACATTTATATACTTCTATTCATTCTCACCCCCAAGGTTCACAGCTACACATTGGAATATAATTTATAATCGTGCTTATGATTGGTTTGTGATGCTAGGTCTCCCTTCCGGCTCCAAAGGTACTTGCTCTGTGCCCTAATGAGATGTCTTGCAAGGTACCTAGTTTCGGAGTCAACCCAAGGTCCTCATCCGCAACTAGCCAATCGCAGGGGTTAGGTATCAATGGGATGACGAGTAAAGGTTACTCTCTTCTCGATTGGCTCTGGCAACTTCTGTGCAATGTATAATGTAGTATAGAGAGAATCTAGTGCGGTGGCGTTAAAGAAGATTATATAGGAATGGAAAGCATGTACCTTGCTGAAATGATAAAGGGTACTATAGGAGCCAAATGCTTTCAAAGAATAGATGAAAGAGGAAAAAAAGAAAAAAGAGGAGGGGGGTTGGTAAGACCAAGAGGAATCATCAGCAAAACTACAACCGTGTTATTTGAACTGAACTTCATGTCCTTCGCTAGGCTAACAAAACTACATTTCAGTCACTCGAAGCCTGACAGTCCACCCCAATACCCCCCTGAACCCCATCACAGACAACAACTGGTGGGCCCCCAGTTGGACTGGTCAGATCGATATTCTTCAACTGGATATTTGAGCACACCGAGTTAGGCGAGCACACAAGATCAGCCACCACCTTGCCATTCTTCCCAGATGAGGTGCCTGAGATATTCTCGAAAATAATGTTAGTCACGTTTACCTGAGAGGGGTACCGGGCACATTCCGCCGCGTCGATGTTGAAATAGCATTGATCCAGGACTACCGGAGCATCTGTGTTTTCAATATGAATATTCTTGTACGTAATGTTGTTGATACGGCCATAGCCGACGGCCTGGCCAGCCCACGCTTTAAGGCGCGCCCCGTTCTGTCGTTTTTAGTGATGGTGTATGGACTTCCATCTCGATGTTTGACTCACCTGTCCATTCAACAAAGTCACATTCTCAATGTATGCATGCTCGATGATATCCATTACCCCTGGGTACTGCCCGATGCTACCCATGCTGACTCCATGGGTATTGTTGCACAACAGGTTTTGCACAAAGATATTAGTGGTGTTCGGCTTGGGCGAGAAGCAATCATCTCCAACATTAACCCGAGTGTTCGTAACCCTCAACCCGTCTACATTCAGCGAGTCGAAGCCATCGCTGTTTTTGGGTTCAGCCTGTGTTCCTAATCAGTACGCAAGAAAGCACGAATCCGAGAGGTAAACCCACGGATTTATTTGTAGAGAATGCATGAATGAAAACGTCATTGAATGATACATCTTTGGACTGAACGAAAAAGTTCGTCCAGCACGGAGAGTTTAATTGCGTGATACCTTCAACCGAGATACGGGTTGCATTTTCGGTCAAAAATAAGATCGGGCGATAGTAGTCATTGTTAGGATCCTAACACCATTAGTAAAAGTCACTTGATATGTGCGCTATTCAAAGATCACACCAAGATTTCTTGCCCTGCAAACTCGTTGTACCACCTCTGACCATTTCCGTTCAACACACCAGTCCCAAAGATCTTGATATCCTGTCCGCCCCATCGCCAGAAGGAGATGGACTTCTGGAAATCGTAATAGAAATTGTTCTCTTGCCAGTAGGGTACATCGTCGGTAAACTATTCTATCAGTGGGCTGGGCCTATTATACTGCAGAACGCCGAACCGAGAAGAACCAACGTACCTTCAATTCCCCGTCCAGCTGCACCTCGATGTTGTCTAAAAATGTCAGGTCAAGCTTCCTACCAATTACGTACTTTTCTCCTTTCTTGAGAAGAAGTCGTCCTCCATGGTTGGCACGTTTGATTCCCCAGAGAAAGTCCTTTGAGATATCATCGGTATCATTTCGCGATGGTCGAATGGTTACGGTGCGACGATCATGATACCTGTGATGATGGCCACCGACACCCTCTAAGGCCTTTCCGTCGCTCTCAGGGATGACCTGTGCTCCAGGGATGAGACGGTCGACCGCGATACTGGTGACCGCGCTCGCGAAGAGCATTGCAAGGAGGACTTTCATGATGCTTATTGATCGATGCAACGGCTCAATTGGCATCTGAAGACGGGCTCCGTTATATCACCCATTGTAATAACTTAGTTAACCCAAGCAATGGTACGAGTCAGATTCCAAGGAACTCAACAAGAAGTTTCTCCGCCTGTAAGACAGCTTGTTCCCTACCAATATCTTTATCCGAGAAAATAGGATCCACCCACCGGAAATGTCACAACATCAATGCTTCTCCGCATGGGGTATGATCCCAATAGCTAGTAGGATGTTGGTAAGCCTGGAGTCTGGGGTATAGTATCCGCGTTGGTTTGGCCAGAATTTTGGTGGGATTTTATACTTCCACCAATCAGCTACTCATCGAGAGATCTTCGGAAATTATATGGCCGTGGTAGAATATTCTTTCTATTCCCTGTGGTTCCCAGTCTTAGCACGAGTCAGCTGTTGTAGCGATTTTTCAAACCGAAGATAATTAACACATATCTAAGCCGCAAGGGCTCAATGCAAGCAGACGGTCATTTCCCCCTACTGGATTTTACAGTCCACAACTACAGCTTATTTTAACCTCGGTTTCTCCGCAAAAGATCAATAGATCAATATACCTGCTTCCTCAACAATCAAGGTCTCACCGAGGTAAACAGACTCAAACTTATAGTGATAAAATTGTGGTCATAGGTACTATACTGTCTCATTGGAAGACAGAAATGAACAAAAATAAGAATTAGAACGTTGAATCACAGCTTCTTCGAAGCGAACCAAAAAGCGGTGAAACAGCAAATATTGCTCGACCACCAACATGCCGACCGCAGGAAGCTCAGCTTGAAAGATTCAATGTATTTGTAGCAAAATCCGAATGCCAGTCTTGACACTGCATACCACAGTCCGATGCGGTTAATGATTTCATTGGGCACGCCCGCGTGGAGGGCGACAAGGACTATACAATGGGTCAGCACGCTTCCACATCGTATCGATACGTTAGAAGTTTCCATACTTGCAGCTACAAACAAGGGGTAGTGTTCTGCTGAATTAGCCATGATGGCCTCTTGCCTCTTAAGTCTATTCAAGGTTTGCCGGCTAATTTTCCCCGACTGTACAGCGGCCTCACCGTACTTGGCGAGGTCTTCGCGAGGGGCCTGGTTGTGATCGAGGCGGAGCTTAATCTTTTCCCCCCGCGCGCTGAATACGCCAAATGAGATGAACCAGCTAGCTAGTAGATAGGCCACGGCATGGTTGGAGGCTTGTTCCCCAGGTGCAGCGTGAAGACCGAGAACGGTCCAGATGGTTCTGTCGATGTTAGCTCCGAAACGAAATGCCTGCAAACCATCGAACATACGACATGATAAGGATCTGGCTCTCTGGAGGTGTTTTAGTGTGGTGGGGGTTACGGATCGTTGAAATAGCCCCGTGGCACGTGACTTTCACGCGCGTTTAGAACAATATCGAACGGCCCTTCAAAACCCCGTTAGAAAGTCCATGCTCCATAATTCCGGTAACCCATAATCCGCCGTGTCAAATAAATTTCCAAAGTCAAGAGGCTAACCGTCAATTGTCAGCGCCAGGGAGTATGGGATAGGTAAGGACATGCTTACGGAAATAGACGCTGACTCGTACGGAACTAATGCAGGATCGAACGGCATCTCAGGTGTTGCGGAATTCAAACTCGGCGTAGAGACATCCGGCTATAAGCCAATTAGCAGAAGTCAACAAGCGACGTATAAACACTTACAACCACAGGGCCCTCTCGCCGGATATCCGTCCATGCCTCGCCTCGAATCATCCGCTCGCAGTTCTTAATAGATTTTGTAGCCACCTGTTCGACTTTTCTGACACCGTCCTCGCCGTTCAGATGCGCCTTAACAGATGCTAGGGCCATAGCAAGGAAGATAAATGCCTTGCAGCCTTTTCCTCGAGGGGATATCCGGTTGCCAAAGGTATCCAGTGTATGCTCCACAGCCTGGACCAAGACGTCCTGCTGGGACCGTACCAAATCATTCAGAGAACTCAGTGAGCTGGGCTGGCCAGGAGACTGCTTTGAAGATGAGAACTCGTTGGCCTGTAGGAAAACTTCAACGCAGACTGTGATAGCGGCATGAAAATACTCGTCGCGGAACATACCTCCACTTAGCTGTCCCAGATGTGGACATGCCTGTGCCTCTGGGAGGCTAACGGCGGGAGCATCCAATTGAGAAAGCATTTCCAAAGACGATTCAAGACAAATCTTCCGTGAGTAGGAGAATTTTGGTGACAGTTGTACACTGAGAGAGAACGGGCGGTGAAGGACAAGTAAAAACCTGATCATGATGAACACCAAGAACGATCGGGTAAACTGCAGACTCTCAGGAGGCATGGATGTGGGTGCATTATCAGAGAACAAAGCCAATGCATCGTCCCTATACTGAACTAGTTGTTCACTCAGGCGTAACGCCTCATCGTAAGACAAGGTGAATTTCAGGCTATTGACCAACTTTGCTATGCGAACGCGCAATGCTAACGACCGCCAAAGTAGAATCTGAAAACTGCTGCGCGTCACCACCGCCGTGTCCTTCGGAATAACTTCTTCTGTCATATCCTCCGCCAAGTCTTCATCGTCATAGTTGGATGGTGGGCCACAATCATATTCGTCCAAGTCGTTTGAAGGGGGCATTCCTCCATCTAATGTTGACTGCAGATCCAACTCCAAAATGGTAGTCCACAGGCGACGACGCATCTCGGCCCAAAACCTAGTCATTTTAGGAAAGCGCGCCGGGTTACGGTGCAGCCCGATCATCATAGCAGAACGGATAAGAGAGCCCGAAGAGATCCAGACAACATCCCCATCTGTGGCGTCGGCTTGGCGTGCGAGGATCAAGATACACTGAATCTGCAGCATGTTGAAGTCAATTGTCGAACTAACATTGAGGGAAGCCATCCATGATTGTACCGCCATAATCCACCCTCCCGCAGCACTGTGCAAAGTATCTGTCTCGTTCAGTCTTGTTGTCGGGCTGAAGAAGCAGCTGCTAGCAGCCATCACCGCCAGGAGCTTGGCAACAAAGACCATATCCGTGGTTTCCTTGCCCGTCCAGTATGCCTCATACTGCTTGCGAAATGTTGGAACATGCAAGACTCGATATGTCGTCTCAAAGGTGGACAAGTACAGGTTGACTAACTCATCTGCGACTCTTCGGTGTGGGATCATTTCTTCCAGCGTGAAAGCTTTTTCACGGTAGGCACGCTGATGATCTCGCTTCTCTCGAGATAGCGTTTCACCCCTGAATTTCTTCAGTTTGAGATATTCCGCGCTTTTGGACTTCTGCGTGCGTCGGCCTTGAAAATAGGACAAAACATCTTTGAACTGGACCAAGTTAGCACGATAATCTTACAGAAGCACGTTGGCACTCACAAATGAAAAGGATAAAGCTGAATGACAGCGTCCACAGTATCTAGTCTTCCCATTCTTTCCTCTAAAACATGCTCTCTCTGGTAGATATTTCACATCATCGCTAAGATATTGCGAATCCGAGGCGATTCGGGGCCCATAGTCTGACACAGATTCGCACGCCGAGCTATCTGGCGTTTGGATCGACCCGGCTCTGGATAATGCACTCTCCAACACCTGCACGCGGTGGCGAAGCTCTTGCACTTCTTCGGGCCGTCCTTTAGGCTTGTTGATTCGATTTGATGAATGGTGCTTCGAGTCAAACACATAGAGCCCACTGTGGGCTGGACTGGGCTGACTACTAGGCACACTGGCTCGGGCGGAAGGGTTGTGAGTAGGGCGAGAATCTAACGGCCGGGCGGGCGCGGGTCCAGAATAAACACAAAGGTCGGGAGTCTTCGACTTAACGCATTGTGTACACGGTAATGATCGGTCGCATTTCAGCTTACGACGTCTGCAAATTGTGCAGGAAAGAGCTGGTCTGCGCCGTCGGGGAATTATATCCGGGGATGTCGACGATTGTCCGACGTGAGGTTCTGATGCGCGATCTTCGTACATAATGGTAGGGCTTGAATCTATCACGCGAACATATGTTGATCGACGCAGTAGAATATAAGGCCAGCTAAGGGAGTAGACGGCGGGGTATCCATCCAGCTGTATGCGTTGGTCATTGACTTGACATTCAGGAGAATAGAGAGAGAAGCGATTATCAGACTGATAATAATTTCCGATGGCCTGATCCGCCATGATGAAGTCACGATCGGAGCGAAATGGGTCTCGGTCTTACGCTGTCGGGAATCCTCGGAGATAGCGATTCGGAGTTACCCTATTTGGGATGCACCACCACCACAACCTTTTGCATCCTCAAACGCCTGATTCAGACTGGATACTGAAACCCTACTTCGATAACAGAAATACATATCAATATATATTCTTCCCCCTTTGGCCTCATTCAACAACTTTGATGTGGATTCCCACAAGTGTACACTCACAGTAGGGTGCCATTGTTAGCAGAGCGGGAGCTGTGAAAGAATTTAACCGAGTCATACTTCAGGACCCTTCTAGGAGATTGAGTACTTCGCCACATCTGTTGGTGTTGTTTCCCTCCAATATATAGTGTCTTCCCCATTTTAGCTGTTCCAGAGTACTCCTCGTGCTATACTCCATGCTGTTTAGCTTCTAGTTATCATTCCCGAAGGCGCTGATTGGATGGAACCATGGTCTACAACTTCCTTGCGGATCCTGGTATTGATAACAGGAAGAACGAACCACCTTGTCAGATTTTATATGTTATCTCTATGATCCTCTATCTCACTATATATAAATAGTCTCATCAAGTGTTTTATTCGCGCCTCCAAAACGGCTTCATCACAGATCGCACATAAACAAGAACATAAACCATCAAGTAGTTCGAAATTACAAATGCTAGGAAGATGCCGAAATATGGCCACAACTTGGATGGATCTAGGCCAATGCCGGACAGATACTAGGTGGTGTTGTTAGTCTTTATATGCCCATTTAAAAATGAAAAGATGAGATGAGATGAGATGAGCAAAGGTCCTGGTAGGGGCTCCGGAAAAAGAACTTACATCATCGCCATAGCTGTACTTGCAATACCCGCATTTGCTCGTGTCATCTGGGTTAGAGAGGTATCCTACTCCGTGCTCTGCAAGCCAGGGGCCTGCGTACTCTCCACAAGTCATATTCGGGGGGCTTTCAAAGATAGTTAACTCGCTACTGTCGCAGATGACAGGCATGCCGCGCAGGACGGCCATTAGAACACCCCCAATCCAGTAAGTGAAGGGCGTGACATAGTACATGGTATATTTCCAAAACGCGGGCATATTGTCGTGAGGTTGAAGGATGCCGTTGAACAGCTCGCACATAATGATAAAAAATGGCACGAGAGTGGCGGCTACCATCGAGTCGGCGCTGTAATCACAGTCAGCTTAGATTCTACGCCCAAGGCTGACAGATACAAGAACACTTACCTCAAGGCCGCAATCCACTGGCCCCATGATGTGGCAAATAGAAAGAAAAGGAAGAACATCAAGAAACTATATCCGGCCGCGAAGCCCAACGGAAGTCCGACAATGAAGTAATAGAGCATATAAAAGATCACAGCACTGACAATAGCGTACGGGATTTCACATAAAATTTGGGCCGTGCAGAATGCAAACCATCCGTAAACCCCACTAGGGCCTTCTCGCGCTTTCCAAATATCGCGATTCATGATAAACCGCATAGAGATGGCGTTTATGAACTCTGGTACCAGCATCAGAACTAGGAAGCAAGAGAAGGCCTTCGACTGTAAATCTGTCGAGCTATTCCCAATCTGCAAGTAAGTGAGACCGTTAATCACAGCGTGCAGGAATGATGCATAGAGCCGGGAGTAGGGGTATTCCGGGCTCCTCCAGTATTGCCGCAATGTACGTTTGGTTAAAAGGCCGATCTGGAGGTAGAGTGGTGGCGTGGAGTGCTCCTTCGCAACCAGAGAGGCTTCTAGTTTTGCCCCTCTATTCCGGATTTCACTTATGTCTTCCTTGACCATGCTGGCTTCTATGGATCGGTTCCACACGTCAGCCCAGTCGACTTGATGCACAGTATTTTTCATCCCACCAACAACAACTTCGATCAAGAAGTCTGCAGCATTTGTTACATTCTCTGGCTGGTATCCATTTTTGGAGAAATATTCGAAGATCGAACGCCCAGACTCTCCGACTTCCCCGAAGTAATAGGTACTTCCCCCAGGACTAAGGGCCAAGACTCGATCAAACACCTCGAATTGCTGCTGATTTGCCTGATGAATGGTACAAAGAATGGCCAGTCCCTGGTCAGCCAATCGTCCCAATAAGCCAATGATGCTAGAAGCACCTTGGCTATCGAGCCCACTGGTTGGTTCATCAAGGAAGAGTAACAGTTCGGGCTTCGCACAGAGCTCTACTCCAATGGTGACACGTTTCTTCTTCTCGATATCTAATGATCCGATAAGGGCGTTCTGCAGATCAATCAAGTCGAGTGTCTCAATGACGGTGTTCACGTACGAGATCTTTTCTTCATCGGTCACCTTCGGGCTCTGGCGCAGAAGAGCCGAAAACTCGAATGCTTCACGAACAGTGCTACTTTCGTCATGAATATCCATCTGTTGGCAATATCCGATCTGACGATTAAATGACTCATCGACAGCATGTCCATCGACGTACATAGTGCCCGTTAACTTTCCAGAACTCGGCCGCTGAGTCAGGGCAGTCAATACTGCAATGGTTAGTAGCGGAAAAGCTCCCGGGGGGAGGAGGTAACAGAGCCTTACTTACATGTTGATTTTCCTGCCCCGGAGGCACCAACCAGAGCTGTTAAGGTCCCCGGCTTGCAGTATCCACTGACTCCGTTCAGCAACTTTCGGTTCTCTTTCCCAACTTGAACGAATAGCTCCAGATTATCCCAAGTAAACGTGGACATTGTCCCGGTAATAGCTTGGCGAGACTCTTCACGGGTGTTATCTGCATCGGGCATCGTTGCATTACGCTGGACAGGGCTGCTCTCTTCGTCTTGAACTTTCTTGTGGCTTTGTCCTGGGATCCTCCGAGACTTCTTATATCGAATAGGACCGGCACTATCCGGCTCCCATTCCATAATTTCGCTCAGCCAACAAGTGCAGGCAATGTAGACCACAGTGAAGAGGCATAGAATCCCAAAATTACGCCAGACATGACCAAAAGAAAAGCCGTATTGGGCGGCTAGGTAGTTATCGCCGTTCACAACCGTGGTCCCAATCTGGCTTCCCGCGTAGCCACAAGTCTGATATGCAATTTCGGTATAATTGGGACCCGAGGGGACAACAGATTCCGGTGAGCAAGTGAAGTTGGTATTGTGGAATTCCGCAGCCATCATAGCCTCATAGGTATAAAGAGCCGGGGTGATGTACTAGAGAACGAATTAGTATCAGTCATAGTATGGGATCTTCCTGGATATCCTACCGCTATCCATCCAACCCAAGGAACATTGGCAATCATCCTATCTACTGAAAGCACGTAGCCACCGAAAACAATACAGAAGAGTACGGACACGCCACAGTACCGCAAGGCGACTTCGAAGTTAGACGATGCAGCCGCGAACAATCGGAACTGTGCCGTTAAGCAGATGGTACATAGGTAGACAAATAAGAAGTCAATCCAAAAGGCTCCGGCCTAGTTAACCAGTTAGTGGATGTTCTTACACCAAACCTTAAAAAAGGATAGAAACCTACATCAGACTTCAGGCCCGACAGGAAGTAGACCACGATCAAATAGAGAAATGTAACAACCGCTGCTATGAGGATATCTGTAATGACCCTGGCCAAGCACACAGCACTGGGACGAACAAACGCAAACTTCTTTTGACGGCTGAGAATATCCCGCCCTTGCATTGCTTCCTCCAGTTCGGACATTTGTAGCCACGCAAGCAGAATAGAAGAGTAAAAAATAATTCCGCCTCGAGAGTACATACCTGCAGTCGTCTGCGGCTGATTGTAGAACATAGAGCCGACCAGTAACCCGTAGATGACAGAGGAAATAAGTTTGATATATAAAGGAGACATATGGCCCTGAATCTGCCACAACTGTCTCTTTGCACACAGCACTACCTGCCGGAAAATGGAGATCGTATACGGGGATTTGGGCGAGACAAACCGGGATTTGTCGGTTTGAACGGCTTTTTTGAAGTCTTCCAGGCTTCCGCTGTCCGAGTCAGTCTGCGTTGTTCCAACACTTTTCCCTCCCAGTCGCTGATCCTCATAGTGCTGCACATCGTACTGCACTTTTTGATAGGCTGGGCTTTTACGAAACGCTTCCTCCAGCTCAATAGGCCCCTTGGGAGCACGGCACTCCCATCCCGGTCGGAACCTCCGTCTTTCCGGTACCGTGATGCTTGTCAAAAAGTCTGAAATCGTCTGCATCTCAGCGCACTCGTACCCCAAGTCTTCAAAGTAGTGCTTTGCTTCACGAGCCGGACCTTGGTAGAGCATACGTCCCTCGTCAATCAAAAGAACCTTATCAACTAAATCGTAGATGGCGTCCGATGCCTGATACAACGTCATCAGTGTAGCTTTTCCGCACGTGTCAGTCATGATTCGGAGACTACGTGCATAGTCCAGCGCGGATGAGGCATCGAGGCCCCTAGTTGAATTATCCCAACATGAGACAGATGAATCTGTAGCAAGAGACTCAATGATCGAGATACGTTTGCGCTCTCCACCAGAAACACCTCGAATGTACTCGTTTCCAACCAGGGTATTCATCGTGTGAGACATACCGAACACGCGGCCGTAAATTTCGAGATAACGAGAGATCCGATCTTGATACCTCTGGGGGGTCTTACTTTGCAGTGCAAACTCCAGGGTCTGTTGCACCGTAAGTGTAGGAAAATGTACATCATCTTCTGGGATATAGGCCACTTGGCCACGGTAATGCTTTTTGACCTCTTCTAAGCTGAGGCCAGAGTAATCCAGAGACCCTGTCACTCCAAGGAATGAAGAGTGATGGCCGGCAATTGTCCGGAGGAGTGTCGAACAACCAGCCCCTGGTCGTCCCAGAACCCTGTCGAGCCGTGAGTCTGTGGACATCTGCCCGGGTACCGGGCCAATGCAGAAATGGGTATACTTACAGCATGATCTCCCCGCTTCGAACAACGCCGGAGAAATCCCGAATCAGCGAACGGCCGCTGCGTGGTTCCTTTCTAGAGAGCCAGGGCTGAATGGTCCATTCATAGACATCCTGAAATGTCAAGGTGCGCCATAGCGCGGTTCCCAGAGTTTTGACGTTGGCGTGCTCCTCCCCATCTCCCCACGTTGACAGTGACTGAAAGCAAACCCCGAGATTCGACTTTTTCCGTCCGGCTTGCAGTTCTGCTTCTAAGAACTTGTCGAACGAAGAGTGCGGCTCGGGATAGCCTTGTCGGGAATCATGATGGCTAATCTCGGTCAGGGTATGATGGATCTCTGCGATGGCATCTTCGTCGTCATGAGACAAGTGCACCCGAGGAGAGGCAGCCGTATCTGATGGGCTCTCTGCTTCTTGGTTAGAAGCAAGAGAGGTGCTGCCATGCGGGTGGGTATGGAGATGGGCCGGCATGGTATGTAGACGGCCTCTTCCCTAAGCCTGACACCTCACAAGGGATTTCTGATACAGAGAGATCAACTTGGTGTGTATTCGATCATCGCACGCAATCCAGAAGATTGTGGCAAGATTATATAGAGGTCAAAGTGGCTAGACCGCAGGAGCACCCTGTCTTACCAGTCTCAGGTGCTCGATCAAAAGAGGAAGCCAAGCTTCAGAAATCAAAGTCCTTGAACGTCATCATATAAATAAGAGATTCAACGATAGGATCTCCCGACAGACCCACCATGTTTGGGTACTTTAAAACCAGTAGAGATCGAATTACGGTTCCAAACGCTGATTGAAAGTATTAGCCAGAGGAGGCAAAAAGTCGGGTATTTTCCGCATAGGAAAGCCAATGAATGATATCTTACTCCGTACTCTGTTCTTCATTGGCAGCGAAAAGGGAAGCCAAGACACAGAGAGGTCCACTTTAAAGGCCCGTGAGAAGGATATCCACTAGACACCTAATTCTACATACTGATAGCCTCCCATGGAACCCCACCTCTCTCTAAGAACAGAGTAAGTGGGAAGGTACTAGATAGATATAGATGCTCATTGAGACCCGGTAACTGAGCCACCAGTTGCTAGATTATAGATTGATACAATTACTTAGCACTATCTAGGTAGATACTACTAGTAGTACTAACACTGCTGTAGTTCAAGGTCCTGAAAGTAAAATTTTGCAGTTGTTGTTTCCAGTTGTTGGAAAATAAATAAAGCCAAAAAAAATAAAAAATAAAAAATAAATTTCTTCCGCCCATCTGATTGGTGTTCTTTTTACTCTAATTCTTTTTCCCTCCCCTTTCCCCCAACGGGGTTGGCGCCACCTAAGCTATACTAACCACTTTGAGGCAAACTTTCGCCCACTGAGCCCTGAGATCTTTCAATACCACGGATATTGTTCCTTCGTTCTCGGTAATTTTTCCAATATATTTCTAGATTATACTACTCCTGAAACATACTTTAGTCTACTAGGTATATGATGACTACTAAAGTAGTACTTAGTAAGAATCAAATACTGCTACAATACTACTACTCCAGTAGGGAGTAGTAATATTTGATTTTCCAAATCTAAATAGATACTCTATCATTCATATACAGGAAGTGATTAATCTAAATATTAAAAGGTAGCAGTTAGCAGTCCCGGACCTATGTATCTTGGGAAAGGGTGGAAGAGATGACTTTGCATCCAGTCCACGCTTGCCTTTTCAGTGTCAAAGAAATGTTTCACACAACACCAACCTCTCATGTGTTCAACTCTTAACCTTTCCCATCAACACCCACTCCAGTCTGCTGGGTGATACTTATATTCATTATGCTACACTTTCTGGGTTTCCCAAGTGAGACCCTCCTACTCTTCATCACCCTTTTCTCTCCCGTTCAAGATTTAAGCGTGTATCGCGCTCTATATCTGGTTTCAAAGAGATTCTACGCGCTCGCGCAGCCCATTCTCTTCACTGAGTATGTCCAAAGCCTGTGCCCCTACTGCAGCCAACGTAAGACCAAAATCGGGTGCTATTGGCCCGCTGTATCTACTTCGCCCGAACTATACTACGCCGACCTGACTTGGCCGCCCGTGTCCGCCGACTAGCCATAAGTGCCGGTGAGGGGAGTTCGGATGAATTTAGCAAATGGCCGGATGTGGTAGACCCCGGTACACTTAAAATGATTACTATGGGCGTTCAAAGGTTGACTGTGGAGCACAAGGCACGATTGCTGGCAAGCGTGACGTGGATGAGAGCAAACCCGCTGCTGGTGCTGTTAGCCCAGCACATCCCAAACCTAGAACAGTTCGAAGTAATGGTGGCAGAAAGAAGGTCCAAGTGGACTAACACCGCTACTTGTACCAGCACCTATAGGAAGGAAATGCTCCCCGTACCTTTCTTATCTCATGTCTCTCTATTAAAGACCTCCGCCAGACGAGGGGGGTTACACCCCATCAGCTTGAGCAATTATTGTGCCTACCTCGATTGAAAAGAGTTTCAATGATATACTGCGACGGGGACTCGGAAGGGTACCCGCGGTTTGATCTGCCTGCGGGAAGCTTGAATACCAAGGAGCTCTGTTTTTACCCGTTCTCCATATATACGAAGCGTCTGGGGAACCTTGTCGGCGCGTGCAAAGGGCTGAAGGAATTTGCGTACACAGCCTCCTCAACTACTCGTCCCAGTTCACACTGTTTCAAAGTCTCGGAGCTACTCACAATCTTGGAATCCCAAAGAGAGAGCCTCGAGATAATGCGCATCTATCTAAATGCCTTATTCCCGGCTTTCGGCTCCTGGGAAGACCGCCCGAAGTTCGGCCCCTTCGTGGAATTTATCCCGCTTCAAACATTTGGAGGCAGAGCAAGGCCTTTTCCTGACGTTTGACGAGCTTCCACCCTCAGTGAAGAACATCACAATGAGCCTCTGCGAGTATCCAGTATTCAACATGCTCAGAGACTTGACGGAGAGAAGCAGATGCAATCTGAATCTGAAATCACTAGAGACGGTCATCCTACTCCCACAATCTTCAACTCCAGATGGAATGCCGGGACTGTCTCGATCCAACAACAGTGACGAAATTTATGATGATGGCCATTATCGGGCGGAGTTCATCGAGGCCTCTGACGAGATTGAAAAACCATTCAAGGAGTACCCTTTGATCTTCACATTCACAGTGAAGTGTGGAATGATTATCAGATGGGAGTATTCTAAAGCTTCTAGATATACTTGGGAGGCAACAACTGCGGGATTGTAATTAACGCATTTTGAATCAGAGCCATCAATCAATCACCTAAGAACACAATCATGAAGACCTTCGAATGATATGCCAAGAAAATGAAGCTGCTTTCTAATTCCTGTCTCTTACGTTCGATGATGTTTACGGTGGTAGAATCTAGACTCGTATTCCGATTTCACCGATAATCTCCCGTGATCTGTCAGATTTGAATACGAAATGGACTGGCCATATAGTTTGAATGATCATGTATACGAGACTTAACCTTGGCTCAACCACAAACATGACGCTCAGCTACAGCATAATCCTTCTCAGCATGAAAACCGTCCATGGATGTGCCCTCTGCTATACGATAGCTTGACGAATCTCTCGAGGACTATGCAGTCCTTGACGTGGGCCAAAAAAAGAAAGCAAGTGTGACAATGTAACAATTGGGCTGCCATGAGCGCTTTGCCCTACTAGCTATATAGAGCACGCTTACCCCCGCTGAAAGAGTGTACTGCATTGATTAGGTATGCCCAATATGAAATCCCACGTTATTCTACAGTCATATACTGCAGCGTTGGGTTTTGGTAAGCTCATCCATTTTTGTTACTCCTATTATCAAAATCTCTCTTTCCGCCTGTTTACACGTGCTGACCAAATGGTTGGACAGTCTACACTGCCTTGAGCCAACGACCGACAACCTTTACTCCCGTCGACCAGAAGGAAGTATCCTTCAGTATCGCTATTCCTAACACTACCGCTTCATCTAGATCTGGTCCCATCCTCTTCCAAATTAAGGCTCCGAGCAGCCTACAATGGGTCGGGCTAGGCCAAGGAAAACAGATGGCTGGGGCCAATATGTTCATCCTCTATTCAGCTCCCTCTAACAATGTCACCATCTCTCCCCGTTCCGGGCAAGGCCATTTCCCACCAGTGTATAATCCGAACTCTAGGGTCTTTCTCCTGGATGGCAGCGGAATCCACGATGGTACAATGACGGCTAACGTGCTCTGCGAGAATTGCATCGAGTGGCAGGGCGGATCGATAGACCCGAGCAGTTCCTCGACTCAGTGGATATATGCCTATAAGGAAGGTCCTCCGCTCAACTCCGTGAATGCCACCGAGTCGATCCAGAGACATGATGGGAACGGAATCGCGAACGCCGATTTAACCCAGGCGAAGACAACCACCGATAACCCATTTCTAACATACAATCCAGCTACTGGTTCGAACGATGCTGTCAGTTCTATGGACGGCACTCGGGGTAATGCCATGCTCGTCGCACATGGACTCATGATGGCCATTACGTTTGTTCTGTTATTCCCATCATTCGCCCTCCTTATCTCACTGCCCTGGGTGACCTCGCCCTCTAAAGTCCACGCACCACTGCAAGTTCTCGCGCTTACCCTCGCCATCGCTGGCATGGGCGTCGGTATTCAACTTGCCATCGACAAAAAGGTGAAGTCGAGCTCGCACCCAATCATCGGCATTATCGTCGTGGCACTTCTTGTTCTCTTCCAACCGTTGATGGGTTTTCTTCAGCACCGACACTTTCGCCGCAACGGTGGAAAGGGTGCCTTTGCTTACCTACATCGCTGGCTAGGCCGTTCGATGATCATTCTTGGTATCGTCAATGGAGGTCTTGGATTCCGCTTGGCAGGAATAGGCAACCCTAGCACTCCTCGAAGCGCGATGATTGCGTACTCAGTTATTGCAGGAGTGATGGGACTCTTATATCTTGGCACACATCTTCTTGTGGCTATGCAAGGAAGAAGCCGGGGACAAGAACGGAAGCTCGAACATAACAGACATCCTGAGATGTGACTAGGGTCATCTATCATTGGTAGGGGGAGGTCATCTCATACTAAGTATGGAATCTGGATGACACGGTGATGTTTGGAAGACGGGGGGAAGATGTAATCTACCACTGGACATAGTAACTCGTTGGAACTTGGAGTTACATTTAGCAGAACAACGGAATGAAATCCTCAACTCGCCATAGAGATAGATAGATATAGGAGTCCAGCCTCCTAGTACTCCTGTGGTAGTAGTTCATAAATTTACCAATAGTTATTACTGAAAAGAATACACACTTTCCCCCCCCCCCCCAAATAAAGCTTACTAATCGGTAATACCCATCGCCTCCGTGAAGCTTGAAAGTTCAGTAAGACATACTCTTCCTACTGTACATACATACATTTGGACACGCACTACTCTGCTCACCATGTTACCTCCTTACATCGCTTAAGTTTAGATCCTGGGAAAAACCAAAAGCACAAAAGAGCAAATCGAAATGCTCTACAATGCTCTCATCCGCACCCACCACATTACCTCCCGCAAAAAGGTTGCTACCTTGAAACAAGCCGCATCCGCTCACAATTGCTTTGTGCTTCTTCGCTCGGGTGGCATTCCGGGCATCATGTACGTTGAATCGAAAGAGAAAGATGCCGTTGAGGCATGGGTGAATGTGGCGCGGAATTTGAGATATAAGGATTTCCAGCTAGTGACTAGGCCGGGGGCCCTTGAGGGAGATTGTCGGAAACAGATTGAAAATGAGAACCGGAAGGATGGTAAGAAAAGCAATGCAGGAGGAGCCAATGAGGAAAGAGATTCCAGGCCTAGGCTGGAAGAGGTCGAGACGGTGAAGGTATTTGGAAGTAAAATGAAAGACAAAGGTGTATGGCGGTGGTGGAGGAAGGGGATGGGATACGTGAGCTGAGGAACTATTAGCTCACTGCGGCGCCTCGTCAACCTAGCAAATGCCCTGGCGGTCGCTCTGCTCATGCCCGAAACACACTGCTCCTTGAAGAATCCCTACCTGCGTTAGTTGCTGAATTCATACGACGGGCGCTAGTTTTTACTGGTATGGATTTGTCGGGTTTGTGTTGAACTATGATCGACTGAGAGCATCCGTTTCCGAAAGATATAATCTTTTGAAAGCTAGCTGCAGAAGGTTACGCAGGGGTCAACATCACCTCGGTCACTACAGCTTGTGTGGTCCCTTTACCGGATTATCACCAGGTAGATTTGGGATAGGCCCATGCCGGCCCAGTTCCTCTATCGGGGGAGGTACATCCAAAGAAAAAGCGATCGGGGTCATTGCCCTCTTTTGGACTTTTGTGATCGAACATTCAGGATCGCCCAGTCCCCCTGGACCCGTGCATGTCGCCATGGCGTTCTGTAGGGCAAACGCCTTGGTTGTAATCTCCAACCGCGGGATACGCTATCTAGGTCAATATCAGACTAGAGCATGCCATAGCTGCTGGAGCTACTACTCACATGGCTCTGGTGATCTGGACTGTCGCGCGTGTTCTCACTCCAACATGAATGCAGGAACACCTGAGACCTCAACTTCAAGCAAGGCTACTAAGGAAGAGCTTAGTTTTGCTGGACGTCCCTTCTGCTTTCATGCACATGTGGGAGATAGCCCGTTACGCGGAATTAGCATCATTATAGGTTCTGAAGAAGCGTCAGCTGTACATCTTAAGCATTTTGGCCCAAGACCTCAAACTGAAGAAACAGATTCTCAGCAACCATGCTCAGCCCGGCAGGTGGCACCAGCAGATATTTTGTGCCATCGCAAGATGTCGCGTTCGGAGAATAATTACACGCTCTATTGAAATAATCTATCGCCTAGTTTGGACTGTCAGTTTCCGACTGGAGCTCCCTATGCCACGATTCACAACGTACGCTGTTCTCGTACTCGATTTTCTCAAATAACTCATCTCTTGTCTTATGACATAATTGCGAAATCCAGTAGTTGCTCCTATCGATCTCTACCCCACAGGTTGTGTCGTCGCCATTTTTCGCGGTCTCAGTCGTCATCCGGTCATCTGCCTCTGGAATGCCGTACCCCCGGCAACGACATGTGTGTGGGAGGAAGGCTTTCCGGGAGATATAATCGGACCGGAGCGTTGGATCGTTAATGGCAGACAGCTGAAAGTGAATACTTTCCCCATGGGGGAGAAGTATTCAAAGCTAAAGGGCATAATATAAGTGACAGAAATACCACATTTTCTGCAACCTGCTACCACCATCCTAGATTGGAATGACATATGGCCATCATAAGTTATAACAGAGTCGTTTGCACACCTTCAAAAATAGAGTAGCTGTTCTTCTATTATATATATATTTCCTCGGAACTTGTTTGTTATAGATCCACACATGGCCAAATATACTTATTCCAATTCCAATTGCAACTCTATTGGCTAGTAAGACTTGGCAGACAATGTATGTGTCTTTTGATTGGAAAAGAAAAAGAAAAAGAAAACGAAAAGAAAAGAAAATTGCATTTTGTTTATTATGGAAACCGGGAGGTCTATCTTATTTACATTTAGTATATCCCAGATGCGTGCAAACCGTTAACGCCAGCAATACTCCATCAAATGTACACTATACATGTTCCGTTGATTCGGAAGACCCAGGGTGCTCCGTGGGGGGCCAATCGGGGGCTGGATAACTGAGAAGTTTACAGATGTCCTGTTCGCTCCATTAGCAAAGTCATGCATTTGATGTAGAAGTGCAGCACAAACCTTTCGCCGCCGGCGGAAGTCATGGTAGATACTCTTCCACACCTCTCGATCACGGCACCCGCTCTCTTGCGGCGTGCCAGGGTTGTGCTTGCACTTGGGCAACATCTCAGCCAGCAACTTTTGCGGCCACATGACCCATGGTTTGGGCAAAGGCCAGTCTGAGAAATGCACAAGTTTGGCTTCCGACAACACTTTATCCGGATCCCATACTTCATAGTCATTGCCCAGAAAATTCCGGTGATCCTTAGCACGGAACTCGCCACTCACTAAGCCATACTGCCGGTGTGGAAGCACCGTGGCCGAATCGACATAGCGCTCGTTCAACAACTCCATATCGTATCGATGCGTTGAGGATGTATTCACCACTTTTTGTCCATACATTGCCGGCAGCGCTGCCTCCATGAGAGCATTATATTCACTGTAGGACGGTTCGATTACAATCAGAAGAGACGACAATTGCTTTGCATCTGGAAGTGCCCAATACGCCCGTGGCATCGCAACCTTGTTCGGAGGGAGGAAAAATAGTTCATCCAAGTTCTGTAGAATATTGGCGTCGGAGTCAAGGTGGATTATCCTATCGTACTCGCTCTCGCCGAAGGCCAGTAATTTAGATATGCTTTTATCCCATGGTTCACCAGGTCCTGTCCAGTTTAAGAAAGAATTTCATCAGCCTTTTATGTCTCCAACCTCCCCCCTTTTGATATTACATACCTGCCCCTGGTTTGATCATCGCCATGTCAATTGGAATCAGCATTACATTGAATTTGTCTCTTGCCATTGCCAACAACTGGCTATCCCTATCACGCTCGCTTTCGACAGTGACATCCCAATCCTCAGGGAAGAACAATACACGTTGCGCCCGACTCCCCAGGCGGTGCAGAGCTTCGAAGACCATGACAGAGTTGCACAGGTAGGCGCTAGACGTCGCATATTGACTGTAGGCGTAACGGGACCAATCCACTAAGTCGTAGTTTATGTGAGGCAGCGGTGAGGGTTGAGGACGCTTTAGTCGAAACCATATGATAAAGAGGGCAAAAAGGGCGAAGACCACCCAGGTCCGAATGCGTCGGAGTTGCCGTTTGAGTATTGCTAGGCATGGTTCGTCGGGGATATCAAAGAAATCGTCCTCTGAGGATTGAGAGCCTCTGCGGTGAGGAAGCCTCGGCACTTTCTTAATTGCCATTCTTAGTGGTACAGTTGAATGAAAAAGGAAGCCATTGCTTGATTCAAAAGCTAAGGTCGCATATACTCCAAGGGAGGTTTGGACGCGCGTTCGAAGTTGTCTTCATTGTCCCAATCGGCGGATTCAATTCAAATGTAGTCCAGATCGATGCACGTGACAATTCGGCGTATCATCACTTTTTTTTACATACGACTTAGGTTTGCCCTATTCTTTCCATTTACAGCCTATAGAAGGTAATTTGTATATGTACACATTGATATTTTATGCCAACTAAACCAGATCCTCTTCACGACACACGCTAACAGAGGACGCCATCAACTCGTGCTTGAATTGATTCCTCATCAAAGTGTCCGTGCTCCCCGACATAGTTATGGAGGGCTTCCAGAGTCATTAGTCTCCGAGGAGCTTTCCGTCCAGTAAGCAGCTCAAACTGAGCGATGGCCTGCTCAATGACGTTGTCGAGCCCATCTACCAGAACCCACGGACGTCCGGTCTCGCCTCGAAATCGACGCATTTGACGTAACAGCGGGGTCTCCAAGGGTTTATATGCAAACTATGTAGAAGGTTAGTTCAATCCATCATGACTCGATGTTAATCAAACGTATAAAGGGAGGGCAAGAGTGTAAGTCGTACCTCCAAGACCACCCCTCCAGTAGGACTCTCGAGCCATTGCATCGGCATCTCGAAGTTCGCAGGGGGTTCGTCCTGGTCTGGGTCCGCAGGCACGCAAGACGCAATTAAACATGGATGGCAGGTATTTGACGGCCATTCATCCTGCAATGACTTCAGCACATGCACCACTTGCGTAGAACCAACCTGCGATGCAGCCCACGAATTAAAATGACGGGCTACATTCTCCGCGCGGGACAAGGTTCGGTTATATATGAAAATCTTGCGGCACCCTAGACGAAGCATGGCGTAGATGGCAGCACGCCCCATACCGCCGGCCCCAATTACCAGCCCAGTCGTTTTCAAGGGGCTGATGGCATTACGCGGGGAAAGATTACGATTCATGCAGGTCATGATCCCCACCCAATCAGTATTCTCCCCATACCAGCCTAGTACAGGTCCTGCCTGGTTTCGACGGCTGGCCTGCTCTTGTAAGGGGAACATCGTCCCATCCGCTCGCGCTCGTAGAGGCATAATCGTGTTGATCGCTCCAATTGCCTCTGCGTGCCGACTTTTAGAGGCGAGTTTCTGGAAGATCTGCACCCTCCATGGCTGTACAACGCTGGCACCCCCGAAATGCGGATCCCGGCCTAACTGATCCAATGCTGTGAGAGAAGGGGAATCAGGGATAGTGTAGGTGTGATTCATGCCACAATGCTGGAAAGCGGCAGTGTACATAACTGGTGAGAGGCTGTAGGCAACACTGGCCCCGAGAATGTAGAACTGCAAAGGGTCAAGCACATAACTGTGAAACAACGCCTGCACCGCATCCCGTGAAGTAATCAGAGGATCCATTCTATTGTCTGTGAGGCGCGCAACGGCTGGGTGGGTAACAGAAGTAAGTGTAGAATTAAACACCTGGGATGTTCGTCCAAGGCTACCTACGTTATAAGCGATAATAGGCGGGTGTTTGCCTGGTAGAGACTGAATCTTGTTTGTGAACTTGGCAACAGCCGCATTATCCTCACGCTCCACCGCTACTCGAAGAATGCGAACCAGTTGGCAACCGAGCTTCTCGGCCTCTAGGTAGAGAGACAAGCAGGACTCATCTTCCCACGTAACATGAGACGAAGGTTCAAAAATATGCTGGCCAATGATCTTGGTCCTGCCCCTGTTATGGACAGCTTCGACCAACAAGGACTCATCCTGATCAAGGTCTATGGCCAGGTATTCCACCGCTAGTCGCAAGCCGTGTTCCACGATCTCAAAATAGAGACTGCACAGTTGCCCCCGTGAGAGCACACCGCTTCCGATTCCGGACAATGAAGCATCAATTGAGAAGATGATGGGTGTACGGGCACTCCTGCGTAGTAGAGAAACCTGTTTGCTCACTATACTCGCCATCTCGGTATTCCAGCGATCAACACATAGCTCAATGGCATCTCCCCCTGACTCGAGCTCACACAAATCAACGGCCCCTCTGATCATTTCCGAGGATCGAACGAAGATAGCATGTGTGAAAGAGCGGTTTTCTGGAGGCGTTTCCAGTAGCACGAAAGGAGAGTCATAGCTCGAATGGTCCATATTTGCGCCAGTGATGAAATGCACGAAACGAGTAAAATCCTCCTTGGCTTCTTTGAGCTTGAAGGAGTACCCAACTGACCGACGGTCCGGCGTTACTTCGTCTGGTTGAGCTGACATGCTGGAACGATCCTCAATATTGTAGAACTCAAAATTGGAACACGTCCGGTGCAGCGGGTCTCCTTCACAAAGTAACTTCACAGACTGATCTTCCAATCCTAGCAAAGCCTGGATGCGTGCCATGTCACGAAGTAGGTACACCACAGGATTGGTCACTGAATACAGACGAAGGTGCTCCTGTACAGGACGAGTAAGACTTCCCAGGCCACATTCAATTACACAGCGCGATCTATGATTATCGAGCATCGCCTTAAGAATCTCAATATCACGCTGCTGGAACTCCTGGCTCCCAAAGCGTTTCAGATACTCATGTCGCGTGAGCCCGGTAACCTGTTTGAAATAGTGGTCTTCGGTGATGTAGCGTCTCTTTAACGCTGTTGCAGCAACAAAGCCCAATGAGCGCTTTCCACAACCTCGAATCCCAACCAGTACCAAGGAGGCATCGGGGTCGAGTTTACGATGACGCTCACGCCCAGGAGACTGAGGCATGATGCTAACGGATATTGTCTGTTGGGCGTGTGTAGCTGGTTGGTAGTCGCTTAATTAGGAAGCTCGCTGAAAGATAAGATATAAGTGAACATCAGGTAATTCTAACTATCTGTGGCTAGTGATCATAATTCGATCCATGATTCAATCGGAATAAGCTGGCTTTAGATAATGTCCTTAAACCACTACACATCTGGGGTAGCGAGATCAGTACTAGTTGCAATAAGTATTAATGGCGCGCATATGTCTTGAGACGATGTGGTGATTCACAGCTACCATGCTGCGACTATCGCTGAGGGTTCCGGTGGAAGAGTTAAAAGAACAAAGAACGTTCAGTGAGTAACCAGATCAGAGTTTAAGATATACCATACCAACTTAAGGTAGTTTTAGTATGAACCCCAAAATTATTGGGACTGGGGGCGGCAGAACGTCATCCCCAAAGGGCTTATCACCGCCTGCCCTAAAGGTCTGCCGGCAAATATCTTAGCCGCTCAAATATTCCCATAGATAGAAATGGATTCTGGCGTCATTGGCGCACTCTTGCAATCTACATTCATTCTGTTTGGAGAAAGAAATTGTTTATTTTCTGCATGTCATTATCTCGGTACATATATACAATGCATTCTTCCCACAGGTACGGGAATTTTATTGTATTACATTATATTATATTAACCTACCGGCTTCGGGATGCCGTGGCTGTGTCCCATAGATCCTAATAAAAGCATTGCAGAGAAAAGCCCACCTCGGCTTCGTCCAATCAATGAAAGGTACTATATCTACTTAGATCGTTTATTTCGGCTGGATACCTTTTGGGGGAGGAGTGAAATTATCCACCACTGTGGAATAGGAAAGGCACCGATTATCGGCAGTTGGTTGCCTCGGGTTTCGATCTCGGGTTCCATACGGCAGTATTGAATGGCGTCTTCGTATGCAAATACTATAACTATCAAAATTAGAATTTATGAACAAAAGGTTTCTTTCTTTCTTTCTTTCTTTCTTTCTTTTTGAGAAGAATAGTTGTAATAGCAATATATTAATATATTTTCACACATACACACACCTACTCTCTCTCGTCTGTTGCATTGTGGGGAAGATTTCGTGGGGACAATGTGTGGGTTGTTTTACTAGGTAATATCCAGATCAGGAATAGCTCCGTTTAAGTATCAGAAGGGGTTACCATCGGAATGGAATCCGTTCTCCTCTAATCCACTTCCCGACATTCGCCCCGACGTCTGTCTCTCTGCAGCCTCGGGATGGGTCTGGCCATTTTCGTCCTCAATCTGGATGGACTAAGGAATCCCTCAGACTGGTCGTTTAAACTCCATGGAGTGGCTGTGGCGATACATTTGACTGGCTTGAACAATTTGTTCTTCCTCTTTTTCTGCGACTTGTGATTAAAAGGGCACTTCTGCAGTATATCTATATATGGTATATACCCATCTATCTGTCTGTCTATAACGGAAGGCTGTATGCCCTGGGTATTCCTCTTCCTGACGCTATCGATTCCGACATCAAGAATACCGTTGCTATCCAGCCTCTCTTAAGTCTTACACTCATTTAAACTTCTCCCACTTCTTGTCGTCCGCCCCCCTTCCGTCCGGCTCTACATGGCATGTCATTTCCACCATAAATAACCCCTCTCCAATGGATGGGGGCCCCGATCCAAGAGCTCCTCGTCGCAAGAGGGTCTCCAGAGCCTGTGACAGGTGTCGCAGCAAAAAGGTTGGTTGGTTCCCTCTTCTAGGTTCTCATGTTGGGGCCGATATTGTATCGGGACTGATATGGGATCCGGTAAGCCTGGCTGATCTGATCTTGATCATTCTTACTCGAGACGCCATTCTCCATTGCACTGTTATGCTATGCCAGAACTCTCCCCGTCCCGCCGTTCGTCACCTTTACCTTGCATCTCAGGATATCTTTCTCCCGCTGCACTTGTTTTAAGATGACATCGAATCTAACTCGATGATCATCACCCTAGGACAAATGCGACGGCCTTCGCCCCGCTTGTTCCGCTTGTCAGGCCTCAGGCCAGACATGTTCGTATGACCCCCATGCAAAAAAGCGTGGACTACCTGAAGGCTATGTCCGAGGCCTTGAAAAGCTCTGGGCTCTTTCGATATGCAATATTGAAGGCTTTGAAGATACAATGCTCGCCCTTCTGGGCACCACAACCGAATCAACAAGCCGGAAGGATAGACTTGCCCGTCTCTGGGCCGATGATGGCGCATCTGAGACACTACATGAATCCTGGAAAACGAGTCGCCTCTATGGTGCCCTTGAAAAGATGTTGTCAAATTCCGATACACCTTCGCTGCAAGGTTCCGAGAAGCGCCACCAAGATGATCAAGACGCTCCTGGAAACGGATGGGGATTTCGCATAGATCGTGGCCCAACCCCTCTATCGCATGATATCCCTCGTGCTGTAGAGCCTTCCTCTCCCCCTCGCGCAAAGAAAGCTCGATTGACTCTTCCGACGTATAGTCAATCCCCCTCACCTCTGGCCACTCACAGTTCCCCTCGTCTACAATTACCGCCCCAGACCTCGCAGTTGTTGGACGTTTATTTTGCTGTCACCCACTCCTGGTTTCCAATCATTGCCAAACACAACATCCTCCGAGCATCTTATCTCTACGCAACAGCACCGGTATCCGTTGTGCAGACGGATCCAGGGTCTGCTGATCATGCTGTGTTGTGGGCCCTCATCAGTTATACAACTTCACAATCTTGGACAAACTCGCAGACTGAATCGTCCCAGTTAGTCGCTCGGACGAAGGAGTATTATACGATTGCCCGGAACCTAATTCCTTCAGAAACAGGGCATTACGAGCTAGGTCATGTGCAGGCACTCCTCCTGCTGGTGTTGGTGAACATTGGTCTCGAGAATTGGACTGCTGCGTGGCTGCTGACCGGTCAAGCAGTCCGCATGGCTATCTCCATAGGCCTCGGTACATCTGCGGACGTTCGACGATCCGATGAATTGAAGCAAGGCAAAGCGGCTTTTCTTGGGTGTTTTGTCGTTGACTCATTGATATCGTTCCGTATGTCCCGAAGACCCTACATGCATCCTCGGGACCTCGCCGCAGTCGGCTTGCTAGAAGAAGACGGATTAGAAGAATGGAACTCATGGGCCGATGTTCTGCCACCCACTGGGGCGGGACAGGCGAAGAATCCCCCTCGACGTGGTCCCCTCCTTACCCTAAGCTGCTTCAATCGACTAGTGGAGCTGGCTAGTGTGGTGAACAAGATTGCTCAAGATCCTGGAGTCCGACCCAACGCCCACGTATTTGCCCAACAGCTCGTGCTGGAGCTCAAACAATGGGAGGATCGCCTGCCGCTGGGATGCCGTCTTATCGGCCCTGAGAGTATCTATCCAGAGCGGCATTCAGCTTTGCTCCCGCACCAGACATACTTGGGCTTAACCTATGTATCTACATTGTTATGGCTCTACCTGCACATCGCTCCCCATGAACTTGGGTTGCACCGCTCCCAACGTCCTGCGACTGAGGGCGCTAAGAAGCTTCTATATAGGGCTCTTCCGATGATATCAGAACATCTCGAAAACTTCCGTATTTGTGGCCTCCCGCCTATATTTGAATTTTCCTTGCACACGATTGCCAAACAAGCATTTTTATTCCGAAATAATCTTGAATCTGGGGCATTCCCTTTCGAACGATGGGCAGAAGCTCTTCGTCAGCGGACGGTGGAGCTCTCCCCCTCTTGGCCCGTTTATCCTTCGTTGGCCACTAGCATTGAACAATGGTGTGCTTCCAAGGATCTTTCGGCGTACGCATCAGCTTCCTTTCGAAGATCAAGAGACAATCTGCCTGCCCCCAGTAAACCTACTACTTCATATACCTCCGATATCACGACAGGGTACCGAAGTACATCTGGTGAGACAGCAATGCAACGCGTCAGTATGAACAACTCTCAAATACTGGATCACGAGTATACGTCTTCCACTATTGGCATTAGCATCCCAGTGGATGGGCAGTACATGACGCCAAAAGACATGACAATGGACAATGCGACGGATGTGTCGTTTCAATCACAGCACCAGCAGATGGGTGAAATGACAGCGCTTCCGGACAAGTCCGATTCTTTGGGTAACCTCGATGCGCTGCTCCAACCTGCACATCCCCATCCCCCAACTCCCGACTCATCGATCTCGAACAATATGATGTCCGGGATGAATACAACCAATGATCATTCTATGCCGTACGCAGAAACAATTAACCTCAACGCTGGGGACCCGAGTATCCCAGAGCGCCAAATCTCTAGTAGCGATCTAGACTCTATTTTTAAAGATCTCGCCTATCTCGATACCACTGAGTGGGCCACTAGTCGCGAGGCGGGTTTAAAAGATTTCGGCTTTATCGATGACTCTACCTTTCAGGCCTTTTGCCATGATCCGGATCGTCTTGCATACTCTCAACCTCTGGTTCACCCACCTTCAATCGCGGATATTTGGCCTCCACCGGGTTTTTTCCCAGAAACCTTCCAGGATTGCTCGGAAGACGCAATGGAAAGTTGAGGCCTAGAGCGCTTTGTATCTTGGTGGGTGGGTGGTTAAACCTACTCGAACTATCATATCCTATGATCTACTAGATCCGCCCTTCGATGGCCAAGCCGTCCTTGGGGTTGCTCATCATCTTCCATTGCGATGATCGCCAATCGCAACATCCGGTCTTACTATAGTTTAATGATACCCATTGATGAGTATCTCATCTTTCCTTACTTACTTTTATCGTAACTACGGCCACGTACCCTCATTCCATCCCGAGCTTTAGTATCGTAGTAGCTCCCGCTTTCAATATAGAGTCGTAGAAGTATAACAGACGCTGCTATATCAAGCCTACTATGTATCCCAAAGGTTTTCTTTTTATCTTTTTCTTCCAAGGGTATAGAAATGTGTGTGGGGGTGTGAGTGTTTCGCTCAAAATGACCCTATTAGATCCGTAGGTTGGCAGGCTACTAGGAAACAGTACGGATTTTGGCTATTCTGAACTTACGCGTCTAAAGTAACTCATCCCCATATGCAAAGAGAAGAAAGGGGGAGAAAAAGGGAGGAGCGACGGCTAGGTTAGGATGTAATATGCATCTGAACATGCTTCAAAAGTGTCTAAAAGAGATTGAATTCGCTAAGTTTCAGCTAGCGGGAAAAACCTTCTGGCCGACTACACCCTGTGAAGACAGTCCTGGAGCTCAAACATATGTCGTTCCTGAAAGAGAACTGAAAGCAGTTGAGGGTTTTGAACAGTAACTACACTGCTGTTATTCCCTCGAGTGCGGTTTCGGATGACAAGTTATCCCAGTCATTTCAAGGAGCGTCGAGTTGAACACAAGTTCCCTGAAAAGATCTCAATGCAACAGGAGAAGGTGTTCGCCCTGTTTGACTGTGATTAGTGTTTCCGATAGAAGTCGCAACTACAATTCTTTAACCAAGACACTTACGCTTCCAAACAATCGCCGTTCAGAGTGCCACATGAGCTTGATGTCATCAGGTATCATATGGTGGCATTGATACCACAGGATAGCACCATGGCTTCCGGCCTTAGCCTTCTCCAAAAGGGGTCAAAGTCCCATACTCAGGCTGTCTGGAGCAGGGGCCATGACCAGAACAAGGGTACATCCACGTCTTGGAGGACTTTGCGCCAATACAGAGTCCCCTGCCCAATTATTCGTAGTGATCCCCTCCACCTCTGTCGGCTCTTCCGCACGATACTCAAGAGACACGACGCAAAGCCTCACTCGAGAGGATAACCCCCCATCCACCGCATGTGAAGGTCGTATCACCTATCTCATAGGAATGCCGAGGTAGTACGGTTCGGTGTAATTCATCTGCGACAGCCACGCGCCCAAATTCGGTCATACAACATATGAATCAGCTTCCACGATGATGTACCACTTGACATCGAGTCGCACCAGGAGTTCTTCGTCCAATATTGGCACAAATTTCCGTTTATCAAGCTTCAAACTGGGACTGCCAGGTTTCGCAAACGGTCCATTGACGTCGTCTTTCCAAACGTCCGGCAGGAGCCCCTAGCGCCCTCGAGCCCGGAAGCGGTTATAGAGGGCAAAGTCAGGGTCGGTATTTCTTGTCTCCTCGCACACGGTTCACAGATGGTTGTTGGGGTCATTTCCCCATCATGGCCTACTAGTATCATCCAATTCAGCTTCCAACATTCTACCTGGAACAAACGTTATCAATAAATTCTTCGTATGTGTATTGGTCATCAATCATGCATCAGGTCTTGTTCATGCTAAGTGAGTAAAGAGGAAAAAGGAATTATCATGAGCCCCCAGGGCCCAGAGAAACAACAGGAGAATCAACTTTCTTTATCCAGAATAGAAACCTGTGAGAAAGAAAATAATAGAACAATTGCCGCTCAGAGATCCGTATATGCTTCAATAAACGCCCACCCTGGTAATGTTCTCTTTTTGGTGGGACGGGAAAGAAAAAGAAACCCCCCAACCCAAAAAAAAGGGATTACCAAAAACGCCAATGGTCAGTCAATGTATCGCATTTCGAAGTAGACACGAGACAGAAGTATAGCCATCCAAATTCCCTGCAGGAAATCATTATAGTATGAAGACATCAGGAGTCTGCCGTCTTCCATATTAGAGATACGAGTCCGGCTATCGCCGCCACCCCACGTTCCATATTACATGTGCGATGTCTCTGGCAGTATTAACGGTATCAACCACTCGGTCAAATATACTGGTATTTGCGATTTCCACGTCGTCGTACGAAACTCCCGAAGATGAAAGGTAATGTCGGTCAAGTTCAGCATCATCTTCAGGATTGACAAACCACGGTCGACTTCGATTTTCCACATCGTGTTCTCTTTGCGTCGGTTCCCAATTGAAATCTAGATCATTATCCGCTCCGTCCAGAAAGAAATTCGCCGCCGGATCGGAGGTATGAGTTGTCTCAACAGAGGGAGAAGAGCTGTATGACGAGAAGTAGCCGGACCATCGATTAAGTATTGAATCTGCGGGCGGCTCTGGGGTATCCCCCCGGTATTTAAGAGTGGTGGACGGTAGGGGAGCAATTGTCTTATTGTCACTACTAAAGCTGCTTCGAGGAGTTGTGCTCCGGTCGCTGGTTGATGCCGGCCAAGAGCCTTGTCTCATCATGACAATGCCATCTTCCGAAGACGAGTCATCCTGCATTGTTGGCGGCCAATCGTCATCCTCGTCATCTTTTGCCTCGACTGCGATACACTGCACTACCTCGTTATTGAAATGTATATGGCGCTTTTCAGAGGGGGATCCTGTTCCAGAAGATCCATTGGTCGGCGTAGCACTGGGTGAAACTTGCGAATACCCTTCGGAAGATTGACTGAATGTCTGTCCCAACTTGGACGGGTAACGGTAGAAGGATGGCCGACTACGGTTGACCTCCGCTTCCTGTGCCTTCAAAATGGCACCTGCATGCTGTAGGAGGGTGTGCTGCGACAAGGAACGCTGCAGTATAGTTTCCGAAGCGGTCCTCTTTTTCAAGATCGGCTTCCTTTCTATAGGCGTTTCGAGGCGACTCGGGGGCGGTGACGCGTTGGAGACATTCTTGCGCCTGTTGCACGATTTTAACGGGCCGTATAGCCAAGTCACGTCATAGTCCTTCAACCTAAAAAGAAGACGGTTAAGCATGGAATCAACAAGGGGCTTGAGGGGAAGGGCAGTTTCAAAGGTCGGACTAACCAGTTGAGGGTTTCCGGCGATACTGTTCCCAGGTTGAGCTTCAACTTTGTCCAAGTCCTCCACGAAGCATTCTCCAACCTCACGCCGTGCTCGTATATTTCCCTTCGGGTAATTACATAACGCCAAGAGGCCCAAATATCCTCCTCCTTCCATTCATGAGAAAGGTAATCAACGTGTCTCGACGGCTCCTCCTCAATTAAACTGTCATCAGCTGGCCTCGGTAAGTTCACATGTTGCATATCCGTTGATGACTCAGTCGATGTCTCGCTGGGGGCTTCGGGGAGCTTTGAAGCGCCTGGACCGGCGTCATATGAGGGTAGTAGAATCTCATCCTCGTCCTGTCCATCACGTACACAGAATGATAGATTGCTAAGGGTTGCGGGGGTAGGAAGCAGATGACCGGTAGCAGTCTGGGCGAAGTCGGGAGAAGGGGGGAACGAAGAAAGTGTAGAGGATACAACTGGACTAGGACAAGATCTTGGGGAATAGTCATGGGTAGAAGATTTGGCAGTAGCCACCTCTGAGTCTTCTAGGAAGTATCTCTGGGCGATGGAACACCGTAGAGGATCGGAGGCAAGTCGCGTATGCCTCTCCTGCGAAGCGGGAAGCACGGTGGCCATTTTCAACGGGGAATGATAATCATTTGAGCTAAAGTCTTCTCTCCTTCTTGTTCTTTATTTCGCCGACGAGGTTGACGGTTGTAATGTCGACTGGTAGATGAAGATAAGGATTGCCGATTGCGATTTGAGATGTCGAAGCAATTGGTCTTGGTATAAGAATTTGTGGGGGGAATACGAGATTTCAGACCGAGAGAGAGCCAAAAGTCATTTTCGAGGGGAGTGATGGCGATGTATCCGGAAGATGAGATCAAGAATACCTAAAAGGTAGATCCGAGCGGACAGCAGGCTCGATGAATGAGAGGGTGCCTTTTTAGCTTTCCAAGGTATCGGCGGACCTTTTAGGTAAGACCTTACGAGACAAATCCGTCAGTAAGGAATGAATGTATGGTATGGGCTTGTAACTCTTATGTGTCAGTATGAGGAATTGAAAGGAAAGAAGAAAAGGAGGAGGGGAGAGCCAGAGAGAAGAGAAAGAAAGAAAAGCTCTTTTTACAATACTGACTGTTTTCTGAAAGTGAAGCACAAAGGTTTCAATTTGTTCACTACGGAAGGAAGAGGAATGATATTCCTCCCGGAAGCGACGAATTGGCCGTAACTGTTTGTAAAACAAGGCAGAAAGTAGAGGTAGTAGGGACGAGCGAATGAGGTAGTACAAGAGGATCGATATCCTTGATGGTAATATATTCGATATGGAAGGAAGGGGAGAGGATGGTTTAATTTTGTGTTAACGGTTCACTGGTATTGATATAATTGAGAATCCCGGGTGAATTGGAGGTTCAGTGGAGAAAGAAGGGTAGGTTAAGCAAGTACAGAGTAAGTGATGTATGAGGATGTATTATATGTATGTATGCTAGGTACAGAAAACAGAAAACAGAAAAGTTAAAAAAGGAAAAAAAAAAAGAAAAAGAAAAAGAAAGAGAGAGCTGTACCCAAAAAGAGCAAGGCAAGTTGCCACACCAGGGACGAACGAACTTATTGCAGTTAGTTTAGCGTTGGTACAGTCTATATTACCTAGATACGGGTACGGGTGAGAACGGTTTCCGTTCATTGGTCTGGAAGGATGCATGAAATGGGGGAAAACCTGCCCAGTACCACATCAGGACTAGTTTCGCTGATTCGCGCCCCCTCTTTTCCATCGAAGGTGGAGTTACTCTCGCTTGTCATTGACTTGGACTTGATCAAACCCCATGGAGAACCTCCAGACCCGGTGGGAACTCAATAGAACATTGTCTAGATCTTTTCTACCAAGTTCCTGTAACATATTTTGTGGTGCTGTCTAAGGACTATACACTATCATGTAAAATCCTCTTTCTTTCATTTTTTCCCTCTCTCTCTCTCTTTTTCTTTCTTTTTTCTTCCTCCCTCGTCTATATCAGTAGTTACTATTGATGGTGGAATGGAAGTTATCGACCATGCATTGCACCCCGTTAACCGAACTTTATCAGTCTAATCTACGTGAATCATAGCTGTGGTTATTTGTCTGGAACATGGTCCTCTGTGTATCATGATATATACCCTTGCTATCACGACCCTCCGCTTATCATTTCATTGGCAGGTGTTCAATTGTCGTTCCACTCCAAAAACAGCTCCTTCTTGGGGATTGGTTGATATGTTCGATATACTTTGGGCATTTATTCCCGTTTCAAATCACCTTACTCTACTAAAAGGCACCAATGAAGTAATATATATATAAAATAAGATTAATGCTAAGAAAAGAAATCTTTATTACAAGGATTCTTCTCACCCCTGCAGGGGCGTGTCCTGGCGGTCCAGATTTCTCGAGAAATCCACGCGGGAACCTCTGATATCCGTTCCGAGCGGCCAGACCACTTGCCCGAGCTCCCATCTGTTAAATGCTTGCAAATATACAGTACGTACTACAAGTCGGGTACAAAAGGTATCGTTACCCTTGTCTCCCACATCTATTCGATTAATGAATTGAATCGATCTTTTTGCCTGGATCGGTCTGGTGTCGTTTCCCTTTCTTTCATTTTAACCATTAATATACAAATTATTCTAATTCTTCTTCGTATTCTCATTATAATTATTATCATTATTAGAGTGGTTGCTGTCCTGTACCTTTAGTTTCCATCTCTCTATTTCTTTGATTTAAACTTACTTTTACTTCGGAGGAACACGGAGAAAAGTCTTCTCAGTGCCCACCCGGAATATCAAACGACAATCCCGATAACCACAGAGACAGGTTTTTCTCCTCGTCTGCACGGACATTGATTGCATGTTGACAGCTGTATCTCCTTGACACTAACTAGTACGTTTAGTAGAGCTAGCTGTTTCTTCTCTGCGCATCAACATAACGTAACATAGCATGATACTGTAGGGAATGTTTCCTGATCTTTCCGGCACATTAATTTCATTCTTTGAGGTGGCAAAGAAACTCATATGATGTTGAAGTACCACTCCAAAGACATACATTTATTCCTTTATCTGGTCAATCTCTTAGGTTCGAGGATCCGAGCGCCTCTATCTAGAAGCTAGATCCACTACTAAAATTGACTTACTTGCTATCTTTAGTGATGGACAAACAGACCTCCTCCTTTAGGTAAGAGGTAGAAACGGCCTACCGAGGAAATGCGTGTGGAAAATCTGAGGTGGCAATGGACTGCATATTCAACTGGAAGACAGGATTTATGATGGGAAAGATAGATAGATAGATTTGACGTTGGATAACGCTACTATTGGTCTACTCAATGTCCCTCATCGCAAGTTAGTTGGCATCATTTACCAGGGAAGTACGGGAGGAGTAGATAGATACTTGTAATCTATATTAATTATTTTTATTATTTTTATTATTATTTTTATTATTATTTTTATTATTATTATTATTGTTCCTTTTTTTTTAACCAGCTTATGACTGACAAACTTTTCGGTTCTCTCAAAAGGTCAATGCTCCCCTAGTTAGTATTTTATCAGTCCATTCCCTTAGAATTCAATCATCATACGTACTTGGTGCATTCTCGGTCTCTTAACTCCACTTGCAGCAACGGTCAGACGTCAGTGGATCCTCAATGGCCGAGGGACTAGATATGTACTATGTACGACACTGAAAGGTCCGTGTCAACAAACCTTGTCGATCAATGTACTACTTATTACTTACTCCTTCTACTACTACTAGACTAGTACGTAGTCGCAAACCAACGCCTCAACTTATGGTATGGTATGGACAGTATATATGGCTATGTGTGTACATATGTTATAGTATGTTGTTACGTTAAGGATTAGTAGAATAGTAGCTCCCATGCTATTTCTCATCCGGCCTTCCGGTCGATCTATCTATCTACCTATCTAACCACAATGCGGGATTAATATGCGACCTTGCATAGGAAACTATGAATCATCGGCTAACATTTAGTGGGATGAGGAGAGCACTGACAGCGCCTAAGTCGGGGAAAATGACGCCCGTGCTAACAATGGAACGTTGACTTTATGTCCGCCTATTGGCTCCTAGAGCCTGCCAACTGTCCATATCTTGATTGTGGACGGAAAGCATCAGATGTGGGGAATGTCCTATATCATTTGCCAACCTGGAATGATTCCACAGCACGCCATTCCCCCCTCCCCCGGGAGAAACACGGTCAACTTAGACTAGAAAAAATTCAACCTAAAAAGCAACCCGACTACCAAACCCCCCTTCTTTCCTTGGCATAGCAGATCGTTCTCACTACTTGGTTATTGACCAATTAACGGTTCGGAGATAGAAGATTGTTCAATCGTTGTGGTGGATGCAAAGGTCTGGACCAAAAGGTCTGAACATCAACAATGTCAACCCTGCAAGTGGTAGAGTCCATGGACGTGGGAAGCCTCAACAGAAATTGCTTGAAACCACTATGCACAGATCTAGATGCAGGCGGTACATCATTGTAATAAGTAGAGATAGACATATCGGGATTTGTTAGTATAAAAAATTAGATATGCAATAGTTCCTCACGCTATTCGATTCAGAAGAAGTAATAGTTACTGGGAGGTTTTGGGTCTCAAGGGTAAGGTCCCAGAAGGGACGTTCGTACCGAAGTTGGCAATTTTCAAATATGACCAGCCAGATGAAATATGGCACTAGAGAGAGGTGGAATGCCCGTTAGGTAGCTTCAATGTTCGGGGGAGGAAGAGAAGGCAGTTGGTGGACCAGCATGAGATAATGTATCGCATTTATTTGGATCACATGACCATGGACCAGAGAGCTACAGAGCAGTTTAGTGCAGCCCCGCGGCATATCGGTATGTACACTGTGCTGATAATCGATTTTACCCGCAAATCAACATTGCTATCCCATACCACCAGAAAATCCTAGGATCATTCTCTGAAATGGCCGAAGTAATGCCATCAGCCCCCACTGAGTCGTTGGCCCGCCAGATCATCTATTGCGGGGGTGAGTCTTCTCTATGTGACGCAATGGAGGGGCATTTCCATTATGGGCTTGATGTCGAGATCTCTGACCTATTAGAATTACAGTTTGCACACTGCCTCCAGAGGTATGAACTCCTTTCCTTCACCGGTCACCAGACAGGGAACGGTGCAACTTGCAGAATGGCTGACTTGCAATCTCCTAGTATTGTGAGTTTGGAGGAACGGCAAAGAAATGTGAGGAATGGCTGAAGGACAACCAGCCGGAACTGTACCAGCGACTCCATTCTGAAGGTACCGCAAAAAATTGTTCCAGTATATTCCGTTATGGTGTAGTCAAGCGCAGTCTAACGAGCTTGCCTTTTGCAGAAACCATTAGCGCCAATTTATCGACACTTTCCGTATCTGCCCAGGAGCGCGCAGCAAAAGACGCTGCTAAGAAAGAGGCAAAAGCTGCTCTAGCAGAAGCACGCGATGCGGAGCGCAAGGCTGCCTCCAAGGTCCAAATCAAGCGTGTCGAACGGAACAAACGCAAACACGTCACCGTCATCGCAGGTTTAGAGGTATACGGGTTGGAAAATAAGAAAGTTGCCAAGGAGCTCGGTAAGAAGTTTGCAACGGGTTCTTCAGTGACGCGGTCTGCCGCGGGGAATGAGGAAATTACAGTCCAGGGTGATGTGAGTGACGATGTTCAGGACTGGCTATTGGAGGTCTATGGAAAGGAGATCCCGGAGGCCAACATTGAGATTATTGAGGACAAGAAAAAGAAGGGGGGCAGTTAACGAATGGTGGAACTATCTCGGGTGCACAGCGGATATGCATAATACGCAAATTTATTGTTGCATGTTGGGTATCATGTCGATAATATAAAGACAATCATGATAAGCTGTTAAAGGAATTCAAGGCTGGCTTTGACAAGCAAGGTATGTCCCGTTAGATCTAGATATGTCGCCCGTCACAGTTCGTCGAATATTCTTAAAGGATCTCGGTCAGTAGGTCCCGTGTCCTCACGGTTAGCAGACGTTGGTGTTGCCGGGCCAGGAGAGTGGCGGGTATCGTGGCGGGATATCAGCTTTGATGGAGACAAAGACGGCATAAACATATCTCCATGGACTTCCGTGGGCAGCTGATACATCCCATTCTCCTGTTCGTGTACAAGTGTTCCTGTAGAGCCGTTGGTCATGGTCGCTGCTTGTGAAATTATGTAGGAGTCCGGCGGCTCTACAGTGATCCAGTTTTGGGCGATGAGAACTATGGTGAGAACGAATATGCCTGCTGAGACCACTAACCAAAAGATACGAAGGCGGCGACTGATCCGTATTTGGCACTCAGCCTCTCCCCTCTCCCAGCAGTCAATCTCTTTCCGCATCTCTTCAAGTCTACGGCTGAGCACTTCAGCCCTCATTCTTCCCATCTTCATACGTTCTTCCAGGGCCTCGATCTTCTGCGTCTGATGCTGAAAGCCATTGAGCTCCCCGATCTGCTTCCGAATGTCCTGGTCCAAGGCAGTGGTCTCCCGTTCAAAATAATTGAAGAGTTCCGATGTCGAGTCAGAGAGTTCTTGGAATGAAGCAATCGTGGTGTGTAAAGCAGCGAGTTTTTCCAGTAGATTATAGTAAGTATAGTCGAGCCTGCGGGTGATATCCGTTGCAAGTGTGCCGATCATCGATAAAGCGGATCGCAAGTATCTACCGGTGAACCCGTCAGACCAACCCAAAGGAACAGTATATAACATCACTTACCGCTCACCCCGTTTCCGTCTATCTCTAACTTGCTCCAGATCATCTAGCGAATGGATCTCATGTCGTCTAATCAGACCTAGATGGTTGCTCTGGTCGATCTCGTCGAATATACTGCCTTTCCTGCTACCAGTGCCTAATCCTGTGGTAGATTCAGATCCCCAACGCGACCGAGTTGTCTCCCTCGTTATCGGTCTAAGTAAGCCGTGTCCATCATCAGGGTCACTTTCTTTATCGCGAGCTCCGGACCATGTAGGCAGCAGACCCCTAGCACTAGCGGAAGAGGCAATGGGGTTCATTATGCGTGGGAACCGCCCGTCACGGGATTTGCTGTGTTTGTGCTTATGACGCGATCGGAACTTGGTCGTAGGATCTAGGCTGGCAGGGTCAAAAGCCAGATGGCGGGGATATTTTTCTCGAAGCGCACCTGACGCGTTGGATTGGCGATCAGTACGGCCATGATGCGGTTGTAGAGCTCGCAATGTAGCGTCGGTGTTGGACGGAGGAGTGGGTTCGGCGGTAAATGATCCATGGGTGGTGAAAGGCTGTTTGGATAACGCGGGCAATGAATTTTTAAAGGAAGAATCCATTTCGCGTCTCTAAAGACTATATGTAGTCAAGGGCGCATTTTTCCCTTCCACTATCATCTAAGCAATATTTTGTTTTTGGAACACGACGCCAAGGCTGGTCGACGCACTTGCCTTCAGCTGGTATTTGCTGCGGGTTCTAGGAAATGATCAACGGGTCTGACTGGTATAGGTACGATATCAATAGATACACACAAGCAATAACAGCGAGAGTCTTTCCTTTTTTTTTCCCAAAAAAGCACCAGTCCTATCTATTTGTGCACATTGATTTAGCAGAAACGAAAATCGAGCAAACGCAGGAAATCCTAATTCGCTCGGTAAAGTACACACATACATACATACATACATATCATATGTATGTACATATATCATAACCCAACTCCTATCCTCGCCATTCAACCATTGACTTTCTTAATCATGAGCATTATTTAGATATGTATTTCCTCAAATTGGGGAAGATGTGACAAAGAAAACGACTGGGGAGAAGAAAAAATGATGAGAGAGCAATAGCCACCGTACACGCCGAACGAATAGTAACAAACACGATGAAGTGATGGAGAATACCATAAATAACGATTACGAGTTCAGCAATTTGTTGCGCTTTTCCTTGCGTTTCAATCGCTCGACACGTTTGCGGTGCATCTTTTCTGCCATCTTCTCGTAGCGTTCCCTCTCCTCTTTCGCGGCCCTGCGGTCCTTGATCCTTTGAATATGCGCCTGTGAGGTGAGGTCAGTAAACTCTCCCATAAAAGCTTCCAGACTCATCGATATATTTCCCCTACCTTCCGTTCGGCCTCTTTCTCCTCCTTGAGTTCTCTTTCGAGCTCTTTAACGGTCTCCTGGTGCTTGCGGGCCTCTAGTCTCTTTGCATACGAGGTCAAGCCAGCGGTAGGGCGAAACGGTTTTTTGGTATCATGCCAGTTTTTCCCTGCGGGTCCAAGGCAGGAAAAATTAGCAGGACAGTGTGGGATAAGTGGGGAGCAAGATTCTATTACATACCATTTTTACGCATGCCTTTTGTGGGATCAGCCGGAGGAGCTGATGCCGTGGACGACATGGCTTACAAGAATAAGAGCAGCAAGAGGAAAAAATAAAGATGAAAAAAGCAAGTCCAACGGAGCGATGAAGCGGAACTGCGAAAATCGAAGGCGGGCAATGAATTTGGTTTTCCTCGGCGGATGGACTGGCCGCCCTGCGGCTTTCGAATTTTTGAGGAAAAAGTTATCTTAGACCGATCAGATAAACGGATCTCGGCAGAAGTCTTCACCCGATGCCCACTTTGGCATTGCAATGAGGGATTTGCTAGCCACAATTCTTACCCGGTCCTTAATCTAGGCTGAAATTGTCGCAACCATCGCTGCAAAAGTTCCCCACTGTTCCCAAAATCCCGCATCTTGGCTTTCTGTACTTGCTTCTATCTGCAAGCGATGCTCACTTGCTGATTTTATCGCGCGTGGGCTCGGGCAGACTTGGAAACCCCTCGTTGATACCAGACCACACCGCCCCTCCACCTCCGACACGAAATCTTGCGTTAAATACTTTACCAAGACCTATTCTTCTTCCGATTCTACACGAAACCATACAATGTCCTGCCGATAGAGTTTACCTCTCTCTCTCTCGCTCGGTGTCTCTTGACCCTCTTGTGTTTCTACTCGTCTTCTTTTTCTGCTTCCGATCTGGCTCGAATTTCCTCCTACTCCCCATGGCGGCTGCAGAACATGCGATCCCAGTCAAGAATGAAATGGCAATGGAGCTCCCTACACTTCCACCCAATCAGGGTGTTGAGGCCTTCAAGGATATAGTGTTCGGTTCTGTAAGTAACCAGTGCTCTGTGGGGCACTGCTCGTGTTAACCATTCATATATAGGCAGCAGGAATGGCCGGCAAGGTCATTGAGTACCCTTTTGACACGGTGAAGGTGCGGCTGCAATCTCAACCCGACCACCTACCCCTTCGATATAAGGGGCCAGTAGACTGCTTTCGGCAGTCTTTTCAGACCGATGGCTTTAGAGGACTGTATCGAGGCATCAGCGCTCCTATGGCTGGTGCTGCCATAGAGAATAGCTGCTTGTTCTGGAGCTACCGCATGATCCAAGATGTGCTAAGGTCGACATGGTACACTTCAACAGACCCTTTACCCTTCTCCGCCTTATTGATCAGCGGCGCTGCATCTGGATCCATTACTTCGCTTGCTCTTACCCCCATCGAACTCATCAAATGCAAGATGCAAGTACATCATGAGGGTTCTAGCCCAAGGGCCACCAGCCCGCTTATTTTAGTCGCATCTATCTTCCGTCGAGATGGTATCCTAGGGTTTTGGCGAGGACAGCTGGGAACCCTCATCCGAGAGACTGGCGGGGGTGCCGCTTGGTTTGGCGGCTATGAGGGGGTCTCGGCACTTTTTCGAACAAAGGTCAACTCCTTGGAGCGCGAATCAGCCTCTCTGCCGGTTTATCAACAGATGATCGCTGGAGCAGCAGCTGGTATCAGTTACAACTTCTTGTTCTATCCAGCAGATACAATCAAGTCCCGTATGCAAACCGAAGATCTTACGCATAGGGCGGTCCATGGCCAACGTCAAAGCTTTTGGGGTGTTGGCAAGGCTCTCTGGAAGCAACAAGGGCTCCGGGCTTTATACCGAGGTTGCGGGATCACTTGCGCGCGATCAGCACCCAGCTCCGCTTTCATTTTCACCGTGTACGAAGGACTACGGAGTTATTTTTGATGAACTGCTCTGCATTAGACTTGTTTTTTATCGTTCATTCTTCTTCTTCCTCTTTTTCTTTCTTTCTTTCTGTTCTTTTTCTATCCTGGATGATACCTCTGATCGTGTTCTTCTTCTCCCCCTCCCGTGTTCTTGCTCTAGACATACATTCAGAGTTCACTTCAAGAGAGCTCCTCGAGCTGTTGGTTATGTAAATCGAAAAGTGTTTTTTTTTTCCTTTTTCTTCTTTTTCCGTCTCTCTTCTTTGTGTGATATTTATTCCCCTGACTTATTCTCTTTTGCTCCTCCTGCGACTAATTTTTTAGAATATTTCCTATATAGCTAGTTTATGTCTTCGTATAGATAAGACGGGGACCATCAGTTGAATAATGGATATGCTTCTGTACAGTGTCTTTCTGTCTAAGGCGGGGTTACATCATTCAATAAATACTGCAGAAAAGCAATTAGATTGTTTTTGATTTTCTAGCCGAGGACGTATTATGCCCCTCCCCTATTCTGCTGTTTCTTATATTCAATCTACACCCTGACCCTATCAACCCCCAGTCCGACTAATTCAGTCCGGCGTTGATGAAGATGTCCGCTTCTAAGTATACTCTTACTGCTCAGGAACTTCACACTCTTTCATCCAAAGCGATCGCTGCTAAAGCTGCAGCCTACTGTAAGTCAGACGGCGAGTAAGGTATCACACAGGATTCCGATCCTTGTGATCTCTTCTCAATATTTTCTAAACTTCGCTACAGGCCCATATTCTAAATTCCGGGTCGGTGCATGCGTTCTCACCCATTCTGGTGAGTACATCGTCGGCGCCAATGTCGAAAACGCATCCTATCCGGTTGGCACATGTGCAGAACGAGTAGCGTTTGGGACTGCTGTTGTAAGATATCGACTCTCTTGCCAGGCAGTCTTGACCTGAGGTTCACAAATTCTCTTGTGTAGGTCGCGGGACATCATGACTTCAAAGCTGTCGCTGTCGCTACCGATAGTAGCCCCCCGGCGTCCCCGTGCGGAATGTGCAGGCAATTGTAAGCTTCAATCCTCGCCTCTTCCGCATAACCCATCATAGCTACTTCACAACGCTGACACGGGGGGGGCGAAAATGTATAGCATGAATGAATTTACGACTCCTTCGTTCCTGATTTATATGTATGACTCGGAAGGAAACTATACTTGTAAGACTATGCGCGAGGTATGTATGCTCCCCGGATCATTTTGTATTCCTTCTCATGGTTCATATCCAATCCTCATTGGAGTCATACTTCTATATATGTATCGATGCTGACTCACGCTCCTACAGCTTCTCCCGGACTCGTTTGGTCCGGAAGACTTTCCGGGTGAAAGGGTGCAATCGTAGTCCCTTCCCATTTCAATGTATGAGCTTCCTTGCTGCGATCATTATGGCTCCGGAACCCGCTGTATAATCGGCCAAGTGGTATCATGCCATTTTCTATATGGAACAGACCTGCTCAAGTTGTTTTTATGTCAACAAGCCTTTGCTGTGTATTACGGGAGTTGTTCTTCGAATGTCGAAGTGCTTGTTTGAATACTTGCAAAGATACAATTAAATTAATTTTGTTAAGTTTCCGATAAAAATCGGGTTGTTCCGTTATGCTCCCAAATCTCACTCGTTATGAGACCTTGGTGAATATGTAATTGAGAACCCCAAGCTCGACCCGTACTGCTAAACCAGATAGGTCAAGTTCTCCCGTTTGCTCCGTCGTCTCGCCATCTCTCTAGGTAGGATAACATCAAAGGAGAGGAGGAAACCTGCTTTAGTTATGTCTCTTGTGATGAAACTGCATAGCCTCGCCCTATAAATTCATAACACAGTATACAAGACATAGTACTTCCATAATATAACATAAATCATACGATACGATCCGAAAGCAACAGAATGTAAATGAGACAACTAGAGTTCGTCGTCTTCATCGGCTTCGGCGTCTTCCACGCCGAGAAGCTCATCCTCATCCTCGACAATGCTGGTGTAATCGCCTCGGCGCGCTGCGAACGAACCGCGAGACGCGTAGGGTCTCGAATAACCCCTACTCCTTCCAAGTCGAACGTATCCACTGGCGCTCCGCCACAAACTCGTAGCCAAAAGCGGGAAAGCTCTGGCAACGGCAACGATACCAGCGACTATCGCAATTGGCACTGTGACCAACAATGAATCTCGTGACAGTAAGCTTTGTGAGGTGCCAGTATCTTCGCCAAGGCGAATTTGGCCAAATTTGCCATCCCACCTGCTGTAGACATAGTAACCGACAGCGCCTGCCACAGTAAGTGGGGTCACAATTGCAAAGAACAGGCCAACCCCACTGATGCCGTGCTTTTGCCTGTATTCCTCCTCCTTGTTGGGACAGGGTTTGGAGACGAAATGGTCTAGGTTCTGACCGCCCTGACATGTTGTTTGGGGAATGCGGCGGTATCCGGTTGGCTCCCAGTATTCAATTGTATCAGGATCCTTTTTACAAATATCCATAGCATCCGGCCTAGGAAGTCCGGGAACGAGAGAACAACTACCGTCGCTCTGAGGTTCATAGTTGTAATCGCTGGCTGACGTTAGTTTTCGCACGTCAATGCTCGGGGACCAGAGTTAGGGAGACGTTTACCATTCATAATCAGCTCTCGTGCAGGTACAGTTCATTCCAATACTATGAACATGGGGTTCTCGCCAACTGTTCCAACATTGAGCTAACGGGTTTTTGCGGTGATATTGCTCGACGTGGCCAAATAGGCAGTTTTCCTTTTGGAAAGGGTGCTTTGGCTCCCATAGATAATAGTCATCACTCTCGCCCTGGCTTTCGTCTAACAGACACGGCCGCGCGCGGATACCACTAAAGTCGATATTGAACGTGGTGAGCCTATCTCGAACTTCAGAATTCGGCGCTATAGCCCAGAGAAGGAAGTTTTTCGAAGTATCAGATGGCACCGTTGAGATGTCAGTGATGCGCACCTCGTCATCCGAGAACTGGAAGTCTACCCAGGTATCACCCTCATCGAGGCTGTAGTGGAGAGTTTTGGTAGGCTGAGATTCGGGCACTATGACAATGACCGAGCCCGAGTCGCCATATTCCCACATATATTTACCCTTCTTGACGGACTTCCAGCTAATCCCGCCATCCTTTGTGATAAACGTATCCGCCTTGTCTCCACCGGCTAGATGGTCACCGACATTACCTACAGCCATCATCAAGCCAATCGCAGATCCAGAAGCGAAAGTGTCCCGCTCGTCTTTGCGCTCCGTATAGCCATGAAGGTGGAGCGAGCAGTCGTCTGTCCCTTTCCCTGATACAACGGTGCAGCCAAAGTTCTTCCCATCAGCATCCTTTGCCGGAGGAGGGAGTAACATCCATTGCGCTCCATCATTATGAGTAATCATGGTTTTGAGCTTCTTCGGCGCTTTCTTCGAGACTTCAGCCACGTTACTGACGACATTTGCAACAGCCACCCCTTCCAAGCCCTGCATCTTCTCGAAATCAACATAACCTAAGCTATTTCGGTTGACTGCATTGATGCTCAGTACGTAAGATGTTCCGTTGCTGTTGCTCTTGATGATAGGGCCATACTCGGCCCCTTCTACGCTGTTCGCCGTAACGTGCAGAAAAACGGCATGCGTAGAGCTTTCGAGCACGGTATAGGCGGTCTGAACGGGCACTTGAACGTTTGGTGGGAACTGCGCTTGCGCAAAAGTCCTGCCATCGATGCTTATACTAGCCATCAATGAATCCTCCTTTTCTGGATGCCGTGATGCTACAATGATGAATTCTGACATTGTAGCATAATTGATGACACTGTCGAATCGGACCTCGTTGGTGTTGAAATACTCATCGCTTGACAGTAACCGCAGTCGACTTCTTTTGCCTTTTTCAAACTGTTCGCAGTAGATGAGATCGGTGCTGTTCGGTCGGCTCTCCCTACTCTCAAACTCGCATTTCTGTACATCACTAAGCAGATGTTCCCAGTTCTTGCCACGCCCCTTTTTAATGAAAGCATCAGAATGACAGTCACCGGAATGGCAACCCACAGCCCCAGTCCAGATCAACCGGTCCTTGTATTCTGGATGGAACGCAAGGACTTGAAGGTTATCTCGAGTCGGTGGCGCCGGCGCTTCGAAGGGTTTAAAAGTATGACCACGGTCGTCAGTCCAAAAACCCTTCTTGCTATCGGTGAGAAGGAAGGCCACATCACTGCTATAAGGATGGAGATAGATGCTACTGATCTTTTCTCCTTTCAGCGGCGATTCCCATGTTTTGCCATGATCATGCGTCACATAGACTTCGTGCTCACTGGTGAGAGCTACAATAGTCTCGTCACTACCGGAGCTGCTAGACTGGCGTTCTAAATAAAAATACTGGCGGACCTTGGCCTCGAATTTCTGTGAAGTCACGGCTATCTTGCCGTCCGTTGGCGCACTACTTGCGTCCTTGCAAGATCTTTCGATATCCTTGTCTAAATTTTCGCCACCATCTCGGGTGCAAGCATTTCCCGGAATAAGCCTCCAACCCGACGGGCCCATGAACTTATCATCAGTGTCTTTGCACTTGCCTTCCGGGGGTGTTAAAGGCCAAGGCATGACACATCCTTTACCATCTTCAGTGCGCTTATATTCGCACTCGAAGTCCTGCGTTGTGCACTTGCATGCTTCAAAGATTGGCTCGGGGTCCTTGAATTCCTCATCCACAAAACAGTCTGCATTGGCCTTTCGGCGCCTGTAGAACTGTTTATGGCCCATCAAGCAATCGGGTTTACCGTCTTCGTCCAGCCGAGCTGGCCATTTCTCAAAATCATCTTCGCCACATTTCCTCTCATGGAGACCACCGAAGTCGATCGAATAAATAACATGTTCGCCTTCTCGGCCTTCTCTCAAGGAGCCAACAATGACGAATTTCAAACTGGTGGAATCGGGGGTGGTCGTAACCATCGTAGGGTAAATCTTGTCTGGAAGCTCGACTGATGTCCATTCCTTACCATGATCGAGAGAGTAATTTATCCTGTCCACTTTAGCCTCGTCGCGAACCGCCAGGACAACGGCACCCTGATCCCCAAATTCGTATTTGTGGGGATGCTTGAGAGCACGGCGCCAAGTCACCCCCGCATCATCTGAGATATAGAGACTGCATTCGGCGTAATCTTTGAGATGATTGCCTGTATTGCCGACTCCCATCACTAGCCCCGGTGCTGGGCTTGAGAACACCCGCCCTATGTTCGCGAGCGTAGTCACTGAGTGAAGATGCAGGTCTTCCCCATCCGACTTTAGGGGCTGAAAGGTCCTTCCGTCGTCAAAACTGATTCTGCTTATAACCTTCTTTTTGCTCGAACCAGACTTGACTTCTTTTGAATTCTGTACGGTATTGACCAATACAATCCCCTGGATACCAGCAATCTTTTCGAAGTCAACCATGCCTTCCGAATTACGGTTAGTATGTTCGATATTTCGGGTAAAATAAGTGCCATTCGAATTGGATGTAAAGAGCACACCCATGCCACTTCTTGGACTGGTCAAAACATCCACCTGAAGGCTGTAATTAGTACTCTCTAGCATTGTGTACGCTTCCTCCTCTATTCGATGACCATCGAACTCTGCACGGTGCCAAGTTTTAGCATCGACTGTCACGTATAGCGCGAGTTCCTCGGTTCCTTTAGACTTAGCCGCGGCCACGATGAATTTCTTGACTGCGGCGGTGCTAATGACGCCTGACACAGGCCGTCCTTCCTGAAGTTTGACCTCCTCGCCTTCAACATTGCTCCTGAAGTAGTCATCGGAATATACGAGGCGGTTGGCGTGCGGAAGCGGTACCTTCAGGCCCGGAACGACACAGAGCGAGCGGTCCTTGATCTCCTCGGCCATGTTCAGATCTTCAGCAAACTGCGGATGGCCCACCGCCCAGGCACACCCACCCGTGCTCTCACGTAGCGGTTTAACCGTTGCAAAATCATCCGTCGTGTAGTATGACCTCACAATGCAATACCGACCTGCGCATTCCTCGGCCTGGAATATGACTTTGCTGGAGTCCCAGCCATGGAATACAAGGGGGTAATGTCTTATTGCCGGTAACCCAGGAATTTCGAATGAGGTCCACGTTTCCGCCTGATCCGTTGTAACCCAATGACGGCCGTTGGGTCCCAAGGCGTATGCTTTTTTATTGTCATACGGGTGCTGTCTGGTTAAAAGGACATGACGTTTCATGTCACCATCGTCGCCCTCAACAACTGTCCAGCTTTCGCCTGCGTCGACTGACCGAAGTAGATCGTGGTTAGCCGTGGTCATAAGAATAGTATCCGTATCTTCGAAGTAGAAGAGAGAATTCGGATTATGATCAATCTTGGTCGCTGCAATTTTGGGTGAACTTGACTTTGCAGCACCAGACTGCGCAACGAGCGCCAGTAACAGGCAGCTCACTAGCAAAAGCCATCGAGAGATCATGACCGCGAGTCTTGAAACATTTGAAACCACGGGAGCTTATGCTGGGGTGAGAAGCTACAGTTCCGATACGTCCGAGCGACTCGGGAGAGAAGATGAATGGAGAGATCGAGCCCCAATACTGGCTGATTAGTCTATTGGGAGTAGCCGATAACGAACGGGTAAGTTTTGGGGCCCATAAAACGGATGGCTTAGAAGTGTAAGGTGCGAGGGATAACTGTGTGGCCTCAGAGAGCTGCATAGTCACGTGCTTGTGATGGATTGCTTATCGAAGCATTGTTTAGCTTTGCTTTCGACCAATGATCTTTGCATACCTCCGACCAGATCAATTCGTCGTACTACCTTTGTACGTACAGGACCAATACCACTCAGTAGTCGTAGTAGTCGTAGTCCATAGTAGTATAACTACTACCTGATACATAGCTTTTATGTTCCAGGTTACATACAGACAGGTACCCCATCTTCACACGTAATCCAAACCATTGAGTTGCAGCCTGCCAGGTCATGTTCTTATCAAAGTGTTTATATATATATATATTGTATGTACATATGTGCATATGAGAGATTGTAGGAAAGCATTTATGTATCCATGTTTTGAATAGTAGAGGGTATGCAAGAAGACCATCCAGTAGTAGGAGTCGTCAAAAATCGTAGAAAGAACTAGCTCAGCACTTTTGTTTCCGAATCTTACGCCACATTTTGCTCACCAACCCTTGCTCGTCTTCCCATAGATCCGAGCCACTACTACTAGTATTAATCCTATCCTCCGGTGACAGTTTCAGTGGGTCTTTGGCGGGCGGTGACTCGGTCCGAAGGTCGGGCCTCGTCAACGTCATTTTCAGAGTCATTTCGCGATTACTTAGTAGCGACTGCCGCGAAGGAGGTACAAGGTCCACCGAGCGGGGATCTTCCATCACGTCCAGCCGCTTCTTATACTGTTCCCCCGACACAGATGTGTCCTCGTCTTCCTCGTCCAAAAACGTGCCAGTGAACACGTGAGGCTTCGCCCCGAGCTCGGCTGATGTTCTTTTAGCACATATGGCTGGTTTATTGTTTAAAGCCGGAAACCCAAACTCGATGGCTTCGTCGAAGTTATGTGGCGAGGCCAAGTATACCCGCAATTTAAGGCGGGCTTCAGGGTCCTGATAGTAATGCGCTGATGGGTCAATACTGGATGTGCAAGGTTTGGGTATATAGGCTTGGCTTTGGCGCGAAGACGGTCGAGAACGCGGTCCACGATCAATGGTATTTGCCGGCAGGCTCGGAGACGTGGTTGATTGACACAAGGCTTGCGATTTACTACGCGATACTGACGATGTTGGTTTGCGACTTAGAATTCCTGGATTTAACGATATCTTTCTCCGAAAAGAAGGCCGCCTTCTAGGCGACAAACTGGACGTCGACTTCGCAACATGCGCATGATAATCGTCCAGCCTGAGATCAAGATCTTGACCATCTTCCAACCAACGGAATCTATCGCTGAACGGATTGTCCATGTTGGTATCGAAATTTGAATCCGAATCCGAATCTGAAGGGTCGAAGTACAAGGTAGACGACTGTGATGTCGCAATAGACTTCCTTCCCGATGACTGGGTCTCTGAAGATTGCTGTCGGCAGTGTCTTGCCTTCTCCAAGCGATTAAGAAGAGCCTCGCCAGCAGCGCCAGAGATCCGACCTTCAAACTGCGTTCGGTGGAACCGATGTTGCTCTTCTTTCGAAAAAAGCTTCTGCTGGATTTTAGGCGGTAACGAGTGGAAGCACCGCCAGTCGGCATGGACTGCGAGATAGGCCAATTGAAGTGAGTCGGCTTCCCGGAACTTGTGAGACGTGCCTGGGAGGAAAGACTTGCGTGAGTGGCGCTTTCCATTCCTATTAGGAGAATCTGCGGCTTCTGTTAGATAGTATGAGCTCTGGAGAGCGCAAAAGGGGAGGCGGCGAGGCGCTCTACCCAAGCGTCGGGGATGGTCAAAACCATCGCAGCGATCCGCTTGAGCTAAACGAAGGCGTTCGACATTCGAGAAGAGCTGTAGTAGGGGACCATGTCAGCGAGTTAGATCGTAGTGGAGCTCATGGGAATCAATGCCCCAGAATAGCAAGTATGTGTAGGCTCAAATGATAATGGGTCATAACTCTAGAGTCCACACCGTACACAATAGTTTTTCAGTAGTGTGAACGCTAGTGGAATCCATCCGCAAATCATCCGATCACAGCAACTTTGGTATTGAACACCATTTGCTTTTAGAGCAACCCTAGAATGAACACTAGCAATCCCCAGCTTCCCACGCTTTTTCATTATCCATTTAAGTAGACAGATAAGGAGGAATGAATGGGTAGTAGAAAGAGAGGGTGAGAAGTCCCACATTTGATCATCGTGATAGTCCAGAGCATGTAATAGGCAAGTGGAGGGACTTGAATGCTAACAGCGAGGCCAGTTCTTTCTTCCTTTCCTTTAAACATACCTTTCGTTGAAGAGTTGGGGGTAGAAATTCATATTTCAAATCTCCGTTTGGTTCTGCTTCCATCGTTTCTTGCCTCAGTCCCTTCTTTCTGTGTTTTTTTCCCCACACAATAGACGTCCCAGTACCAACGCAAACAGGAAGACTACTGCGGGTTTGGTGGGGGAGGGGATAAGTATATAATATATTATAGGTGGTGGGTTTTTTATACACGGGAGTTTGCTTCACTCGAACACGATTCTTCAATCAGAGCTTTGGGAGATGTTGGATTTTTAGTAACGCTCGCTGTTTATGTACCCTCGGTCGTAGTATGGTACTAGAAGAGCGTGCTTCAAGTGGGAGACATTCCCTATGGCCATTGGCAGGTATACAGAGCTTTCTTCCATCTCAGCGGCAAGCATTGCACCAGCAGAGGACAGTTGAATAGAGCATCTCCACTACCCCCCTCTCACGTAGGAACCATTCTAGGCTGCTTAGTTCTTACTTGCTGTGCGAAATGAGCACTAACACAGAGCAGCCCAAACTTTGGTTGGTTCATCCTCTCGCTTGCCCCAAACACTGATAGTCGCACGGACAGCTCATCCTACTAAATTAACCTGAGGAACTTCGACCAACTCTTAAGCATTGCTATCATTGGACGACGGTAGTACCTTATGTAGTGTAGTGCCTACGTGTTGGTCAGGGGGAACGGATCACATTGCCTCAACGAATCAGAGTTATGTGATGTTGCCATACTTAATTCCCTTAGCGCCAGAGTGGATACTGTCAGATAGTGTCTCCTTGCTCCTCCTTTCCACTCTTTCTCGAAGTCCGTATCGTATACACGTCAACCAATACTACCACCTACTGTGGCCACTTCTATTGTCACTACATATTGTACAGGTACAGACATGCCCTTCCGGCAAACCAGATAGTTATCGCGTAAATGGGCGACAAGGACAGAGATGATAAGAAAGAAGGCTGTAGCTTAGGGCATGATTAGAATTGAAGGGTATAATTTTTCAATACAGGAAGCGCTGATCCCAACATAAAAAGCCATACTCAGGTATTTGCGATGCGAAGTTATTGGAATGATGAAGTGCTCCGCCAAACCAAAACCAGCCTCAGAGTATATTGAGAATATTCTGCATCGCAGCTGTATTGGAATCTTCCCTTCGGGAGACATACGCTCGGACTTCCTGCACGCTGAGACCAGCTTCGATCTGTCCAGTTCCCCCAGTGCCTCGCCCAGCGCCTGCCCCAGTATTGTTCCTCGGCCTACAACCGCTGCTACTCGCGGCACCACCCCAAACCCTTTCTCGCAAGGCCTCGGAGCCTATAACAAAAAGACTGCCAACCTCTAGCAAGACATCCAGCGCACCACTAGGGCCTTTGACTTGCTCGTCTATATCCCAGGACCTGAGGAGATCTGTGTACTGCGTCATATCCTTAGTGACCATGAGGCCGCCAGGTCCATTGACAGCGAACCGCTTAAAATGCTCCAAAAGTAGGCTGCGGATTCCCAGGGCCATCTCCGTAAGCAATTGTTGGAGATTGGAGCCGCTAGGCGGCAAGGATGTCATTATCACATTATGCACACGAGTGAGAAAAGTGCAGATTGAAGCACATGTCTAAACACATATATATTAGCGCAACACATTCCAGCCACCTGATGGTCGTCCAACTAACCGGTGTCTGTAGCTTCTCCAACCAAGCTGCATTGTCTCCTTCCTTGGGTCGAAAGTCATTCTTCTTTTGGCCAGCAAGAAGTTTATTCACCCATGTCAAGGTAGCATCAATAACCTTCTGCTCAATTGTATTGACTTTCTCTTCGATTCGCATAGTTGTCAAATTGGTCTTCTTCTCCATTTCCCGGCGAACTGTGATACTGGCGGTTGCTAAGGGAATGAGTAATGTGTTAATGCACATTACCATCAAGTTCGCAATCCCGATTGCGTTCCGGACCGCTGGGAGGTAAGAGAGATCAGGCTCCATCTTCCCTGATTCCTGAGAAGTTGCCGTCTCCAACGCGGCGTCAAGACAAACCTCGATGTAGCCTTCCCCCATCACAGAAAGGAGAAGGGTCAATAGAGCCAACATATCCTTGGGTGTTTCACTGCTTACACTCAGCTCCAAGCCCCGGCTAACTCCTTCAGCAAGCCATTTGAGCATTCGTTTAGCATGAGATATGCTGGGAAGGCCATCCTCTTCAGCGAGTTTGATATCAGTCAGTTTCAAGAGGTCATTAGCATCCCTCAAACCCGCCACCTGAAGTAACATCCTTCGCTGCGTCGGCGAGTAATCTGAGGATTCAAGACGATTGATGTACGCATCTCGTGCAGCGGATAGTAGTTCAGTGCCTGACTTTGAAAGAGATGCCATGAAAGTAGTTGCTGCCTTTTTCCTACGTGCATGGAATGTGGTGAATTTGAAAAGCAAAGATGTGCACAGCTCTTCCAATGTTTTCTTCTCCCTCTCGATATAGGAGGATCCCACAAAGTATGGCACGAACAGATCTTCGAGTTGTTGGTCGAGAACCAATGCCGTCTGAGCGGAAATAGTATCAGGGTGTTCGGTCAACCCGTGAGTCTTTAAATCGTCAACTAAAGCACTGATGAAGCTGCGAGAACTTTGTAGCGACCGTAGAAAGGCAAGCGAGGACACCCTATTGGCCTTCTCCAGAACCATCTCAAGTCGCTGCTGGATGGATTGTTGAAACACGCGCTGCAGGAATTTCCCAAGGACTTGCTCGTAGTAAGGGAAGGCTCGCTTTATTATGGCTGATTCTTCCTGTACTACGACCTTTACCTCATCAATGAGCGACTGGAGACTAGGTTCCACCTTTAGAGGTTCAGCATCAGGATCTGCGAGTTGTTCCCAAGCTTCTGGGTCTCCTCCTACTTCTTCCGTAACCAACTGACTTCGATCGATGAAGAACTGATGTTGGTTGACAAATAGAGCAATAACGCTAGAACCCCCGTTGAAATCTTGGAGCACAGTTGCACAATCCTTCATACCTTCGAAATTCGCCTTACGATAAAAGTCGTCGAACTGTTTCAAGAGGTCTTTTTCCAATGTCTCCGAAAACTTCTCGATAATTTCCCTTGTGTTTCGTTTGATTGACCCGGTCTCTTCAACTTTATCCTCCTCTGCAGGCCCATTCTCAGACGGTCCATTGGTCTTCCCACCAGAGTCATCCCAGCTTTTGGGATCAAGCCTCTGACTGATCCTCAATAACTGTCGAGCTATCTGTGCTGAGCGCACTTTAGCTTCACCAGTACCAGACCTCCTCAAGTTCTCCAGGGGCGTAAGCTCTCCTCTATTACTGACGCTATCCCAACACTCAAGGAGAAAGTGGGCGTCAAGTGCTCGACGTCTTTGTCGGTCGAGTTCTTCAAGCTTCCGGCCTGTCTCAACAGCCATATTACCAGTAGATCCCACCAGCTCACTTCCTATGAGCCCAGCTCCGGCGCCCGCCCCGTTGAGTGACGTATCCAGTTGTTGGAAGGATTCAATCGTCTGTTTCAGCTTGCGGCCAAGTGTATTGAGATTCTGTGAGTGCTGTGCCTCAGCCCGACGAGCTGCAGCCGAAAGCTCATTCTCTCTGATCTCTAAGTCACCGGAAAGTTCGCCGAGTCTCCTCTGTGCATGCTCGAAGGTCCGGATGAGTGGTTTGGGGTCGAATAGTTGATTTCCGCCAGTAGGGCCCACCGTAGAGCGACGATTGGAAATACAGCTGTCGGAAAGTGATTCAATGAATTCCTTGACAATGAAGTCCCGACTTGAAAAGTCCTCGAGAGTGAAACTGGGACATTGAGGGAAGACAGACCGCGACGTGGGGTTTGAAGAGGTAATGGACGCACTGTCCGGCATGTTTTCAGCTAACGGCAATGCCTTGTCGGCATCGGGCCATTTAATGGTGCGATTTCTATAGTAATAATCTGCAGGTAAAGATGTATGTCCGCATGTAAAAGCGTGTATTGCTGATGAGTGTTGAAAGTGAATGTCTCTCTCTCTTTTGTCTGACTTAAGACCGCAAACGACATCGATACTCTACTACATGTGAAGTTCGGATGGTTTGTTTTACAACGACCCACCAGCGTAAATTACGGCATAACAAACCCCAGAACGTCAATCCTATTTTACCACATATACAGCACGTTAGCATGCTTCTTTTTTGGCTGGTGATTCCTAACAATATGAAGTATACCTGAGTAGAAATATAATTAATAGATTGGCCGCTGATGGCCTTTAAAAAGGATGACTTGAATGAATAGGTTGATCAGGGAGTGGGTCTAATCATGGGAAACTGAGAATTTGGCTGAAGGATGAGAAGACATAGAAAATTCAAAGTTATCGACTGTGTATTGTCATCTTTGCAGGGTCAAGCGATCAGTGTCGTCAACGGAGACTCACATGTACAGTATGCAAATATAGATTATCTTCACACATAATCAAAAGGTGTTTGTTGCCTTACTCAATGATATGCGTGTACAGTACAGTACAGTACATATGTGGTTACCAAGTATCGTACGCCGATTGTGTCCGTACATACTGTACAATGGTTGTATGTACTGTAAAGTATATATCAAACTCCTGAAAGAGAGACGATATATCTCTTTTCCTACTTTTTCTTCCCCCGCAAGTGAAAGGAAAGTAAATGGATGATGTATATCATGAAATTTTGATGGCTATTATTGCATCAATACAAAATTTTGACAATGCACTGTGTGTACAGTACGTACCTACATCTTGAAAGTGAACTTCCGGTATGATACCAGCAAAACATTGTAGAAGCTGTTCCATGACTGGCGGAGAGACTACAATTGATGCTGCTTGGTTTTATTGTTGCCTAGCGCTGTAGTTATAAAGTAAACCCAGTTATTCCTTTTTGGTGATGCTTTGTGAGACGGGGGAGCTTGTTCAGGAAGGGGCAACGCGCATATCAAGTTCTCTTTCATTATCAGCTTACACTGCCCACCTCATATTTTCGACGGACATTGATCGGTCCCATCAACCAACCAACCCCCTAGAAATCCTGTCTCAGCTTCTTCTCGAGCATCCGCACACAAAACCATGGTATCACAACGTGATAAAGAATTGTTCAGAGATGATGTTCGTGCCCGGGGAACGAAACTTAGTGTTGCTGATCGTGAGAACCTTTTGAAACCATATCTACCAGATCCCTCTGAGCTTCCATGTCGACCACAACGGCGCAGAAAAACATCGGCTCGGAAGACGCCCATCCGAACTTTCTTGAAGTCGCAATTACACCAGCTTACCTACACCATCATACACATTTTCTTTGGCATCGTTGTTCGCCTCATCCAGAGCTATCATGCCGTCGTGGATAGGATTTTTGCCATCGTCTACTATCACCACCGCACCCCAGAGCTAATCAGAAAAGATGTAAAAAGCTTGGATCGTCTTCCAGAACACTTAAGCGTTATATTGTCATTGCGGAAAGAAGAGGATGCTTTGACAGTTCTAATGGATGAAGTGGCAGAGCTTGCCGCATGGGGGGTGAGTGCCGGAATACCTGTGTTGAGTGTTTACGAGAAGAGTGGTATGCCTATCCTCCCTGAGTCGAAATAGTGAAGATATTATTCTTACTGGATTCTCCCGCCTAGGGGTCCTAAAATCATGCATTCCTACTTTACACCGCATCGTTACAAACAAGCTATCAGCGTATTATGGTTCTCCTTCGCAACAGCCAACATTGCGACTCTTTGCTCCTCATCACCCTATTTATCAACCACAAGATGGCAACTCAGCCGAGAAATCTAATACCGATTCCCTTACTATGCTTCTGTTGTCGGCTACTGATGGTCGGGAAACATTTGTGGATTTGACAAAGACGCTTGCGGAGATGTCCCAGAATGGCAAGTTATCGCCAGAAGATATCACAACGGAATTAGTCGATGCAGAAATCAGCGAGATAACGACACAGCCGTCTCAGCCAGCAATCCCAGCCTCCAAGGGGAACAAAGCAAGTTCTGATACGATCGTTTCCATAAAGCCAGAGCCAGATCTATTACTAGTGTTCAAACCGTCTTTGAAATTAGATGGCTACCCACCCTGGCATATTCGTCTCACTGAGATGTATTGCACAGGTGACCAGACCAACAGCAGGATAGAATATGGTGAGGCTGTTGAGTATCAGGGGTTTCTCAGGGGTTTATGGCATTATGCAGGGGCTCAAATGAGATTCGGTCGTTGAGGTCCGCACACGTGTTTACTTTTTTAACCCTTCTGTTATGTAATTATCTCTTGGTCATTGAGAAGCTGAAGTCGAGGCTTTATAGCCAGCAACTAGGAGTTCCTTACGGAGTAACTTTTTCAGAAAGGTGATACATTATAGATTCCCTAGTAATATACCATTTTTTGTGTGATGATGTATATGTGTCACAAGTTAGACTAAAGCCCCCATCGCTTGGCCGTGTGTATAGCAGTTTATAGTCTACCATTTCTGTCAACTTTTTGTGTAGCCCTGTTATGAAGTAGGCCACCTGCTTTCACCTGAAATGTTCCTCATTCAGTACTCACATTAATCACCTAGATTCCATGTGCATTTGTGCCGACCATTGGGAGAGGCCGACGTGCCTAGACGACCCTATTTTTCCTTGGATAGTTATGCTATACCATTTTGGCTTCCCATCATGAGGTTTATGGTAGTAAATCAATATAAGATAGCTAAAGCCTTTTTAAACTCTCTCCCAATGAACATCCACTCTTTATAGGATAACCCAGGTCTAAATTTAAGATATATATCTTAAATTTATGTACAGTAACATCTTAACGGTTCCGGCACACAGGAATGCCCAATTGAGCTCTGATGCTCGCCACCACGGGGAGCCTAGGGTATGTAGCCGGGACCAACTATATCTTCTATAGTCTATGTAAATACACCAAATTATTACCCTAGACTGATTTAGAAAGCCAAATAGCTTAGGAGCTAGTGCTGTATAGAATGGCATAGAAATATCTAATTCAATTGCTAAGTATAACTAGGGTAATATGATGTTCCCCCTTTTTAGTTCGTCTCGTTACAGCAGACTGTCCCATCTGTTTATTATTTGACGGCCATTCGGAACGCGGATGCTTTTTATCTCTGTAGGCCTGGAGAATTGGGCTGCCAGTGTGATAGATGATTCCGTACACAAACCAGACATCGGACCACCTCGAGCCCTGTTTCTGTCACCCCCTCCACCGAACAGTAAGAACATATTTTTCTCGACTGTCTGGTAAGTGACCTGCTATCGCCTGTTTCTTCTTGCAACTGCTCTGAAGCACCTCTAAACAAATGGCTCTCCCCGAGGAGATATGCCGAGCCGCTACAATGAGCCGCATCACACTGGCGGAGACAAATGTAGCAGCTACGCTCACCGCACAATCCACAGTCGGCGTATGCGTCAAGAACTTCTTTGGTGGTGGGCCTTCTGTGACATATGTGGCATGGTCGCAAACATGAAGCAGGCGCGCAGGTATTTCGTTGCGGAACAAGGGTTTTAGGAGATATTGGAGGGGAGGAAATATTAGAAGTCGCGGGGACGCAGACATTCGGCGATAACAGTTTCACCTGCGCTGTGCTGGACTCCGGCAATGGAGAGGGCCTATTCGGGAAGCACTCTCTAAGCTGCGGATGGATGTACGCCTGTTGAAGAACTCGTCGTTTTCGGGGGCAACATCGTTGGCGAGAGGAGGGCTCTCCAATATCACAGGATAGGTTTGGGTAGTCTAAACGAAACGTGCCATTCAATGTATGAAGAGTTGACGGAATGAGCTTTGTGCTGCAGAAGAGGATTTTAGGTTAGTTACTGTTGCAATATGTCGGCTCAAGTCAAGCTCTCCATGTTCGATTGTCGTTGTTTTCTTCTCTTTTCTTCCTTTCCTTTTGACTGTGCCTCATGTGCACCTGTCGTACTTACGCAGTAGGAATATCGACAGAATTCGGCTGGATCGGATCCCTCTTTCGCTTTCTCAACTGTGGACCGAAAATAGAAGTGTTACCCTGCTCAGACATGATGCCTGGCATCGTCGTATGGAAAGTGGTTGTCGGGAAGTACATGAATATAGTCATAGAAGGGAATACGTAGGGAACAGCAATTGAAGAAAACCCTCTACCGTGGCCCAAAAGATGGAGATGGAGGATATCAATCGAGATATCGATACCCTTATTCAGTTGAACAGGATAATAGAAAGACCTGAGCCATCTGTGGAGTGGGAAAACAGGAGATGGTGAAGGCTGTGATGATCCCGTAGTTGATATTTGGGTCAGGTACAGGTAAAAAGGTATGTACTGTACATAACACATACTCACATAGGACGGGTGGTGTTGTGGAACGTTTCAGTTCGGTAAAAACGCAGTAAGGTAACCAACCCCCTTTACAATCGTTTGAGTAAAACTTTGACAGCTATCCCCTACCTAGGCATGTATGTATGTAAGCTGAGTACTCCGTACTCCGATTGTAATCAAGTATATACTGTACTAGAGTTAATAATATATGAATATACCCCGTACATGGTACTTGTATCAATATGTACCTAATGGAGTGAGTTTATTTATGTACCTTCCTACAGTGTAAGTCCTTGTATACAACTAGTACCCGGTACGGGGCAGACTAGGCATCTTAAAACCAGATCTACGTAGGTGGGTAGTATACGATATAAATTCCAATGTAAAAGTATGGAGAAATTAGTACCAGGTACTGGTCCGTATGTAGCCGTAGTAGTACAGGTTTAATTGGGCTATTTGGTATTAATCAATAATTTACGGTGTACTAGTGACGAGTACTTAAGGTATAGTATCTACTACCTAGGTGGTACGCTACTTCGTACTACTAGTATCTATTTACGAAGTGCGTCAATGTGGGTCCTGGGTACTCTAGATAAGTTAGTTTAATGTACTACCTTGGAGCACGGAGTATTCAATGATTCCCCTAGATAAGTAGTTCCATCAGGAACCTTTCTCCTCCATCGATCCTCCCTTTCATCCCACGATACCTAAACAATGTGCACACTGTCGATCTCGAGTGCACTAAGCAAATGACACCCCCTCTCGACATCAGCTTTCACCACTAGGGAATAATTCCCGTGACACACAAGCTATTTTTTGAATTCGCATTTCCCTGTCTCTACGATTTGAGCGATATTTTTGAGGTCGTCAATTCGGACGGTACAGGTTCTTAATGATGGAGAATAATATTTCTGGGCTAGTTGAGAGATTGGGGAGTGACGAAGATGCAGTGCGGAAAATGGCAGTTTTCAAACTTCAGAGTAGCATTGGTGACCCTTCGTTTGCGGATATCTTTATTGCTGAAGGAGGCTTAACTCGACTACGCTCCTTAACCTTACATGCTAGTGGAAACACGCTGGCATATAGCCTCACAAGCCTTGCCAGATTGTTAGAAGTGGACAAAGGATGGGAGTTCGTCGATCAAGAAGTGGTTGAAAGAGTATGTCCTAGTATCGACGTGCATTTACTGGCCTTATGGCATGCCATATGCGTACTAACAAATGACCCTATCCCTTTTAGATTGTCGAACTTATAGTGACGCATCCCTTGGTCAACATTTTGCGTGGTGCAATGTCTATCCTGGTTTCAATTGTTTCACATCCTCATACAGGTGACCGCTTGTCGCAAAATGGGGCGTTCGGTTTTCGTGCTTTGAAACCGGCGATCGCTATCTATCCGCAGTTTTTGGAAATGCTTGTCAGTAGGCTTTCGTCAGCTGACCATGCACTTTGTGCCAATGCGCTCCAGCTTATCAACTCACTCATGCGTGATTCTATCACGAACGACTCCGAATTAGAATGGCCCAAGTTCATCCAAAGGCTCCAGGACCTTGGCGTGATTCGCGCAGTTTATGCCCTCATGCAAGGTAGCGCATTGCAGGATCTTGCACATCCTCTGATTGAGTTTCAATCTCTAACCAAGGTCCTTCTGAGAAAATGGAAAGATATTGCGCTGGATCTAGAAAAGCCAGAGCATAGAAGAGCACTCAAAGGGATACACTTGGCCAGTAACAGTGAACGAAATCTCGAAAATGGGGTTGAGAATGATAATGAGGCACGGCGTTCAAAAAGACACAATCCGGAGAAATGGCGCCGGCTGGGATTCGAATCGGAGAGTCCAACCATGCAATTCGAAAGCATGGGCTACCTAGGAATGATGGATGTGGCAGATTATATCCGAAACCACCAAGATGAATTCCAGAAATTGCTGTTAGAACAGTCAACCAAGCCGACAAAACAGCGGTGTCCTATTGCCCGTGCCTCTTTGTCTGTCACGCAAATTTTATACGAACATTTTGAAGTTGATAAATCGGAGATGGAGGATGCCAAAAGTTACTTGATATTGGAGTCTCGCGCTAACTTAGACAAACTATTCAAGCCTCTACTGTTACATTGGACCCGCCTACACGTTGCAGGTTTACATGCCTTTTTCCGTTTGTGGAAGGTCACAGGCGCAGAGGTGGAAGACTATGAGAAAATCGTGGAGCTTGTTCGCATCCTCGTCGAATCGGTTGTTGGAGGAGCGCCACGAACAAAGGATGTACATGATGTGGAGGACGAACTAGCAGATTTCGAATATACTCGGCTTCGCGAACTACAAATGGAGCTTCTGGAGCTTACATACGAAGACGTTTGGGGACAGCATTTGCGACAAGTGCGCGAAGAATTACACCATGAAGCCCTACAGTTCGTCAAGGAACAGAGAATCAGGTGCCTACTGCAAGGCGCTTGGTTTCCTAATGAAAACAGTCCTAAGGTAGACATGGCGGCTCCAGGAGATATCGGTTGGAAATTTGTGCAGCTCTCACATAACCGAAGATTCCTACATTTTGGATATTTTGATGGCGTTAGAAAAGAATACCCAGAGCTTGACGTACTTCCAGAGAAGCGTAAGGACACTTCTTCCCTTAGACCCCTCACCCCCGCAGTTGTTTACTAACCGTCTATTATCCTGCCAGTCGATCTTTCAACTGTGTCCTCAGTAGTATCCAACGTCTCAGCAACATCTGATGGCTCCTCGTCTTCGACAGTAAAGAGTATGATACATCATACTTCTACCACCAAGATTACTATTTATGGTTATGCCCAGTCGGGCCCATCTGCGGAGAATTATGGGAAGAATAACGGCCATACACGTTCCACCAGTAAAGCGACTCATAGGGAAGCAGTTTTATTGAGCCTGCGGCCCCAATCGCCAAGCATCGCATCAGAGTGGCTTGACGGTTTGCTTATGCTTCTAAATCAACAACCCATCACAGCGGAGACAAGCAAATTGATAAAGTTAGTGAGCGACTACGGACTTAAAATCCGGTTACTAAATGTTAGGTTTGATGATGGGGTATTTACTTGTGAACCTCCAAATGTGCCGTCACGAGAGGGTCTGGACGATGATTATTATTATGATGTGTTTGGGGGGGCTTAGGATACATCTCATGGTAGTCTTGCAGCATACCACTATTGTAAAATCTAGCCTAATAGGATATTTAACCAGATTGTTGGGTGCTTGACAGGCCTATTATAGACTAGCTCAATTTTCGGTGCTAATTAATATACCCTTCTGTCTTCTCCGTTCTCCTTCTCTCTATCTCTCTCTCTATCTGATGCCTTCTATTTAATACTTTGAGACTGATCATATATTCCGTAGTCTAGTGGCTGTATGTAGGTTAGGTACAACTGCCAGCGACTTATCCTTCAAATGTGATAGCCTAGGTTCATCTACCATTTAGTTTAGTCGTTGACGATTGTCCGTCTATATTTCAATTGAGCAGATATGAAGTTCCTTATAAGAAGAGCTTTTGTCCCAATTTTTCGTCTGTTTTGCTTGTTCACCCAATAAGCCATTGATAGGTATAGTAATCAACTACAACCAATTGGTCACATGGTTGTACATACATACATACTCTGTATGTATCCATGATTGGTACTGTACCTTCCGTTTAGGTATGGATGTACGGTCTGGTAGTATATGTACTTTCCCGTCAGCCCACCTAGTACCGAGCCGATCTAACCTGTATATAGATATACAATGATATTCCAGCTAATATTTTTTGAAGATCATTCTCGAAGAACGACTATTTTGCAGCTTTTACAAATACTGAGAACTAGTTCTCCGTAGTAAAGATTTTAATAGTTTAACGTAATCGGTAAGCGAGTTGCCCACCCCTGTTTGCTATGTAAAATAACTCTTCAATATTTCAACAACTAGAACTTGTAGAGATCTAATATTCAGATATAATATAGATATATACTCTTTAAAACTGTAGTTCCTATTGTTAATCTCGATTCAGGGAACCGTAGGTAGTAGGGGAATAGCGTGCTACAGCGCCGCAGATAGTAGGAACAGAGGACTAGGTTTCCATTGAATGATGTACATGATGCACTACCATATACAGAGGTTGATACTGGTTCCTAAAGCGACTGAGGTGCGCTGAGGATTTTACCGCAGCGGGTACGTGCTACTATATCAACCGCCGGGCGTCATAAGGTGTGCCTAACACCTACTTACTGTATTATTTTTAGCAATTATTAAAGTATAAATACCAGAATATCGCAAGTGCAAAGAAAAAACAGCTGTAATTTGTGTTATTGTTACAGACCCTTGTCTAGCGCACCTTTATCGAAGGCGGACGCGCGAGGCAGAATCGATAGGATGACGGTGACCAAAGACACCCGAAGGAATACTCATGATGTTATTTACTTGTAAAGGACAAATAGGCTGAAAACAGCCTAACAAGTACCCACGTGACTTTATAGTAAGAAGGTAGTGGTTTGCTGGTAATAACTACACTACCACCAGGCATACCAAAGGACTACCACGGCAACGGTGAAGCAGGATATATAAGGACACTCATTCATGTACTTAGTTCAGTTCTTCGCGATCAATCAACACTGCTACTACAGAGTTACCTTTAGTATCAATTGGCCAGCATCAACTCGTTCCTGCTCTTCTAATTGAGTATACGTACCTGATAGTCTTGGCCTTTTGGACTTGTGCTATTCACGGATTAATTATCGCACCATCGTTCGGACCTCCTTAGGTCACCTCACAGCACTTCGTTTTTGAGTCTCGGTGGATTCTGACACAGGTTTAACCCCCGCTATGCAAGACAGCTAACTGGTCGGCAGAGCTCTGGATACCCAGGCGTAACAGGTATAGCATGAAGCGATATCTATAGTTCGATGAAACAGGGTTTGCATTGGGTCTAATAGCTGCTGCTAAGGTGGTTACTAGATCTGTTGTGTCAGGCAAACCATTTTTATTGCAGCAAGGGAATCGAGAATGGGTTATTTCCATAGACGGTATTAGTTCTACTAGATGGGTTCTGCCTCCTTATATTATCTTTAAAGACAAGGTGTATATGGAGGCCTGGTTTAAGAATCAAGAGATCCCACCTGATTGGAGGGTTGAAATCAACCCTAATGGCTGGACGAGCAGTGAAATCGGTCTACGCTGGCTACAGAATCATTTTATACCAGCTACTACAGGCCGGTCTATGGGAAAATATCGGTTACTTATTCTAGATGGCCATGACAGTCATCTAACGCCTCAATTTAATCAAACTTGCTCAGAGAATGTATCATACCAATCTGCATGCCTACTCATGCCTCCCATAAGCTTCAACCACTTGATGTTGCTTGTTTTGCGATGGGACCGTGATTGAATCCCAAAGCTCGCTGTGGATTTTATCATATGGATAAAGTTGATTTTCTGGAAGCTTATATTGAGGCCCATATGTGATTTTAGAGTAACTGGCCTAGTTCCTCTAAATCTTGAGCGGTTCTTTCTACGCTGACAGTTCAACTGATACATCTAACCCCCCCCCCTCCGGAGGGTTAGTAGGCCAAGCAGTCAGGGCAGTTCAGCGCCTGGAACACGTCATACAGTCAAGCAGCTGAAAAAATAAGAATCAACACTGAAAAAGATACTGAGAAATCGGGCCCGAAGCCTTGGTTCGCCTGTGAAAAGCAGCCTAAATCAACTGATTAAAGGTGCTGAACGAGGTCTACAAATTGTGACGATATTAAAGCGTCAAATTGAGTAATATCAGGCTGCACATGAAAAGCTGATTAAAAAGCGGAAGCGCTCTACTAAGCAGATCACTTTTGAAGCAGGCATATCAGTATCTGAAGCTCGAATCCTTATAGAGCGCAGAAATCAGGCAAATGAGGCTATACAGGCAGATAGGGCTCCATCTACTGGATCAGGACGTGATCGCGCACCCCTAAATACTCTGGCTGTGGAATACAGGGTCATAAACTCACACACTGCACGCATCGATAGAATCTCCATAGAAATGTAATTTGATGATATTTTGGTTGATTTCATTTCCAATATGGCGGCCAAGTGGCCGCTCGCTTACCGATTACGTTAACTTAGTTATATAACTAACCTAATATTGTATTGCAAAGGAGCTCAGTATCAGCTCACCACACTAAAATCTAAGGCCACTTCGTGTGGGACTGACCCCGCTAAAAGTAAATAAAATATAATACCAATATAACATATATATTATTACAGGTAACATTTATTGTAGAGAACGAACTAGTCTATCTCATATATTGGATTTATATTTAAAAGGGAGAAAGTAATTTTATATATAAATATTTTGATTTAGTAGAATCTCAATTATATATAATTTATATTTAATTTTTATACACTAAATTTATGAAACTCAGTTCTTATACTCTAAAATAACAAGTATTATATTTTGAAGGGGCTCAGTATACTATATAAATTACACACAAAATATATAGGCGACATACCTTCTAGGTGCGCTGCGCTGACCTGTAGTGAACATACCTGAGTATGTAATACCAAGTAGTACCGATAGCTGTTCCTTGAAACCAATCCTAGGTAACGCACCCTGCTCTTTACCTTCCATCGAAAAGCTCAACTAATGTCATTCCCAAGAGCTTCCATACAATGACTTCTACTCATGTCAATCTCTCCCCATAATGACTGATCGCCCCTACAAACGTCAGCGGAAATTAACCCCCTATTCGTCAGCTCAGAACGCTGAATCTGAGACAAAGAATAACCAGACAGGTCTTCATCACGCATCTTCCAGAGGTGACAGAACTGATCCTGTGACTCCTTCGATTTGCCCTCCTCAAGTTGAAGCGAAATCCAATTCGCCGGGTTCCAATCGAGCTGACTCCCTCTACAATGGGACACGCACGAACGCAGCCGAACAAAGATGGCCCGCACGGAAGTTCGAGACAACATATCTCTCACAAGAAAAAATAGAAAAATTGAACGACAGTGATAATGACATAATAGATGATGCCTATGATTCTTACGATGAGTTATTCACTCAACACTTCGTGGATGAAGAGTTTGTAGCACAGGACGTGCCCAAAACTCAAACGCCTTGTCGAGAACAGTCACCCACGCAAAGTACAAATGGTGCGTGGAAACATACCAATTCTCGCAAACGCTTTGTCGTCTCCGATGACAAATGTAAAAACCTATCGTCAATTATTCATCAGGACTGCATATTGCCATGGGCCCAGCAGTACCCCCCTACAACCTTGGACGAGTTGGCGGTCCATAAAAGGAAGGTTTTAGACGTGCAAAATTGGTTTCGTGACGCTTTTGCGGGGAATCAAGAGCGTGTAAGTTTATAATTTCTTCTGCCATTATCTTCACTTCCATATCGACTCAAAGTTATTTCAGCTACTATATTGGAGCTTGTGTCTTGACAATAACAGAGACTCCTCGTCCTTCGAGGCCCTGCGGGAAGCGGCAAAACGACCACAGTAAACTTATTGTCCCAAACGCTAGGGTTTGATATACTCGAGTGGAAGAATCCTCCAGTTTCAGAATTCGCTACGAAAGGATATGTATCTGTTGCTGTTCAGTTTGAGGAGTTCCTTGACCGTGGGAATAAATTTAGAAAGCTTGATTTGGACGGTGTTGCTGACTGTCCGCATGGTGGGCAAGCCTCCAACAGTCGCTATACTCAGCAGCGTATCATCTTGATTGAAGAGTTCCCAACTCTTCTGAACCGAAGCTCTCCTAGTTTGGCTGCATTCAGATTATCCTTACAGCGATATCTTGCTAATGGACCCCCACTGCACTCTAACGGACTTCATCGGAATAAAGTCAAAGTTCAAACTAGCTACCCTATTGTGATAATTGTATCGGAGACCCATCTCACTTCGGGATCTTCTTCTGAAAGTTTAACAGTTCACCGACTACTGGGGCCAGGGCTTTTCAATCATCCCAGCACAGCCATCATTGAGTTTAACAGCATTGCCCCAACATTTATATATAAAGCTTTGAAATTGATTCTAGACAAAGAGTCCCGTCATTCCAAGCGTGACAAGAACCCAGGCCCTGCTATACTGCAGAGCATATCCCGATCAGGAGACATTCGAAGTGCAGTAGCCTCCCTGGAATTTCTCTGTCTTGGCGTGGAGGAGCGGGGGGTCACTGCTACGAGAACCAAGACGAAACAGCCTCGCCATAATGTAAACCTTACTCTCATGGAGAAGGAGACGCTGAAGCTAGTCACTCAGAGAGAAGCTACTCTAGGAATATTTCATGCTGTCGGGAAGATCGTATACAACAAACGAGACGATGCGAATTTTGCAGCCGAAGACTTTAGATTGCCGTCACCACCAGACCATATGTGGCATCATGACCGACCAAGGGTCTCGCAAGTTCCTGTTAATGAGCTTGTGGAGGAGACAGGAACTGATACGCAAACTTTTATTCGTGCCCTGCATGAGAATTACGTACCATCTTGCGATGGTTCGTCGTTTGTGGATTGTGTCGACGCATGCATAGGCGCTCTTTCAGACAGCGATGTCTTACATATCGACTATAGAAGGATTTACGGGGCCCGTACGAATACCAGCGCCAGTGTCGATATACTGCGACAGGAAGATATAAGTTATCAAGTTGCTGCTCGTGGTTTACTTTTTTCTCTTCCTCACCCAGTGAAAAGGCGTATAGCATCATCAAGCTGTGCAGGTCGACCGAACGATGCTCATAAGATGTTCTTTCCGAGCGGGTTGCGGCTGATGCGAGAAGAGGAGGTAATCGGAGGGCTCGTGAATATATGGATAACAAAGTTGCTAAATCCACTCGGTGGGATGTTGTCAGGCTTAGGTCTTGAAATGACCCCATCATCAAGAAAATGCCGCCCAGAGCGAGATGATCATGGCCATGACCAAGCGGGAATCGTGACGATGATACCCCGTGAAGATTTGTTGCTCTACCAGCTGCCATACATGGCGAAGATTCATCGCGGCGAGGTCGAAATCAGCCAGCTGCGAAGGATTACCTCTTTCAATGAAACTGGATACGCAAGCGATTACCTTGGAGATGACGTTCATGACTCTGACGAAAGCCACTTAGGCTCTACTTCTGCTGAGAACTCTCGAATACCACAGTTAGGAGACGTCAAATATCACAACAAAAGCAACGCTTTTGGGCCCCGGCTGCCACCTAGTTATGAGCAAGAGGAGACGCTTGTTCTGAGCGACGACGATATTGTGGATGATTTTTAATATTTCTTATTGCAGCTGTTTGCCTGCTCTAATTTGGGATCCCATCAAGGCTCTCGGTAGTTTATTCTGTGATAGATATTGTGCTGGTGGAAGAAATAAAAAAGATACAGACAAATAAGAAGAATAAGATAGAAGTACTATATATATATATAGAGAAGGTTTACCTGTAGTTAGTTCGGTTGTGGCTGATAGTGACTAATCAATATCGGATAGTTAGTGTTAACTAATTAATACTTGGTAATACTCCTTAAAGTAGCTCTGAATGTGTTCTATACAACCACAAGCACTTGTCAATTTTACTATAAGTCTATGTTGCATAGATCCGCCTTTCCCGTCCTCTTCCTGTATCACTCCACTTGCCTTTCTATGGCGTTCACATAATCTTTGATCGATAAAAGATGTCCAATCGAAATGCCAGAACCTTAGTTAAGAGGAGCAACGACAACAAAAATACATCGCCATGTGTGAAGGTGGAAGGGGGTTTACGCAAGGCTAATGCAAACCTTGTTGGACCCAATGCACACAAGGGCTCATATGCAAGCTTAGGTAGCATAACGACTGCAGCGACTTATGCTACCCTTCCTGGCTGGACAACTATAGCCTTGATGGTCTCTTTGATTTTTGGCGGTTGTTGTGCCAATGTAGGTGGGTGGTAAACCTCAAGATGCTTCTCCCTCTAACATATTGAGACGCAGGTGTTTGCTCTTGAAGCCATCATCAAGTAAGTCGGATATGCACAAGAAGTAGAAAACGAAACAGTGGCTGATCTCGTGGTATAGGGAGCAACCAAGCTCAGGTAATCATTGCCCCTTTTCCTTTAAATCATGGCATTTGTCTGATATCTGCGCTGGAAGGACCTCTCATAACATTTGCACAATTTATCCTCACTGCATTTTTCACATCTCCAAGCTTCTTGTCCCTGTCGGCGGGCCCTCGGTCGCTGTTTCTCAGCCGACGTGTGATTCCCTTGAGATCATGGGTAGTGTACACAGCCTTCTTTGTGACTGTCAACCTTCTAAACAATTGGGCCTTTGCTTACAAAATTTCTGTCCCATTACATATTATTCTAAGATCCGGGGGCCCCGTGGCGTCCATGGTCATTGGATATGTATTTAATGCTAAGAAATACTCACATGGCCAAATTCTCGCAGTAGCTATGCTCACTATAGGCGTTATTGCTGCAGCATTAGCTGATGCTCATACGAAGGGTCAACCAATGAGCATTGGTGATCAACGAAACGATTCCACCACGGCTAACACATTGATCGGTTTCAGTATTCTTGCCCTAGCAATGGTCCTCTCAGCTTTCCAAGGGATCTACGCGGACCGACTCTACGAGTCTTATGGCAGAAACCACTGGAAGGAGGCCCTTTTTTATTCGCACACACTCTCATTGCCGCTCTTCATACCAACTTACCCACACCTTTTGGCTCAATGGCGGACATTGCTGTCATCGCCCTCCTTGCTTTCTGGAATTTATGCTATCGCCAAGAGAAATGATTCCATCTTGAGCTCCCCAGTGCCGTTTGGCACTGAACTAGCTGCTCCTTCAAAGACATCGTTCGTGGATTCAGTTCCCATGTCAATCATCAGCACCACCACGCACCTCCTGGCAGAGCTCGAACACTCCAAGCCTATTCGGCTTATTTTAACCTGTATCCCAACGCAGGTATTCTATCTTTTAATGAATGCCTTCACGCAGTATCTGTGTATCCGTGGGGTCCATCTGCTTTCTGCGAAATCATCCTCGCTGACGGTCACCATTGTGCTGAACGTTCGAAAGCTCGTCTCATTATTGCTGTCTATCTATCTGTTTGGAAACAATCTTGCACCAGGTGTGCTTGTCGGGGCCATATTCGTTTTCGTGGGGGGTGCTTTGTATGGTTTTGAAGGCGCACGCTTGAGGAAGATATCTATCAAGAAAGACTGACCTAGTTGAATGGCATTGATATCTTAGGGGGCTGGACTTCGCGCTTTCAGCTTCTTTTCTTTCTTACTCTCAGAAGATGTTCTAGGTCCTTATCCTCTCCCCCTCCCCCCCAAGATTGATTATTTGTACTTGCATTGATAGACATCTGTCCGTGGCTGCAACTACTATTTGTCCCTGCTCTACGGCTAACTCAATACAGACACTACCGGCGTTAAGTAGAGCAAGCAGCAAATGGTTTCTGTTTATAGTGAAATGAACAAGTGTAAATGCTTCCATCTGCAATCGTTCCCTCCACTCAGGAGATGAGCCCAGTGCCACTATTCAGATACAAAATTTAATATTCTAGTAGAAGCTCTAGCATGTAGTACAATGATATACAATTACATCTATGACCATTGGAGTGCTTTGGCATATTGTCCTCTACTATACAAAATCACAGGTGAATATCTAGTCCCCACCTGATATGCATTTTGTATAGACTATAGGACTTCACCTACAATTTTAGCGGCCTCCTTGTAGGTCTCTAGAAGCCTTTCGCACTTCTCCCTCTCCGCCTTGATACCATCATCTTCGTAAAGAAGCTCCCCAAAAAGCTCTTCCTTATAAAGTTCGCTGACCAGCCTATTTTGCACGACATCTTTACTATGATTAACAAGAAGATGCATGATGGCTTTGGGAACCTGGTCCGCAATTGTCTCCCTAACAATATTGAAGTAGGAGGATATCAAGCGGCGAATCAATTCCGTCTCCAACAGCTCACGATCAGAGAGGGTTGGTTCGGTACTTTCCTATACATTGAATGAGCTTCTAATATGACCAAAAGAGAACCAAAAGAATGATAACTTACAGCACCATTAAGCTCACCACTATAATCAGGAACCGCTGCATAGTCATCAGGTAGCACCACAGGAGAACGTACTTCTGTCCGCCGGATGCTTTGAGTAGTACCGATCTCGTTGCTGTGACTAGAAGGTCTAAGGTGGCTCGAAGACTGGGGAATTGGCGGAGACGACTGTGCGCCGTCCTTGCCAAAGAAGTAGTTTAAAAAGGAGTCACGAGTGGTATTTGAAGCCCCAAACATAGCATGTGGGCTTGAATGAGCCCCGTTCAAAGTTGCCGTAATACCGCTCTCTTGAGTCTTGCCAATATGCGGAGACATGCTTCTAGTGCCTTTTGCGGATTGACTTCGGATAGGAAGGCTCTGAGCCTTTTGCTCCGACATTTGTTCCTCTTCGTCCTCAGGAGAAACAGATGCATTGCCGTTTATGCCTCCAAGTTCTTTCTGTCGTCGCTTCTCACGCTTCCGTCTATCCTCTGCTAATGCCGACTTTCTTTCTTGCTCTTGTTTAGTCTGAATGATGGAAGACATCGCTGCTGCTGCTCCAAGGAAGTTTGGATGATTTGTATTTATATAGGCTCTTTGTATGGAGATCAGCGACTCCACATATGCTGAACAAGGCCCTAAACGCTCACGGAGGAGGTCGGACACTACTTCGATAAGTTTTGCCTGCAAACGTGGGAAGCGTAAAAGTTCTTGCGATCCGCATGTATGGCAAATCTTTATAAGCTCCTCATACACGAGCTCTACACACCTCTGGCTAGGCGCTTCCAACATTTTTATCTGAGGTTTCACGAGTAAATCGAAAGCAAGCTCAGGGACAAACAGGCTAGGGCGAGGGCCGGTTGAATTTCGAATTGCCGTCCTAATATCTGACACCGTCAAGTTGTGTGTGGGGTCAATTGTCTCAAGAGAGTTGCCAAAGACTGAATTGTAAATATAATAGATTCTGGCTCCTCCACAAAGCTCCTTGGTAGATATTTCGGATGAGGTTCCGTCGATCGAGGAAATGAAAGAGGAGGCAAAACGTGTCATTAGTTGCAGGATCAATGAGCCGCGATGTTCCTTGCCGCTGAACTGTTTGTTGCCATAGCTAGCAAGCTCTTGTTGTGTCTGGCCCATAAGGGTATTCAGACGGGCTTTGATATCAGGTAGTCGATCTCGAATGTGAGACATCAAAGTTGTATTCAGCGTTTTTGCCAGAAACTGCGTCCCGCAACGATTCGCCATGTTACGGTAGGCGGGATGATGCCGAAAGAAATCTACTTCGGCCTGTAGCGCGTCAGCCAAAGATTTACCCGACTGAATGTCTTGTTGAGATCTGTTCACAACGCCAATAAACCCCAGCTTCAGTGGATAAACACGCCCCGAAAGAATGTCCATAGCATTCGTGCCGTGATCCATGAGGTCTAACTTTGTAAGAACGCCAATTGTCCTCCGGCCCATAGGATCTACTTGGCGAGCAAGTTTTAGGGCTTCAGAGTTCACCAAGTCAACATTTGCCGGAGATACTGCCAGCACAAGGCTGTTGGGCTTTGCTATGTATTCAAGGATCAGCGCTCGGGTCTGTTTCTCGATGTCAGATGGTTGGTCGCCAATAGGCACTTTGGTTAACCCTGGCAAGTCAACCATCGTGAGGTTGAGAACGTGAGGCGAAAATATTTTGAGATTAATGGGTTGCCTATTGATTCCCTTATTGCTTCCGGCTATCCTCGCAGTCTCCGCTCCGATCTCCTGTTTTACCAGGGCAAAGTCATCGAATTTCCGACCTGGAAGGTGGTGAAATTCCGCCCATTCATGCTGCCCTGCTATACTGGCAGCAGTGTGGGGTACGTGAACCTCATCGCTTTCAGGTTTGTCATGTCGTTCACTTGGAATATTAATAAGTTGCAGTATCAAAGGGCGTCTCGTAACTATGCCGCTTCCTCTTGGCAAGAAATCTCTACCGACAATATTTTCGAGTACGGACGACTTTCCAGATGACTGAGAGCCTACCACAACCTTTAAAAGAGAGAAAAGTTTAGTACCAATCAACAAAGCAAAAACCACGTAGAACGGAGCTTACAATTTGCGGTAAGTCAAGAGAATCATTCCCAATGGTATTGAAAACAAGGTCCTGCAACTTGTTGACCGTTACAAGCAGGTCTTCACTAAGTGACGCCATTTTTGCACCTATTTTTCTCTTTTTCGTCTTGTTTCGATGTCCTCTCTTGGTACTTTGCTTCCAGTTCTTTCTGGAACAAAACCCCCCTGATTGGATATACCTTCCTAAGGTCGTCAGACACGCTGCACGTTGAACGCACCTTCAAACTTGCCAACCAAGACCGACAAGCGAGAACGAGATTTGCTAGCCTTAGCCACGAGAGCCTGCGGCAAATACTGTCTCCAGTTTTGTTGTTGATAGCTGGTTATAAGATACGCCACAGAGTGGAGCTTACCTTTTCTCCTATGCTTTTCCGGGCAGGATACGAGTTACAAGATATTATTGAAATCACGTGATTTTGCATCACTTCCTAAATTGGCTCTATAGTACCACATCACGTGGAACTAGGTACGAAACACAACCTACAAGTACCAAGACTCTCTAGAACTAGTTAGAATAAGCACCTCTTGTGACTCGAGTATTTCGCATTCACGTTACACACTTTTAGAGCAGTAGTCGTAATAACTTGAAAACGAATGTTCCATATACTGTTTCAAGGACCAGAGACCTCTGCGATCTGCTTAAGGGAACACTAGGGAAAAATTGGTTTCCCCTCTTCAAAGACACTTGCATATGGGTACAGATATGAACCGGACAAACTATGTTCAGCAAAAGGATACTCGGGATCCGGCAAATTTAAACGAGACGGCAACGCAGATGCAGAACGCAGCTGACTGTTGACATCACGTAGAGTGAAACCCTTGAAAGCCGTAGGTTATACCACTTTAGGTCACTTTTCGAGCTGCACATAATTGGCTGGGAAAAGCCCTTCTTTATTATGATATTTGCCAAACCACCAGTCGTCATCCGGGAACTCCTATATGAGATCGGTAGTTAACTATGGGTTTGTTCCCTCACCAAAAGCTTCCTGAAATACATGAAAAGGGTAAATGCGACTTACAATATGGGTGATCTCAGCACCTTCTGGAAAGCTGAGTTCATTGTCTTCCGCGGCTTCATAGTCGTACAGAGCTATAGCAATGGGTCCATTGGCTGAGCTCGAAGCCAGAGGCGCCATTGACTCAACGCGAGGTTGTTGAATATCTGCTTCAGACTCCCCAACATGCAAGTCTGATGAGATAGAGTTTTGTGGTTTGTCGTCCAGTAGCTCAACGTAATTACTCGGGAAGAGACCCCTTTCACCACGAGTGTTTGAACCCAACCACCAGTCCTTGTCAACCATTTCAATCCCCGTCACATATTCACCTTCCCTGAGCTCGATTTCGTTGTCTTCCGCCTTTTCATAGTCGTACTGCACAAGGGCTTGGATATTGTTAGCTTGAGGTTGGTTCCTAACTGTAGCCTCAGCTGTTGCCCGGGCTACATCATGCCTGTCGTCAGCAAGGTCTGGCTCTTGTGGTATGGACTGGTGAAGGCTTTCGGTGGGTAACACAGGGGGCGGTCGGTTTTGCTCATCATGAACATCTGTAACTCCACGCCCAACGGGTATAGCGACACGGATAGGTGATGGTTCTCGTACTGGAGGTGGGGTTGGTGGAGTTGGGGACCGAGGTTGTTCCGGAGGGCTCGGGGCCAATTGGTGAGTTTCAGTCTCCTGGATGATTTCCGGTTCTGTAGGTCCTGCTGGTAAGCCAGGCAGAGGTACGGAACGCCCTGTATCCGGCCTGTCGTCAGACCTGTCCTTAGGGGAAGCGGAACTCTGAAGTGAGACGTCCGCGAACTGATCCCGAAGAGCACTAACACTCTGTTGAGGTAGCCCGGGCTCCGTTTCCGTGGTGCCATTTGCAGCGGCATCCGTGGCCTGGTGGGAATTGTTACTGCTAAGAGACTTTCCGGTGAGCGTAGTCTGAACAGGGGCCCATGTTTTGCCGTTGTAAGAGCTCTTCCACTCCCCTTTGCCGCTGTGCTGGGTTTGAAGGGGAGACTCCTCGATAGCTGGTGACGGTAGAACAGACGTGGTAGCTTGTCCCCGTTCTTTAGCTTTCTTCTCGGCCCAAAGTTGTGAAGGAGTCTTTCCTCCCTCGTCTGCAAAAGTTCTGCTTGCACTACCGATAGCCGTAGTAGCTGAAGTTGGGTTTTGGATGGATCCACTGGGTAGAGGAGGCTTGGTTCCAGCAAACGACTGGTTCGCTCCAAACCTATTTGAGACCTTTGGCTTCGGTAGGCTTGTCAAGCGCTCCGACTGGACAGGCAATGTGGGATTTTTAGGCGACTCCGCTTGCGCTAAGGCCGTCTGTGTGTCATTCGGTATTGTAGATTTGCCATCGCCAGCGATAGACTCACTAGGCACTTGTGCCCTGGCCCGAATAGCAGCAATATCGACTTTGCCAATTGGCTTGTATGCTCCCTTGATTGGCTCTGGTCGGTCATCCTTAAATTCTCCTGCCTCACGTGCCTGTCTCCTTATGGCAGCAATGTCCACTTTGCCTACCGGTTGATAGCCGCCCCTAACAATTCCACTGCGGTCTTCAGTGGCATGTTGACCCTGGACGCTGGTTGCCGGTTGGGTTCCCGACCTAAGTTCTTGTATATTTACCTTGGTCGGTTGGTAGGCCGGGCGTACCCTTTCCAGTTCTGTCCGAGTGACCGGCGGAGCATCTGGGCCCCAGCCATCGTTGTCAGTATCCCCCTTGGAGTATTCCCGTGTAGAGTTAGCTGTCATTGTACTTGAGCCGACGCCGCCGGTTCGCAGCGGAGTAAAAACGGGCTTAGAGGAAACCGGGGGCTTAGGTGTAGGAGCAACTGGCTGTCCGGCTCCCGCGGAATATTTAGCACCAGAAGCATCCCCAACTTTCTGTATAATGCCCTCGGCAGTCAGGTCCCCATCTGCACGCGCGGTTATTTGAACATGATAGCCCTGGTAGTGACAAGGTCAGTAGAGTTTGTGATAAGATAGAATGTCCAGATTGAGACAAGGCTAAAGAACCACTAACATGCAACAATTTTGAGACCGCAGACAAGTGACTAGTAAAGTAGCCCTTCGTCCGTTCGGGGACGCCCTCTCCGCACCAGGCAATAAGCACACTCTTGGGGAGTCCAGTATTTGGGTCAGTGACCTTCACAAAGGCGAATTGTACCTTCCCCTCGGAGAATTCGTCGATAAGATCGGCCAAATCACCATCTAAGATAAATCTAGTCAGTCAGTGTATCCCTTAGTATCCGGTATTTGACTGACCTCCGGTACTTTGGACCTTTAAAACACTCTCCTTATTGCCCACGTCTTGCTGGAAAGCACTAACAAGTGGTGCGGAAACCGAAAACACTGCCCATTGCCCGTAAGTAGGAGATGCAGAGCTTGTCGAGGGGGAAGAGTTGACAACAGCTTGGTAGCTCTTTAATATTGAGGGGCCATTGGATGAGAGGTTCAGGGATGCCATATTCGAAGAGCCTTCGCCAAAACACAATGATGGACACAGACTGTAGTTTCCAGCGTGAATAGTTGTCGATAAATTGCAGGCTGTACGCAAGAGCTGCATGAATTAGTCTTGGCTTCGTGCTATAAACAGCAGGGGTAAAGGCATACTTCGACCAAACGGAGAAGAGTCTACCGTGTCACTCTCTTCTGGTACAACGTAGGGTAGGAGATGGAAGGTAAGGACGAAAGTAGTAAAGAAGACCCTTTCGCGTTTTGATTGGCGATTATACTCGTATATATTCCGCAGTATGTAGGGTAATGTAGAGGTAAGTGATAAGTGGACCTAATTATAGGGTGATTGATCTCTGCCTAATGGTAGCTGGGGTGGGTGGTTCAGTTTGTGTGACGTACTCCGTAACTTTGCCCCATACAAGCACACCACTATCTACTATGTATAGTATGTACTGGACTCAGCCACATGTACTACCTAGTACTGTATGGTGGTAAGTGCTGTACTAGATAGATACTGTACCGTACCTAGTGCTCGGTAAAATACATGCATGCCAAGACAGGTTTACTACTATATAGTAGTAGTGCCTTTACATGAACTTGGTAATCGAAATAGAACATTGAAGCTAACAGACACATAAAAAGACAGTCTAGACTCACTTTTTTATGGTATTTTGTCAAGTAAGCAAGGTTATTGATACATACAACACTTGGTTTATTGAGCACTTACCTTCATCCTGCATTTTACAGAGGTGTTTGATTATCTTTGCTTCCCTTCTTTGTGTTTTTTCCCCCTTTCTTTCCCTTGTGTCCCAAAAGAAAATTGAAAATTGAAAATTCAAAATTTTAGGGGACGACTTGCCAGAATCCTAGATGCTCAAGCGTAATAGAACACCGATTTTATATCGTATTTTTAAATCTTCCCTTTTTTTTTCTTTTTCTTTTCTTTTTTTCCCTGAAAGAAGCCTTGCAAGATACACATACGCATATACAGTAAATGCAAGGGATTGACTAGTAGAGTTTTGCGGTGAGTATTTTGGGCGGACAGACAACCGACTGATTAAATCATTCCAACAGCAACAACATCTGCAAAAGTGCGACAGTGACTAGATAATGGCTTCATTACAGCCAAGTCATACGCTTAGGCTTGATGCCGATGCCAACGCAGCTGAAATATCTTCGGAAGACGAGGTTTCCCTGCATCCTCAAAGTGGAAATCCGCAAGCACCTGTCATGTCTCTAGATGACGCCAAAGGACATCACACTGTAGCCGACGAAACAAACGAATCTGATTTTACCGGGGCGATAAATACATCCGGTGATATTCTACCGAGGGACAGGCTACTCAAAACTCCTACCTACGACTATGCATATGAAAAGTCAATGAGCCACGCGGAAGCAAAGCTTTTTTATCAGCAGCATCAGTTCGCCTCACGGAATGCAGACGATGAGCCTATCCTAAACTCGGTACCTGCAAATTACAATGCAGCTGTCACACAGACAGCGGACGCGCCAAGCTACGCGCCAGCGTTAAAGGAACACAATGACAGCGAAGACGTAATAGCCAGCACTGTTTGTGAACATGATTCAATAGCAGAAACCCAGCCCACTAAAGACTCTACATCGCTAGATCAGCATGGCCCGCAGTTTACCCATGAACATCATTTCAACAGTCCGATTATGAGCGCTGATCACGGTACTTATGGGATCAATATGGTGCTATCCAAATCCCAGGACCAATTGCGTCAAAGTCCATTAGGGGTAGGCAATACGCATTCTGCCGGGGACAACTTGGGAACCGCCCATGGCACGACAAATAAAACACCAAATGGCGATGCCGTTACATCCGAATTGAACGTAATCTGCCGCAAAATATTGGGCTTGCTGGACCGGCGATCTAAATATATCCAGCTATCATTGCAAGGTCCTGGAGATAACCCAAAGGATCGCCACGGGTGGAAGGTCTACCCTGCGCCACCAGAACCAGCCTGGGAAGGGGACAATGAAACCGGGAAATTCAGCGACAACTCTCGTCCTGAACAGAAGAAAAGGAAAATGGGTCAAGATATTGGGGAGGATTTTGATATGACCGAATGTCTACCGCTCCCTGAGAATTCCGACTGGGTTTTCAGGCTCGATGGGAACAGTGTATATCAAGTTTACGAGAGCGATAATGCCGCCAGTACCAATCAACCTGTTGTACGAATCCCCTCGCTAAGAGATTTCTACATGGATCTCGATGCGGTCACAGATGTTTCAACCGACGGCCCTGCAAAGAGCTTTGCATTCAAACGCCTATCTTACCTGGAGGGGAAGTTTCAGCTCTATACTTTGCTCAACGAATACCAAGAAATCGCCGACAGCAAGAAAGTACCTCACAGAGATTTCTACAATGTCCGAAAAGTCGACACACATGTGCATCACTCCGCATGTATGAATCAAAAACATCTCCTTCGTTTCATTAAAAGCAAAATGAAAAAATCCCCCGATGAAGTTGTATTATTTAGAGACGGGAAGCATCTGACGTTGAAAGAGGTGTTCGAGAGTATCAATCTCACAGCTTACGATTTGAGCATTGATACACTTGACATGCACGTATGTGGAGATTGGCAAAACCTTGTTTCAAACTCGCGCTTTGCAACTAACCATGTTACAGGCGCATACAGATTCTTTTCACCGTTTTGACAAGTTTAATCTCAAGTATAACCCCGTCGGAGAATCTCGGCTCCGAGAAATATTCTTGAAAACAGACAATTACATCAAAGGACGTTACCTGGCGGAGATAACGAAGGAGGTCATTTCGGACCTGGAGTCGAGTAAGTACCAAATGGTGGAATGGCGCATCTCAATATACGGCAGATCCATCCAGGAATGGGATAAACTTGCAGCTTGGGTAGTTGACAACAAGCTTTTCTCCCCTAATGTTCGTTGGCTTATCCAAATACCCCGACTTTATGACGTATACAAGTCAAGTGGGATGATGGAAAACTTTGAGCAGGTTATCACCAATGTCTTCCAGCCGCTGTTTGAAGTGACAAAGGATCCCAGTAGTCATCCAAAACTCCATATATTCTTGCAGCGTGTGGTCGGTTTCGATAGTGTCGATGACGAGAGCAAAGCGGAGCGACGACTGTATAGAAAATACCCTATCCCGAGGGAATGGAGCACCAAACAAAACCCACCCTACAGCTATTGGATATACTTCATGTTTGCTAATATCGCATCCTTGAATATTTGGCGGAAGCAACGGGGATTCAACACCTTCGTCCTGAGGCCGCATTGTGGCGAAGCTGGTGACCCTGATCATCTTGCTGTTGGATTCCTCTGCTGTCACAGCATTAGCCATGGGATTCTACTTCGGAAAGTTCCTTTACTACAGTATCTATTTTACCTTGATCAAATCGGGATTGCCATGTCGCCTCTCAGCAACAATGCGCTGTTTTTGACATATGACAAAAATCCTTTTGCCAATTTCTTCAGGCGAGGTTTGAATGTATCGTTATCTACCGATGATCCATTACAGTTTGCTTTCACCAAAGAGCCCCTGATCGAAGAGTACTCAGTGGCTGCGCAGATTTATAAATTTAGCGCTGTTGACATGTGTGAACTAGCGAAGCATTCAGTCGAGCAAAGTGGATTCGAGCTCTCCTTGAAGCAGAGATGGCTTGGCGCGAATTGTTCAGCAGCAGGAGTCTATGGAAATAATGTTGCAAAGAGCAATGTCCCAGACATTCGAGAAGAATTTAGACATGAAACATTGATGAGAGAGTTGGCACTGTAAGCATCCCTGGCCTTTGAGTCGTCCATCCTCCACGTGGTTGAGCATTCTTTAAAGTACCTAACAGTCTCCAGGATTGGAAGATATCTTGACCCCCTGAATTCTCAATTGAAAGCATGCTCTTTCAGGGACCAGCCGCAGCCTGGCGTGACTACAGAAAATGAAAGCCACCGTAAGTTTTTTTTCCTATGCATTGTCGACTAGTGATCTATTGTACTCACCTACAATAGCTTTACGAAAGGGGGGTGAGCAGGCCACGGCATCTCTGCTGACTTCTAGTATGATATACTCTTCTAACCATTTACAAAACCAGCCTGAGACCAACGTCACCGGAGATACTTGCTTTGCAAATCCAGCCCACCACCTTTCGGGCACTAAATCTAGCGAGTCCACCGGGCCTGAAACGTTGCCAGAACAAAAAATATTCCCTGGTATTGTGCACGAGAGGGCTCAACGGGGTAGTATGTTGACTCGATCATTGGCGGAAGATAACAAGGTTACGAAAGACGAAGATAAAGTGGAGGGCAATAATCACCCCAGCTCATCATAGTATAAGGCGATGTTATGAGGGCAGACAGTACCTTGTTTTGTTTGTGCCATAGTCGTATAGGCGGTTTATGAATAAGGACTACAGTACCCATGAATCACCAGCTTTTAGCGAGATTGGAAAATTCGGTGGATCAAAAATCAGTGTGGATTTTCCCCTGGGACACAGTAATTTAAAGTTCTTGTATTCTGCAACCAAGCTCTGGGTTCCCAGTGCGTTGAAAGTTGACATGGGAGGCACCTGGAGACCGAATATGAGCACACAAGCCATGGCTTGCGTATTCCCAAATGATGCAAAATTCCTTGTTAACAAGGTTAAGGAAATGAAATCAATCCCTCGACGAAGAATTAGGGCATATCTTCTCGAACAGCTGTCTCACCCCGCCCAACTTCCCCGTCGCTCACGCACACCCCATGTCCCATAACTGCCGTCATCTTCTGCTGCAACGGGCTGCTGCCTTGCCCACTCGCGTATATACGAGCGCAGGGCCAACCAACGCATGCACATGTCTCTATCAGTAGCACCTGTTATAGTAGTTTCGGCATTACCAACGTAACCTTTAGCATCTGCGTTCATATCATCTCGCCTGAGATCCGCTACGGCAATGCCGGAGACTTTGCTGAGCTCATGGTCATAGTAACGGGCAACACAAGGATAGCCTAGAGACAAGTAGTTATAGACCTGAGTGACGAACGCATCCTGAAACTCATGGTCAGTATCTCCCTCAGAACTGTTCCGCTCCTTGCCATCAGATACTCCAAACTTCTTGCGAGGCTTAACAGGAACTTCGTTCTCATGTCTCGGCGCTCCTTCTGGCCACACCCAAGCCTCTCCTTTCAGTCGATGAGTGGGAGCTAATGTACTGTGGGATAAATAATCCTGAGACTTCCGGTAATACCTGTCGGGTTTGCATGTTCCCATCCATAGACCGTCACCGCCAAGCTGGTCATCGAGATGAGGAGTCGCATGCCAAAGGCCGGGAAAGTCGTGAATGCCACTATTACATCCAGACAAATTGCGACTTTCACAGAATGTTGCCTCGGGTGACAGACTTCGAGGAAAGACAAGATCATTTCCTAGCATCGGTGGGCTTGTAACATGTCTTTGTTGGACTGGATCGCAATCTCTTTCCCAATCTCCGTTGAGATTTAGATGGTTATCCACCAGACCGGAAACTACATACGTCGAAGGTATAACAGGTGAGAGATGCAATCCCTGTGTGCCAGCCATGGCGCGGTCTCGCATTTCAGCCTCCTCTTTATGCTGCCGCATATATTCGAGCTCCCACGGCAAATCCGTAGATGACGCACGTCGGTACCTTCGTAGGACCTCATCCCCGCCATGTATCATAGGCTCCTCTTGGCTAGAACAGTCCTCTTCTTCTCTATCAATGGCAAAATGATCCACAGGCTGATAAACTTGTTCATTAGGGAAGGCCGCCAGGGCTTGCTCTCTCAACTGTTTCTCGGCCGAGCGGGCAGCAAGGGAGAGTAAGTAGCTTGAGAAAAGCTCGTCGCAACTTTCCCTACGGTCTTCCTCTACTTTTGGGTGTATCACAGACTGTCGGGAGGAAATAGATGGCGAGACGGGCAACGATGGTAGGTCTGACCCTTCAGACCCTTCGCTACCACTAGAAGGAATCACGGGGAGGTCGGGAACCCGAAAGGAATGCCTTCTTGTCTCCTGACGGTGCCGAATTCTAGAATACGAAAATGGAGACTCATATGCCACGTAGCCCCCAGCATCAGTGGGTGCATCTCCAGAGGCGCTAATATGCCTCAGGGTTGTAGATTCAAGCTCCGATCGGCATTTATTAGGGGTTGCATATGGGCTTGGGTCGCGACGAAATGAGCGGCTAGCTGTCTCCATCAACTGAGGCACGAATTTTCTCGGACGCAGCTGAAGGGAATTGTCTTCAGTGCGAATTGATTCATTCTGTTCACCACTCAAATAGCTTGTTCGCGGCAATTGTGGCGGTTTTGTTGCATGTCTTTCTCCGGTATGTTGCCTCACCAGGTAATTGTTGGATTGTAGGGGACTTTGACTGTGGACCTCCGACGCAGTGCTGCAGGATGGTTCTATATTTATTGGAGATTCGGTGGATGCCCTTGTACCTTCTTCCGTACCTCCTTGTTCATGAGACTGCGTGCCCACATATGAGACTGACTGATGTGACTTAGAAGTGCGTGTAATGGTTTCAATAGGTTCAGGTAAAAACCTCCTAACTCTCTGGGATGGCGCGGTGGTGTGATGTGACATGGTGCCAATTAAATCGGCCCCTCGTCACTCCCCCCTTCGTCTCGACGAGTATATTATTATTCTTCTAGACATTATTGAATGAATATAGTGGCATGAGCTCTTCATTATTGTACCTACCTTTCTTCTATGTAGTACCGTTTCCTATCCTGATCGATGCCACCATATATAGCTCTTATACGTTGACTCAAAAGGGCTGTAGATGTATCTGAATAGTAATAACTGACACAGTACGAGGGAGGAGGGCTGAGTATAAAAGTGGTACTTAGAAGATGGCCTTAACGTGTATCAAGAAAGTAGGCGGCTTGAGACGCCGGTAGAGTATAGATACCCAAAAAGAAAAGAAGTTACTATGGTGGTAAGGTTCCTCTTGCACCACCACCACGCTATGGGGTGAATCGAGGTGGGTTAGTGTCTATCATATACATGTTATCACATAGCCATGTGAAAACTCATACCATGCTACTTCCTAGATTACCCGCTTAGTGAGGGGTGTGAGGAAGATCTTGATATCACTAGTAAATTTGAATCCCTGATGGCAAAAACTTTTAGCTCTGAAGGGAGAAGATCCATAGATACAGAGTACGCTTGCTATGATATGTTACCTTCATTAATCTGATTAAAACTGGAATGAAAGGATTACATAATATGTGCACAGTAACTAGTTGCATTGCTATTCCAGCAAGTCGTCTATGGACCTCTGTATATACCGCGGGTCCTATTCTTGCATAACCAGACTTCCGGAATACAGCTGTTATAGACCCTTGTCTAGCGCCCTTATCAGGAGGCGGAGGGACGAGGAAGAATGATAGGCTGAGGTGATACTAGGATCAAGGACACCAACCAATGCTACTTATGTTAGACAAGTGACTTGGATCATGTGATTGACAAAGTGGTATATGATTGATTCCTAGGAAGTATAAAAACTAGTATTGTCATGGTGCCAGCCCAAACTGCTCGTTCTGCCTGACCCCACCGCTTCGTCATGTGATTCTGACTGTTTATCTTCCTACCTGATCACGATCTTCTTGTAGCTTCTCAAGCTATGTCTTGTCTATCTGCCTATGTATATAGTCTGATCAGTAGCCAGCCTGTGTATTAGCTCTGTTAGCCTGTCTGTTGCGCTTCCATGTATGTCACCACTATCTTTCCGTTTGCTGTCGCTCCCGTTCCTTTCTGTCTACCTTGCTGTACCGCTCTTTTCACCGCTTTGTATGTAGAACTTAGCAGCATCCTGCTCCTGCAGCTTAAGAGAATCAATCATTCTATACCATAATCAGAAGCACCCAACATTTATGGTCAGATTACCTACTATCCAGTCATGTTATAAATTACAGAACCTATAAATCTACAATTCTCTAAATTAATCGAAGTCTAATCTCTAAGTTCTTATTAACCAACCATTATTCTTCTCTGTCCTATAATCTTTATCAAAGCTATCAATAATCTTATTAATCTATTAGCCAATACTCCTGTTCCTGCTTTTACTGATTACTAAGCTTCTTATCATAGATTAATATCTTGATACCTCAATGTCTAAGCTGAGCTAATATATTATTAAGCTAGGTTATTAGATATTAAGGTCTAGTAAGACTTATTAAATATCTATTAATCTACTTCATAAACAGATCTCTCTACTTGTAGAGTTCTATTAAGAGAACTAGTTATCTCTTTATTCTGTTCCTTTGTTGGGTGCTTCTGATTGTGGTGTAGAATGATTGATTCTCTTAAGCTGCAGGAGCAGGATGCTGCTAAGTTCTACATACAAAGCGGTGAAAGGGGCGGTACAGCAAGGTAGGCAGAAAGGAAGGGGAGCAACATGGAGACATAATGGTGGAATAGAACTGCAACAACGCAACAGGCTTAATAAAAGTCAATGTCCTTGTTAATAAGTAGAAAGAGAAAAGCAGAGCTATCAACAATTTTGATACAGTAGAATAACAGAAGAAAAAGTAACAGCAATTTTCATAGTTATAGTTATTAATAAGATCTTTACAGCCTTCTATTAATACTTTACAGTATATCCAGGTATTGTTCCCAGATCTATAACTGAGCCAGTAAACTAAATATTTAGTATATTTAGTTTTATTATAATCTAATTAAATAGTATACTAATTAATAAGCTTCTTAATTTTTTAATAATCAGTATTAATAGTGAATTAGTTATTAATAATTATAGAAAATTAATAAAGCTTATATCTAAAGAGATTAACAGTTAGAATAGATTTAAGTTAAGCTATTAATATAATATTATATATATATTAAGAATCTAATAGTTTTAATTAATATATTAGATAATCTATTTATTAAATAACTTTAAAAGTCTCTATATATTAATCTTAGAACTTAATAAAATAATCTTAATAAATAGTCAGAATAATATAGCTATAGTATAGCTAGAAATAAATATAGTTACTAATATTAAATTTAATAAAGTTGTGATGACTGCTCATTCATAGATAGCTATTCCACAGTAGAAAGCTAGATATGGTAGCGTTTCCAACTGAATTCAACTATGGGGGAAGAAACACTATCATATAAGGGTTTGTGTTATGGAAAGTAGGCCTGTCTAATTACATGATATACAGGTTATTATAATACCCTTCCAGTAGAAAATTTCTTAAATTCTAAGAATAGTAGTCTTCTAGTTAATCTATCTATTTTAGCTACTTTATCTATTATATCTTTTTAATAGATTTTCTAATTATTTCTTTCTATATTAGTTTATTATTATCTATATATTCTGATTTAAATTCCTTTCTTTCTGTAATGCTTAACTATTAATCTAAGTGAATCAGCAGGCCAGGTACTTTAGAATACTGGATATAAAAATTATAGAGATATATAAAACTATTTCTAAAGTTAATAGTAAAATATTATTTAAAATTATTATTATAATTAAGTTATTTAACTTTATATTATAGTTTATTATAATATAGCTATATAGTAATAATCTTCTTAATCTTCTATTTATTATAGCTATTAATCTAAATTATTTATAGAAAATCTTTATATTAACTGGATAGTAAATCTATTATAGTCTTCTATAGTTTATCTAGACTAAATACTAGATATATCTTTATTAATAGAGAAAGATCTAGTCTATAGATATTTCTAACTTTTATAGTAATTTAGTAAAGACTAGTCTATTAATTATCTAACTTCTTATTTAAATAAGCTATATTATATTTCTTTAATAGTAAATAGACTATATTTTCTATTATAAAGTTAATCTTTTAATAATATTTATTTAATTTTTCTAGACTATTTAAGTTTTTTCTATAGATTTATAAATATAGTTCTAAATATTTTATATTCTTTTTATTTACTTTACTATAGTATTCTAGTTAACTTATTTCTATAGAGTAATAGTAGATTCAGTAGTCTAATTAAATATACTTATAGTTTATAGCTTTTCTTAATATATACTAATAATAATTCTATAGATTTAGATAGAAGAACTATTATAATATAGTTAATTAGTAATAATATTTTAGTCTAGTTA